GTCTTTCCGTCTTCTCAGGGCAAAGCATAACCTTGAGGCCTGACGGAAGCAATTGCAGCATCACGCCTATCCAGCAAACAGACGCCCCGCGGGAACACTTATGCCATGCAATTTCAAAGCCCAAAATACACCAGAGTAACGTGTAGCGACAGAAAATGCGAGATCTCTCGAACTTGGTGGGCGCACACGCCACCATTATAGGATCATCCACATATGTCTGCACCCTGCCCTCGAAGTCAGACACAGAAGCCTGGACAATTCGATTGGAACATGCTGCCAGCCGGCACCAAAGCACTGGCCCACATGCAAATCCGAAACTCACCACATGGATCAAGTAGAAGGTGGAGGGCCCGCCTTTGACTACAGCATATTTTCGCTCAGATGTCCTAAGAGGCAGTGTGTAAAAGGCATCTTTGAAATCGCTGATAAAGAATTCGCAGTTTGGGCTACGGTTGTTCTTGAGGAAGAGGGCGTGCACGCTCTCGGCCACATCAGACACCCTCGGGAGGATCACTCTCTCCCGCAATGCCATCAGCCCATTTATGCCGCTTCTCCTCATGTCTACAACCAGCCTCACCTTTTCCTTGCCGTCTTTTATCTTAATGATGCAAGCAAGCTTTGTGAGTTTGGCGCCTTCCCCCACTAGGCAAACCACATCCCCCCAAGAAGATACCTTTGTAGCCCGACCACACGCGACAAGTCGGTCGAGCTCCGCCTGGCCCTTTTCGCCGGCCTCTTCGAAGGACTTGTAGTTCTTGGCACTGCCGTCCCAGTCCTCAAGCAGCGTTCCTAAAGCCTGCGAGGCCTTGATAGCTGCTGATACAGAGTCTGTCTCAGGGAAGACACCATTGTTCGCGATCGGTTCCTCTATTCCCAACGGGAAGCCATATTCTAGCCATTGAGGAATTGTGTCGCGATCAGGGTCCTTGGCGCTGTGGAGAATTGTTTTGAACAGGTTGGTCTGGTAGCCATCCGCTGCAGGCTCTGTGTGAAACGACTGAGCCAGCCTGAAGCGAGCTGCCTGAACCAACTCAGAAGAAAAGGGGCATTGACCATTTGCGTTTTCGAACTTTGCAACTAATTCGTCAGACAAGAACTCGTCCATGACATGCCGGATTTGATCTCCCGTCTGTCGCAAAGAGCTTGATCTAGCAACGGCACGTCTGGGATCTCTGAGACCCCCGATTGCCTGCTCGTTCTCTCTGCAGCGGCGCGCCGCTGCAGTTTCTGTGGCAGCGGCTCCTGTCTTTGCCGGAAACCCTGCTATGAGCTTTGCAGACTGGAGGTCTGAGTTTGGGGCTGGCTCCAGCTCTGTGCACTTGTAGCGATCGAGGCGGACAAGTGTGTTGCCTAGCCTGCCTGCCCTGACCAGTGTTCGTGAGGCCATGACACGCCGGCCCTCTTCTGAGAGCAACCATGCCCGAAGCGCCTTTGCCCAGCATTGACACAGGCCCACCGGATACTTTGCCAGCGAAGTTCGCCAGACTGAGGCGTCGACTTTGCCTGCCACGTCGCCCTCTGTGTGACAGTGGGCTCGCACATCTTTGCAGGTGAGCTTGACAGTCAGGATCCACGGCGCATTGGAGACGATGGCAGTTGGGTTCACGTTGTCGGCGCCATAAGCACACTGGTGAAGGAGCACGGACTGCACGCCTGGTCTTTTGAGCACCCTCTTCAAAGCCGGATGCTCCCAGGCATAGGAGTCCCACGGATTCTCCAATGAGAATGTGCCGCCTGCCTCTAGGATGAGGTAGCATAGGGCCGCGACTTTTTCCGCAATCTTGTCGGAAGTGATGACTTGGGCGACCTCGTTCTCGTCTGTCCACCGCTCTCTGGTGAAGGAACTGCAAGTAAATGCCAGATGTGTGTGGTCCGCTCTCTTGACCGATTGCTTGGCCTGTTCGAAGTCGGCGTCCACGAAGATATCCCAGTTGTAGAAGCCGCCCAAGGGGCCCATGACTTCTGCCACGTCGCCTGCGATCTCCGTCACTGCTCTTGAAAAGCCACCATGACCTGCAAACAATTCTAAGAAAACAAACTTTCTTGGCGCATGCTCGGTTGATTTCTCTTGCGGTTTTGCAGCACCAGATGGACGGACAGCAGCAGGGGCAGCGCCAGTAACGGGCATCAGCGCTGGACTGCCCGAGTCCTGTCACTTGCCCTTTCCCGCCGCTTTGCCTCCCTTGTCCTTCAGCTGCTGCGCGAGGGGGGACGTGCACTGACCATTTGGGTGGCTGCCCAAGCAAACCTGGCATCCATGGACGCGGCCATGCTTGCATGGCTCTGGGCACGCCCCCGCAGCTCCCTTCGAGAAGGCAAAGCAGAGCTCCTTGCCCTCTGAGTTTGTCACGTACAGCGAGCCCCATTTCTTTGGATGACCAGCCGCTGTCTTCTGCCCCCCCACCTGAGCCTTCAGCGCGCTCTCCATCTGGACCATCTTCTCTTTCAGAAACCTTCGTCTTTTCGCTCCTCTCGACGATCCTTCGCCTGGCAGAGCCGGAGGGGGAGCGACATGGTGCTTTCCTGACATGGCATTGAGGAGGGCCTCTCTGGACCCGCTGGGCACATTGACATCCTCGGCCTTCTGGACTGACATGTGCTTCCCGCCTCTGGCGATGAAGTTTTGCGCTGGGCGGACGACATGCTCGTTCCAGAAGTCTGCATCCCGAGCAGCGTAGATGAAGACTCCGACCCATGGAGTGGCTCCGTCGAAATCGAGGCCCATAGGCAAACGACCTGAGGCTGACGCTGTCGTCAGTTGCCTCCGGTACCTCTCGAACATCTCGCCACGGCACCTGTCCTCTGCTTGCATGAGCAAATGCCAGGTCTCTGGAAATTCGGAGTTGAGCTTCACGACACGGTCGTAGTACTCCTCGAGGGCGGCTGTTGTCACCACCTTCTTCGGGCTTTGGCCTGGCGCCTCTGGAGGATATCTGAGCATGAACAAAGCCGAACGAAATACTTTCCAGCAGGCTGCCCATGCTTCGAAACTCGGAGGGCCAGGTACGTCGAGACCTTTGAATGTTGCGTCTGCTTGTAAGACCCACGAACGGGCCTTCATCTGCTTCTGCACCCTTCGGCCGAAAGGTGTCAAGACACTGAAGTCGGCATACGGGGCCTCCCGTCTGTCGACCACTCTTTGCTTCAGTGCAGCGATCTGCTCCGGCGTGGGCTCTGCCTCGCTTGGAGGCTCTGCTCCTGTGATTTCTGCATGATTCAGATACGCTTGATCGATCTCTCTTTGAGACAGCATGTCCACCTCTGTCTCGTCCAACTGATCCAGCACGTTCGAGAACTTCACCTTCTTCACAGATGAACTCGAGGCTGCGGGGCCATGCGAAGGCAAAGGGGTCACGACAGGCACAGGATCTGCTATCGGATCTATGTCCGGCATTTGAAAGGCTTGCCTGGCTACTCTCCAAGCCAACGCCAACTGGATCTGCTCGGAGGGTGTGGTTTCGCGGGCCGCTCCGCCAGCAACACTGCTGATCCGCAAGTCTTTCACTGTCTTGGACCAAACAGACTGTGGCAGCTGCGAGAAAACACGCATGGAGCCCAAACCTCCCAATGCATCCTGAAAAGCTTTCCAGACATTGGCGGGGAGCCCGCACCATTCAGCAATCTTTTGCAGAGTATCAATGTTGGCGAGCTCGGTCTCGACTGGAAGTACTGAAGGCATCAACTGAATGGTCCCCTTCAGCCGGCACAGAGCGCCATGGCAAAGAATCCTTGGACCTCACTCCGTGACCCAGCTTGGGCCGCACACCACCATGCAGCTCATTCACTTGTTCTTACTCACACTGCGTGTGGAATCACGACTATTGAACACGCACTGGCCGGAGCCCCAGTGGGCCCTGCTTTCTCTCTTCCTTCCCTTCCCTGCACTTAGGAGCCCCCCTCCTCCGTCTGTCTCTCTCTGTCTCTATATATATATATATATAAATATGTCAGTCTCCCCTTCTTTCCCTCAATGGCAGACTCCGTCGGGCCCAGGTTACACCAACTCAGTCGTGCATACGTGTCTGTGGGCTGCACAGCTAAGTGTCTTGACATCTCAAAAGGCATCGCGCAGTACCTAGCATCCCCATGATACAGATCTGGGATCAGCAGCCGGCAGTCAGGCCCGATGAAGTCCAGGTGTGCATTCTTCACCTTGAGTTCTGGTGCGCCCGTTCTTCTCCCTTTGCATGTGTTGAGGTTGGAACTTATGGAACTTAACCCTCGACCTAGGATTGGGGGTGTTGTAGTTGTAACACGGAGCGAGGGCTGCACCAGATGGACGAGCGCACCGAAATCAGTCTCGGCAAGAAGCCATGGTCGCAAGCACCTGTTCTGCGTTTGCAGAATCTAGTGTCGTCAAGGTCAACCCACGTGTTTCTTCATGGAGCCGCCTCAATCTTGCCAGTATCAACCGGTAGATGACGCTGTAGCCTGCCATGAGTCATGCACGGGTGCAGTTCCGGAACCGGCCCATCTCGTGCATCTCGGATTCAGCCTTTTCTTGTCTTCGCCGGATGCACACGCGGGTTGGAATCTTTGGTCCAGCTTGCTAGCAGCATGCAAGTTGCCCGGCAAGCCCGGCAGTTCTGAAAGCCATGACCCTCAAACTGAAATGAGCAAACTTCTTCGGCTTATTCCCACCCGGGCAGGATGGGGCAGGGCTTTCACGAATGCTGAGTCTGGACTACCAAGCCGACTCACATCGGCGCCTCGTGCGGTGAAACAAAAACCTTGTAAAAAAATCAGAAAGACCGCTGCAGCCACAGAAAATGCAGAAATACCTCCACCGACAATGTGCCTGACAAGCACATTGATGCATAAACAGACTTCAGCTATTTCGTGACTGGTCATGACATGACGGAGCTGCAAAAACAACGTGGCCGACAGTGGCCCGCGCGTAGTTAACGCGGTTTGCCATGCGCTTTTGCGCAGTGCCAGCTTCGTGAACTAACTGAGCGATTCCAAACAAATGAGTGCTCATCTACCACCTGGGGCCGTCTTCATTGCCTGGACCGTTCCATGCTTTGACAGTCTGCACCGATGTCTGCAGTTCTCAAGTCAAGACCCATCCTAACCACGTTATTTTTCAGAGTGTTGCGTGCGATCCTTGCTGCTTTTCTCTTGCGATGTCGCGCCCAAACTATACTTGCACCAGTAGCATCACAGCAGTCAACACGGCATGTCATGCCACTTGCGGCAAGTGGCGGGGAGTCAGGTCTGCTGAGAGATGGCCTTGGCTGCAGACGGCATCGCACTGGAGGCAGGTGCTTGCCGCTGGGCACTGCAGAACAACTTCTAAAACCCATTCAGACGTCCTAGAGCCTTCAGGTCTAGCATCCAGCGCCCATCGCTACTCTCACTTCACACTTGTGAGTTCCCCCAGGCGCGCGGCAGGTCACGTGCCCCACGGGCACGCCGCGCGGAGGCAGCACCTGGGTGTGTCGAGAGGGTGTAACATGGTGTAACTTGACATTTCATCATGCCGCCATATGCCTCCCTGCAGCTGTGGGGTGCCTCTGTCATAGAAGCTGGTTCGAAATCAACATTGCTTGGTCTGCCGGGCGTCGTTCGTATGGAACTGGACTTGGCGAGTTTGTGGGCAAGAAGGCTGGGTCCCGATCTAGCAGGACCATGCCTGAACACCACACACAGACGGAACATGACGCAACTACATGGTATTCGGCTTGAATCTGGCTGATTGGGAACATGCGATGTGTACTTTGCACAGCAAGCCCGGATGCCTTTGATGTCCACCTTCTTATCGCAGCTAACGCATCTGGCATGCAGCGGCGTGCGCCAAATCGCTGCATTCGACTCCTTGAGACCCAGGCGGCTTTTGCTTGCTCATCTGCGCGATGCTTGGATTTGCTGTCACAGGGTCCTTTTCACTTGCCATGAGCTTCTCGAAGTTCTGCCACAGAATCTGCAACTGTCCATGTAGCAGTCGCATCTGCTCCGCGAGGAACTCGGTGTCATCGATTTTGGCCTTCTGGGAACCCCGATTCTTCCATGAGGCAGCCACGTGGAAGTGTGTTCGGTCGGCAACGAACTGCAGTCCCTGCACCTTGTCGGCCAAAGCCCTGAAAGCCTCATCGCGCAGCCTTTCCATTTCGCTGCGCATGACCTCAGGTGCAATCACGAAGCCAAGGCTTGCCCTGAGACCAGACAACGGCTTCATTCCCAGATTCATCGAATCTACACCCACCAACGAGCCCCTTTTGGATTTTTTTTTGGGGATCTGTGGATTGCAGATCAGCTTCTGCTTCAAATGCGCTGAAGGTCTCTCTCAGCACATGTGGTGACCTGGGAAAGCAGCCTTCAACACACAGCCTTCAGGCAAAGGACAGGCAAGCACAAAACTACATCTGATCTGTTGCAGTGTTTCGCCCGCACACACTCTATCACCTGCTAACACATTGACACACTCGGCAAGCCGCAAAGAAACTGCGAATGCAACATTCTGGGGGTGTGGGGTCTCAACGCATCTGGAAATACAAACTTGGCAGGCACGTCTTCGAGGCACCCTTCGAAGATACTGCGACCAGCTGAAAAAGTGTTCGTTGGCCAGTGCGTTTTGGGATGTCCGCTGTGCCCCTTGTACACCCATGTTTCGCACACCCACGCACACAGAGTCCATGCAACTTCAGGGTCAGGCCAACTGTGTGTGTAGCGATTCGAAGATAGGGAGCATCGATGCTGATCCGGTGCACTAGGTTACCAGATACTCCTTTATCATTTCAATGCCGCGGGACACAAAGGGCATCCCAGACTCCCCGCCAAACAGCAGCTTCTGCATGGCCACCAGCACGTCCATCTGGCAGCAATATGAAAAGCGGCTGGAGGAAGCACATGCCAAAGGGCAGCGATACACTGACAGACACTTCAACAAACATCCCCCCCCCCCCCCCCCCCCCCAAACGTGCTATGTAGGAGCAGCCCAAGACATTGTTCCTACATGGGCATTTCCCAAAAAGGGGTACCCCTTTTATACCCCAATAGAATAGAATCCCCTTAAAGGGACCCCCAAAAAGGGTGCCCCTATTTTCGGAAACCCCCACATGTCGCTCCTCGGATCCCTCTCCAGTCTCGCCCGTGCCGCCGCCGTGGCGTCGCAGAAGCTCGCTAAGCAACTGCAGAAGTTGAGGCATCGCCGCCTCGAACCGAGTCTGCCTGCACCAGCAAGCAGGAGCCGACATGCCCTGATTACCCTAACTGATCGGCTGCTGGCATGCAGCCAAGCCACAGTCTCGAAAAGTCCCTGACAGCATCCTCCATTTTAGCCGCAAGGATGCCCAGAGTTCTCTGGTCGCCAGACACCGCGCACCACAAGTCGGACAGGCTGCGCTTGACGTCCTCCTCCACATCAAGCCTGGACCATTTTTGTCTACGTTGCACGGGAGTACCGTTTTGGATATCAGCTACAGATGCTTTCAAGCCCACCTGCGAGGTGATCCCAGCTTTGGGGAACCTCACTCGAGATAAGCCCAAGAGTGAATGATAGAAGATCAGGGACAAGGGTCGCGGAAGTTGCCGCAGATTTAAAGTGCAGCGCGGGGTTCTCAGCAACAAAACATGCTGCCAGTTGTTCCTCTTACAAGCGGTGCCGAGATGCTCTCCGCATGAGGGCTCTTTGGCTCTGTCTGCCCGATTGGAGCATCGGGTATTTGGACAAGCCTGCAGCGGCAAAGCGTGCGGCAAAGCTTATGGCACTGCGTGCAAAGAAGCCCCGGTAGCCAAATGCCGTGGCATCTGGTCATCTATTCGGAGCTGAAACAAACCTCGTTACCATCCTTGTCGTTTTGCAGCGTTTGCACACACAAACACCCATAGACCAACAAGAAGAAGCTTTGGGCGGACAAGAAAGGCAATGGCCATTGTCGTGGATTGAGGCTTCATGGCGGGGCGCGCAACTTTAAACCACAGTAGACGGTTCAGACCTTGAAACCACAAAAGATGGTTGTCTAATTTGCACAACCCCACTCCACCCAGCGGCTGTTCAAGCACGCCGACTCGATTGCGCAGCCGATGGACTTCTTCACCTGATCACTGTCTGAACTCTCAGCTTCTAGCCAACCCGGTCAACGCTGCAAGTCGTTTTTAACCTGGTAGGTGCACCTGGTTACATTGGTTATTAAGAACCCCTTGGCCTGGGAGCACTGCCAGCGCTCATTGACTCACAAGTAACAAACACATAGCCCCTGCACACTCCTTGCACCCTTGTACAGCTGTCCAGATCTGAAGCAAGACCAGGACACGCAGTGACAGCACCTGGCTGATGCTCGCCGGGCTGGGGCCAGCCAGGTTGCCCGTCAGGTTGCCCATGGGAGGCGAAGCCCCTGCCGTGTGCAGGGCAGCGTCAAGCTGCAGATGGATTCTGTTTCCCCACAGAGATTGCAACTGCCGCAAGTGGCCCAGCCACAAGAGCCAAACATTAACCTGCCCGTGGCCCCAGAGTTTGAGGGCAGCACCTGAGAATACTGGGCGCGAGGTTTCGAGCAAAGCAACGCGCCTTGGCTGCGCACATGCGCGTCTTTGGAAACTTTGCTGTGCGTGGCCATGCAGGTCACACGTGGGAAAGAGGACAGATGCAGTGGAATCCCCGAAAACTACATCCTCTAGTTGCTTCCCAGCCGCTCCTCTAAACACGCACCCTCGAGGGCTGCCACACGACCCAGCAACGCTGCGTCTTCGAGGGCAGAAAGGCGGGCTGCCAAGTTGGAGGTACCTTATTCAAGTACTGCCACACAACCTGCCACATGCCTGGAACAGTACAGTGATCACAGTGGCACAACAGTGTGCTCTCCAGGGCTTTCCCTGGAGCCTTCACGAAGCCAATCGGCTTATCTCAAGGTTCGACAACTTTTCCATCGACTCTGTCGGGATGGCCTCATCGGCCTTGCCAGCTTATCAGCTTAGCCATTCTTGGCTACTCAGCTACTCACCCATACGACCCCGGGCTCCTAAACTGGTAGCACTGAAAGGATCACTCTCCATGCCACCCCTGATCTTTGGCGCATTGTCCGTTGCTCTTGTGCTTGTGTGCCCCTTGGGCTCACTACTTTCACAGCTTGTCGCCGTGCCTGGGAGGAGACCTCCGAGATGCTGCTGCGCAAAGAATTGCGCTTCTGGCTCGCGGGCGGCATGAGGTCTGCAGGGGACGGGGAATGAGCATGGATAGGTTTCAGAGCAAGCTCATGCATACCCTGTGCATATCCAGTGCAAGAATCACCCTGCCATATTCCCATGCTCCTTCAGCACCTCGCACCAACGCAGTTCGCGTGTCCAACCCTGTGACCCCCAGCCTTGGACAATGTCTGTCACCTGGTGTTTCATCCAAGACCTCGGACATTAGCACTACTCAGAAAGCTCACTGAAGCCATCTGGCACTTCAAAAGCAGATGTTGCCCTAGTGGCTGCTGAACTCCCAACCCGCCATCGCCGCGAAGGGGACACGAGGGACTGAGAACTGGCAAGGTGGCCAGGGCGCAGGAGTTCGGGACCGCTCAGCTCGTCCTGCACTGCGGCCTCCGACTGGTCCGTGATCGCCCGTATCCTTGGAAGAAGATAGATTTTGAGAAGGGGTGCAGGGCAAGTGTTCCGCAAGATGCTTTTTTGAGAGGGCCATGCGCTGAAAAACTACGGAAACACAAGACCGTTTCTGTTCTTTCTTCGGAAACAATTCAGGCAATCATGCAGACAAACACGAACTGGAACACACCAAACATGCAAAAACACCCCCCCCCCCGCCCGCTAGCGGTTCCAACTGCACGTGCACGCTCCCCCGGCAGGTACTGCCAGCACAGGATCACAGCACGAATAGCCGAGTCCACATGTTTTCATGTGGTATTGGCAGAAATGCCTTCACGGAATGTGGAAATACATGATGTCAGCAGCTTCGAAAATTCTTAAACTTTGTATTGGCATCAGAACATACGTATGAAGCGAAGAGATGGGGGAGGGAGGTGGGGGACAACACAACCCCTAATGCAACCAACCGAAACCTCACTGCCTTCTCCCTTCTTCTTCTTCTCCTTCTCCTTCTTATTCTGCTTCTTCTTCTCTCTCTAAACTCTCTAAACTCTCTTCCTTCCTTCCTTCCTTCCTTCCTTCCTTCCTTCCTTCCTGTGCAAGTAGTCTCCAAGGGGGCCGCCCCGAAGGGCGTGCTCAATCCGACCTAAACCCAAGTCTGGTCTGATGTTTGGTCCAACCAACCCACAACCACAGCCCGCACCGCAGGAGGGGAGACCCTGGAAAAAGGGGCGGACAGAGGTTTACAAGAGGGCTCGAGGAAGGAACACGCAAGGAAAGCATACTTATCTTGAGGAAAGCATACTTATCTTTGTAACGTTCTTCGCCGGGCATCTGCTTCTTCAGCCACGCGCCCAAAGTGTCGCCTGGGACAGCGACATTCAAAGTTGTGGATTGCGGCTTGGCCAACCCAAAATCGAACTCATGCAAAGCACACCTGAGAAGGACTTCGGGATTCGCAAGGCGTGGGAGACTTGAAACCCCGTTTGGTCATGGTGCCCTCTGCTGGGGCAGCTTCTGGCACTCTTTCCTCCGGATCTGCATACACCTCCTCGAGAGACATGGCCATCAATGTAAAGTGGCTTCCGGGCGTCCGGGACGGGTAGGCCCTAATTTTTTAACATATTTGCTCCTGCTAAATAAAATATAAGGAATATATAAGGTGCACTTCCTCCTCCGCATGCTGCACGGGAGGAGGGGGATTGTCTTCCAAAGCAGTTTGCCGTGCGAGCACATTCCTGTCAGGGCAGGATAGAGCTAGCTGGCTTCGTCGTGCATGCTGCGCCTTTTGCCGTCCCGCGTGGCCTAAGCATCATTTCCATGGATGTCAGCTTGTTCTCAACTGGGGTGACCTTGCTTTCCACACGCTCGGCAACGAGCTGGTCGACACGCTGGCTCATGTTCTTATTCGCGTTCTTGAGCAGCTCTTGAATCTCAACCTTCAGTCCTCGCATGTCTCCGGACAGGTCAGCTTCCAGATGGTCGAACTTGCCCTCGATCCACTTCGCCATGTCACTCTGGGAGGAAAACCGACCTTCACCCCAACTCTGAACGACCTTGGGGATCACGGCAGCCACGGCTGGGTCCAGCCTGCTACCATCCTTAATTGCACGAAGGCTGTGCATTGAGGGGCCACAAGGCCATGCCTGCGCCTACTCGGCCGACATCGAACCCTTCTGTGCCTTATGACACAATCTTCTTCGGGGAGTCTGAAACCTCGCGCTGTTTCTTAGTGCTGTTTTACGGCATTTCCACATCTTGGGTCCAAGCTTCGTTCGCGAGCCGATATTCCAAATCTTCCACATGGCGGTGGAACTCATCCATGGACTTGCCGAGGCGCTTGTCCATGCTTTTCAGCCTCTCTTCCATAATTCGGAGCCGCTCATCCAGAGTATCACCTGAATGTAGGTACATGTGCCGAGCAAAACTATACCAGACGACGACTCGCGCACTGCGAGTGCAGATTCATTCGCCGAGGCGCCAATCACTGTGATCTTACGCGTTATGCCCGCCATCTCCTGCCAGCCACACGACTACAAAATGACCCTCACCGAAAGTTGCCAGCCACGGCCTGATCTGTAATCCGATCACATCATGGCTTCGGGGCCAGTCGTTTGATCTAGCCGCTTGAACTTGTGCATTCTGCAAATTTTCTTTCCTGTATGCAGAGATGAATTCAACCCTGTGCGGAGCCAAGAAAGCATGTGGCCTCGTGCAATGACTCTCGGACAGCTTTTGCAGCCGAGCTCACCGCCACAGCCTCTGCCTCCAAGCGAAATGGTGCGTGGCATGCCCCTATTCTTTTAAGGGTTTAGGGTTTAGGGTTTTTTTTGCCACCCGACTGGCCAAAGCAATGCGGGGTAGAAAGTTGGAGAAAAAACGCACCCTGCAGCTATGAGGCAGCATGCATTGGGGCTAACACCTTACAGGTATTCAGGGTAGGAAATTGTTGGGTCGGGTCCATGCAGGGGAGATCAGCGTCATCATGACACAGTCCACCAGACGCGAACCCTCGAAACAAACCCACAAGAGGACTTGGGACCTCCCCCGTGAGGAGCCGATGGTTAGTAGGCCTTCCACCCATGGGAAGTCTAAGGCGGTCAGGTCTTTAGCCCTCCCCCCAAAAGAGCATGCGGTAGAATCCCCGATTGTACGCCAGTGGTCATACAGCAGAGTACAATACACGTCAGGGCTGATTTCCACAAACTACTTTAAGACCTCGCTGCGTACTCAGGGTTTAGGGTTTAGGGTTTAGGGTTGACAAAAACAGCCTTAAGCAAGCGTAAGACAAGCCTCAGATCACTTATCACCAGTGATGGAACCCAAGCCGAGGAGCTTTTTGCAGAAGCTCCCCATATTCCTTTTGCTGGATGGCGCGTGCCGCAGCTTCCAGCTCACGCCGAACACTGTCGATGTTCATGTCCAGCAAGTTTCTCGAAGCTTTGTGCTTTTGCTCCACCTGTGCCTTAGGAGCTGAAAGATGTTGACATAGTCTACCACTTGCTTAAGAACACCGAAAAAATAAGAATTATTCTTCCTTAAGGGTAATATAGGGATCTTTGTTTTAGTTTTTTGGGGGTTCTTAAGCAAATAGCAGTAGTGCGTTAAGTCTTGCGCGTGTTTCATACGTGCCGCGGTCTACGTTCTACATAGGCACAAAAAACAGAAAAAGCGACTGCCTGGCCTGGAACGCCGTCAAGGCTTCTTCCAGGAAATCTAGACGAGCATCGAATCCTTAGCTCGCAAGTGCCGGGTTTAAAGATCGGAAGGAAAGGCTTCTCGGAAAAACTTTCACAGAAGCATCCTGTGCTGGCCTCTTTTTGACCTGCTTTGTCAGGGGCTGTGCAAAAGTGGTGGTCTGCAAACATGGCTTGACTGTCCTGAGATAGGAAATCCTGTCGAACAATTTGTTCAGACTGAACTTCTAGGAGTCAGGGTCTATCCATGTGCGGAGTTGCACGAGGCAGCAATGAGCAAATTCGATACGTGTCACGAGGAGTGACACTCTGTAGCGGCCTATGCCCCAACTCACCCCAACGACGATGAGAACGGCGATGTCGTGCAACAAACAATCGATGGGTGCCTTTCTCTACACAGCTGGGGCAGAGGACGTAGGAGGCTGTCGCACAGTTCGCGCGAAGCCACAACTCGTCGCGAGAGCTCAACAAGAGGAGTACTGGCTCCTGAGCCTCTGGTAGAGCCTGCCGAAGAGGCAGAAACCTCAATGTTGAACGCCCCCGGAGTACAAAAAGACCAAGTAGTCTGGTCATGGAGAGCTGTACAGGAAATCATCTTGGGGTTGCTTTCCGGAAATGCTGTGCATGGTGGCCGCATGCCCAAACCAGAATCATTTGCCAGACACATGCTTTTGCTTCCTGCACCTTCTCAAACATTAAACCATGCACTGTGCCTAAGAACCGTTCCAATCCAGCCAATCAGGAAAGCGGTGCGATTTGGCCACCTCAAAGTGAGACTCGGTTTGCTTATCAGCCTGTTAGGACTGAAGCCTGTGCCAAAGCAGCTGGCAAATCTGTCTTGGCGTACTCATCGAATGCCAGCCGTGGTTCGCGGTCAACTGTGACCAAGCCCCACCATTCTTCGTTGAAGGTCTTGTCCGGGTAGGGGCCACCACCCGGTGCAATTCCTCCAGTGTCATGGACCTGAGTGCTGCCGCTACCGTCCTTCCACCACTCGTCCGCAAACTCGAAAATGAAGCCCCCAATGCAAGCGCCACGTTCCAGTACTGAGGACTCACTTAGGATCTCCTCAGTGAGCTCGCGTGTTGCCTTCGCCTGGGCCTCACGATCCTCTCGGTTGACCAGGGCATTGAATGCATCGGCACCATACTCCCCCAAGTACATGGGTTTGTCCGAGACTTTTTCGTACTGATCGAACATGTTGCCGAAACTGATGCCCCGATATGTGTTGATACCCCAAACATCAATCTCATCCCGCAGCAGTTGATTGGCCTCATCGAGCTTGTCGACCACTTCCCCATAGATCGTTGAGATCGGGTGAGCCGTGTCGAGGCTTCTTACAATTTGAGAAACCTCTCGGATACGAGCAATGCAGTCACGGAAGCTCATGCCCACGTAGAGACCATTGTAGTTCCACTCGTTCCCGATGCTCCACATGAGGATGGACGGATGATCTTTCGTGGCCCTTACTGCATCTGCAGCTGACTGCGCCGATGATCCCCCGTAATTGTAAACACTGTTCACAACCCAAATGCCTTTGCTCCAGAGAGTATCCAGCACCTTCATGTCGGTGATCGGCTCATAGGTTCTGACTGCGTTGATGCCCATGCGCTGCATTAGAGCGGCGTCCTGCTCGACAAAGCCACTGAAATCCAGATCACGGGGGTAGGAGCCTCCCTTCGGCACAGGGTTCCATGCAACTCCCTTGATGTGCAGCGGCTTTCCCTCAACCAGCAGCTGTCGTCCAACAACTTGAATCCTTCTGTTCGGAGATGGTGTCGGAGGAGCGGTGGTAGGTGGAGGGACTGGGCAAGAAGCAGGTGCATCTGGCAACACACACTTGCACAGCATGTCTGATGTCCCCGTGATGGCTTGATTGCACGGCTGCGTGTACTGCACCTCACAATCTTCCGACTTCTCCTCTGCTGCCGCAACGCACACGTGCCCAAAGCTCTCGCAATATTTGTCACAGCGGCCGTTGTATGGAGCCGTTAGCACCAGGGCCATGCAATCGGTGCACGTGATGCCGTTGTCCACATCCGGCCAACTTGTGAAAGCGTTGCAGCACGCATTCTCAATGAGAGAGGTCGATGATGTGGATGGGACAGTTGTCGTGGAAGTTGTGGTAGATGGAAGGGCTGGGCAAGAAGCAGGTGCATCTGGCAACACACATTTGCACAGCATGTCTGATGTCCCCGTGATGGCTTGATTGCACGGCTGCGTGTACTGCACCTCGCAATCTTCCGACTTCTCCTCTGCCGCCGCAACACACACGTGCCCAAAGCTCTCGCAATATTTGTCACAGCGGCCATTGTATGGAGCCGTTAGCACCAAAGCCATGCAATCGGTGCACGTGATGCCGTTGTCCACATCCGGCCAACTTGTGAATGCACTGCAGCACTTTGGGGTAGGGGCAGGACAAGAAGCAGGTGCATCTGGCAACACACATTTGCACAGCATGTCTGATGTCCCCGTGATGGCTTGATTGCACGGCTGCGTGTACTGCATCTCGCAATCCTCCGACTTCTCCTCTGCTGCCGCAACACACACGTGCCCAAAGCTCTCGCAATACTTGTCACAGCGGCCGTTGTATGGAGCCGTTAGCACCAAAGCCATGCAATCGGTGCACGTGATGCCGTTGTCCACATCCGGCCAACTTGTGAAAGCGTTGCAGCATCCCATATTGCTGGCCGTGTGTAGGGTGGCATCCTCAGAAGCTCGACTTGCATGCAATGCTACAGCATCTTTGACCTGAAGCCATGATGGCCCTCTTTGGCGACATCGTGGTCCCTGCGAAGAGCAGCTATCCTCGGGAGATGAATTTGCCGTGATGGCATTCAGCACCGCGGATAGGCACAGTAATCCAGGAAATTGCATGGCTGAGGCACAGCGAGACCCTTTTTTGCAAACCGCCTGTGGATCTTGAGATCTTTATGGCCTGCGGTCATTACATCATTGCAGAAAACGGCCTGATCGACCTGTGAGCTTGGATGGTCAAGCAGGCTGAGTGATGCATACGACTGCTCAGCCTTGCACCTTAGTCCCTCGGGGCTCCAGTGAACACTCACTGCCTTAGCCTGCACATGCTGGGTGCTTCAGAGCTACGTGCTGCGATATCCGGCCCTGTCCAAGACAGGTTTCAAAACTGAGTAATGCAAGCAACATGACGCAACGTGATGATGTTGTTACATTTGTAGTAGTGCAGTCAACTTCTGGAATTGGCCTCCTGGCGCTCTTCGCGAGGTCTCTTCCCTATGAGTCTTGACGAAGGCCATGGCCCACAGGATTGCGCAAGCAGGTCCGTGGCAAAAAGGTGTGCGGTCGGGTTGTCAATTTTGTCGGTCTTGCATGCTGCCGTGTGCAGATTAGTTGGGTATGTGGGGCTCGGGCTGTGCGTTTCTACAGTATCTATCATGCTGCGCCGATGCGCTTGGCCTGTTGAAGCTAATTGCTGTGGCCCAGGGAAGCGCACGTGCAACATGGGCAACTTGCCACACAATGGGCGTGCTATCCGACAGCAGATTCATAAAAGTCAATCTTCCCCCAAAAAAATGGGGAAAGACAAAACGTCACGAAATTGCCAAAGTGCTTCTGGCGAAGTGATAAACTGTTTCATCTCCAGAAGAAAACCGAAGCAAGAAGATGAGCCACGCCAAGCCTAGAGAAGCTCAAACGGTCAGAGTAAGCTTGGCCAAGGCCTTCCTGGAAGAAGTGGTCCCAAAGGGTTGCCTGGACAAGGGTTAAGGGTTGAGGGTTTAGGGTGAATTGAAAGGCTTGCCAGAGCATGTGGAGGCATCGCCGAAAGAGGTGCGATGGTGCTGCGCAGGGTTCATGAGCTTCGGGCCAGGGGTGCCAACGGCACACTTCCAGCGAACAGGGTCAACCTACAGCACTGGCGTCAGCACCATTGACGGTAGCACTCATCCATCCTAGACCGTGTGCTGCAACATCACACGGGGGCCGGGCAGCCACTCCGTAAACAGGAGGCCTGGATGCAACTTCAAGCTTTCCAAAAGCAAATCCGGGCATCATTGCTGCTTGTGGCTGTGACGATTACCGTGCACCAAGACTGCTTTGTTAGTCCAAGATATGCAGCAATCCCTAGATTTCAAAGGCGGCAGGCACTCAACTGACCCCTGGGTGCCCAGCTCAGGGAGTTTTGCATGTGTTCCGCAAGATGAGCCGACAGGTCAGGCCTGAGGCCATGGGCTCCCATGTGCAGCGATGGGCGGCAACTCAGGAACCCGAAATGGCACTTGTGGAGGTTTAGGGTTTAGGGTTCTAGGGTTTAGGGTTCTAGGGTTTAGGGTTCTAGGGTTTAGGGTTCCAAACCATGGGCCGAAATACAGTGCTCTTTGTTGTGAGGGGGGCTTTTGTTTTTTGAGACAGCTTATTCGTCTTCCAGACCCTGTTAGCCCTGCATACTATACGATTACACGGTTCAGCAGCCCTGACATTATCTGCAGGCCATACTGCAAAACGAGCAGCGCCAAGAAATCTTCGTGACTTGTAAGTCAGGTTATGGCTCATGCTTGGTCTGACCGCGCAAATTCGACTGCTTTGTGGAAACGCATTCGAACATCGCTGCCTGACACCTCGCTTGGCTGCTTATTGAAGCCACATTCCGGTACAGCCGCCTTTTCCCTGCAGGATTCTTGGCTGCAACGACAAAGTGAGGGATTGTCGGTTTTGCTCACTCCTAGTCTCTCAAAGCTCCTCCGTGCAGGAGCCGGGCTTCACAGACAGGACACATGGCTTATCATGCGTTCGCTCAGGGAAAGCAAGTAGGTGTGCATTCCTCAGACAAACCTGACACACTTGCATGTGAACGTGCTCCGAGATTGCGCTACCAGCTGAGCGCTGCGACATCTCTTGATGCACAAGCTGCGCGATGGTGAATGAGCGCACCTCGCCGCATGGTTGGTGACGTGCCGATTGCATCAGCGTGGCTCACGTATACTCCCCTTGGAACCTTAATAAAACAATATGTTTAATATCCTCTTGGGTTTTGTATAATTAAAAATAAAACATGATTCCCAGGGGGGGATAGTCACAAGCAGGCCTTCAGCCCGTGCATGTCAGGAGCTTCAAACATGCTGCGCAGGTCATAGTTTTGAACCTTGGCATGATTTACAGAGAGGGCGCATCATTTCGCACATCTTTTCAACGACGAAGCATATGTCCCACGACTTTGCAGCATGGTGTTTTGAACTGCTCGACGCAGACTCTGAGCTGGAAGCCGTGGCCACAAAGAGCCAAAACACTGCCTGGTTCGACGGGTTTAGTCGACGCTGTCACAAAATTACTGAGAATGGGCACACCATCTGCCTACACAGCTGGCAAGCGTGCATTTCAGTGGCAGAGTGCAGTACAATCGTGGCCCGAAGCTTTTGTTGAATAGCTGGGCAGCTGCCTCTTCAGCCACGCAATGCCAAAGAAGCGCCGTCACAATGAAGTTCATGCCTCTGCAATAGGGCCAGGGCCCTGCACAGTATCGATTGCTCTCAACGGTTGCCTGGTTGGTCTTGGCCAATCAGAAGTCTCGGCTCCAGGCCCTGGACATACCCCACTGCCTCGTTCCGCGAACGCCTTCGGCCTTAGGCGCTCAGATCGGTGATCTCCCCCTTTAACTGTTTAAGATCAAAGAGATACCTCAGACTAAGTTGAGAGCGGGTGCCGCGTCGGACCTGCAAAACAGCTGCCGCTTCGGCATTGCCCATGGCAGAACGGATTCAACACGGCCAGCCTCATCGGTAGCCTCTTCACATTTTTCCTTCGCATGCGAGATCACATGCTGTAACCGACTCCCCCGAAACCCGGTGTCTGCGGGCACTGGTGTATATACTGGTGTGATCTGCCCATATCTGGCCTAACTACGCCAGGGTGCACGCACCAATCCAACGGTCATCAAGCAACACAACTCATCAGTGTTGAGCCATCGGCCCTCTCCGCTTGGGCCTGATCTCCATCAAAAATGATCCAGGCCTGCTCACGAGAAGGTGCGGCCACGGCAAGCCCTGTGACGAAGCAGCCTTCTTCAAAGACTGGCCTTCAGCAAGTTGGCCAAGGACCGCCGGCCAGGGCTGCTCTCTGCAAAAATACCTGCTGATAATTGCTAAAATAGCCATAGCTCTATCTGCAGAGTGTCCTCTTGCCGCATGCTCAGGGCACGCAGGGAGGGCCAGGTGCGGTCCAAGTCGAGCTGCAGTTGTCGCTCCTGAAGCCACAGCGAACTTGAAGGGATGGCATGGTGTAAACAACACAAGGCATTTCAACTACAAAGGCTGGGCCGGTTTAGTCGCGAGGTCCGCGAGATGCGCCGCTTTTCAGGGAGTGTGTGTGTGTGTGTGTGTGTGTGTGTGTGTGTGTGTGTGTTGTGTATCATGCGTGCAAGACCTGCAGTGCTTCTTCTTCATTTGGTCTTTCACCCGCCCCGGGCTGGCTGGGACTGCAGCCTCCAGTTGCAATTGCCGATCTTGATGGACCAACCAGTGCTGCGCAGCAACCGCAGGGATATCTTAGCTGCCTCTTCAACTTGTCATGCACATTGTCGGTGTCATCGGTGCATTGGTGCACTTTGATGCTGCCTGTGCTTTAAACGATTACTCCACCCTAGTGTATTCCGTACTCAAAATGTCTGGTGCAAGTATTGCAGTACACATACGACTAAAAGATGCACACGTGCTTGCCCGCCTGCCGGCCTATGCACCAACAAGATTCTGGCCCCCATGTTGAAAATACCATTCGTTTCTCTGACTCTAACTGAGCTGGCCTTCTCAGGCGACAAATGCGGTGATCCTCTGGCTGCCTCCTGCCATGCAAGCATTGCTGGAACATCTCCGGTTGATAGGGTGTGTTACGACAAACTGAACGCCTTCAAATGCTCAAGTATGGACCAAAGTTTAGTCAGCTTGCAGCTTGACAACGCCGAAGCACATCCAGCCTCAAGCAACTCCTGATATCGCCCACCTCAAGCGCGCAGTTCTCTTTGAGCAAGTTGGACTCAAAGCATGCTATTGCGGCAGCAGAATGCCTGCTGATCTGGAGCCACATGCACTAACACTAACATGATAATGGCACGTTTTCGTCAGCGCTCATGTGCGAGCAGTCCCAGCAGCAAGGTGGTCGTTGTCCCTAGCTTCCCAGACAACGGAGGACCCGGTAAAAAAGCCAATAGAAAGACCTGCTTGCAGTGCTGCGCTGGATCATCAGTGGTCACGCCATGGTGTGGAGTTTCTCAACCGGGTTTAGGGTTCAGGCGTTTAGGGTTAAGTTGAGGCCCCAGTTCCAATTCTATACAGCCCCTGCAGTGACTGGAAATCCCTACCACTCCTCACAAAGTTCTCCCGATGCAAGGAGGTTCCCTGACCTTACGCGCCCGTGCACGTATTGCCGCGGCGCAATATCTGTCATGGTGCCGGGTGCACACTTTGCATCAAACAACTTTGGCAAAACAAGGAAGGGCACCCACTGGCATGCAGCGTGATGCACTTCACTTGCGCCAGCCTGATCAGAACAACGTCTCAGGCCCTCCGAGGCGCGTGCGCTGCCTCACGGCTTCGACGTCAGCAGCTTTGGCCTGAGGTCCATGGGGTGATGTGCACCTGATAGGGTTTTGGGCTCTTGGATGAACCAGACCAGTGCCAATCTTCAAAAGCCATCTACATGCAAGGCATACAGCAACAACTATCGGCATCTCTCTGCTGATCTGTCTCCGTTGCTGAGGCATGTGCCCAACGTTCGAAGCGTGCACAGCGAGGCCTGCAGTCAACATCGGCTGTGATGTATCAAGGACCCTCTGACACGGACCTCTACGATGTGAGAAAACTGTTGCTTGGAACTTAATTAACTTAATGTAAGGGAGCACACTTCGTGGTAGAATTCCGCGGACGGTTGCGACTTGGACGGGTTTCCACTCGCGCACTTGGACAGAGGGAGCTCGTGCGTTGTCGTTTCGTGAGGGCATTTCTTCAACAATGACAGTTCTTCGGGGAACCATGCTTGTGATGTCTCGATAATTGTGGACGTGGTGCTTTACGATTTGGACGGAATCTCATTCTGAAATCTTCGGCGGAAGGGGAGGTTCTTGCTGCGTTGTTGGAAAGGGATTCCTGTCGATCAGAATCTCAAACATAGTACAAACATAGAAACATTCGGGCACACACGCATATAAAACATGTAGACGTGGACATGTATACATGCATACAACCATGATGCAGTGTTCCTGTATGCTTCATGCTTTTCCGATGCTCGAAGCTTCTAAGGTTCTTGGGCCTGAGGTCCCTGCGAGCTGGGGTCACCGCAGCGCTCGCAGGAGCAGAAGGGTGCCCAGACCTCGGAAGCAATCCAACAGAATGTCAAGGATATTTAGGGTTTAGGGTTTTTTTTTAGGGTTTAGGGTTTAGGGTCAATCAGATTATGCCAAGCTCGAGTGACTCTAAGAGCCTCTCCTCGTAGTGGTCTGGCAGGCACATCTCCTGAGGTGGACAAGATTAGAGCGCGCAGCTGAGCCGGTTCTCTTGTGGCACATCTCAGCATGGATGGCACCACAAGCAATCGCGGCACGTTGCTGGTGCTGGTTGCCGCTCAGTTCACATGTCTTTTGTCCCTAGCGCGTTGCCAATGGAAGCATGGGATGTGAGGCATCGCCGCAGGCAGCTCTGCATGGCCTGAGATAGTCTTCTTTGTCTGCGTGGAGCCAGATAACCACGCCATTGCGCTCGAAGTCGCGTGCGCAAGCAACCTCCGGATCTGATCTCGTTTTCAAAGGCAGGGTGAAGGTTCCTGCGGCCGAGCGCGGGAGGGCAGAAAGGCGGCCGAACTAGGTGAAGGATGCAGGGTCCACTTCCAGAATGGCCATGTCATCGAAGTAGGGTAAAGCTGCAGGCAGAAACTCTCGAGCCGATTCGAGGTCAAAGTCCGTCGTGACTACCACATAGAACCCGTCCTTCATACGACCAGGAAAGCTGCCGGGCCAATCCTCCAGATCCGACTCTCGAATGATGCTCTTGTACTCGCCCGGCTCCCTGCCTTCCGGGTCACCTCTAAACATCCCGAAGTTGAACACCGAACGTGGAAACGTGAGCTCCGCGCAAAATGTGCTGTTGAAGGCCACTGCCGTGTTTGCCATGGCAATGTGCACTGGCAGTCCATGTTTCATGGCGTTCACCACCCTCCTTCGCAGGTCCTCTCGCATGTCCTCAATGCTTATGGATTTTCTGATCATAGTCTCTCCCATGACCCATTTCGCATCAATTTGCACATACGCAGAATAGGTCAGGAACGTGTCGGCTTCCTTGGCGTGGCCGTTACACACAAGAAGCACTGTTCTGCTCCAGCGCGCAGCCTCCGAAATCCGCACGGGCAACTCCTGAGCCATCGCTTCTTTTTTTTTTGTGGGGCGCGGTTCTTGTTTCTTGGGCGCGGGGTGCGAGTCGTAAACCCGAGCATTCTAGAATATGCGGATGATGTGAAACATTGTTGCGCTCCTTGAAGCCGATGACGAGGGGCCACTGCGGAGGCTCATCTGGCAGCTCCGGCGGAGGAGGTGGAGGAGGTTCCAGTCCTAAACGATCGCGAGCCTCACGAAGACAGGCCTGCAGGAAGAGAGCCAGCACGTAAGCGGCTCTGTTCTTGCCCCGCAAAACGGCGAGGTCAGGACGGCCAAGTTCCTGAAACCTCTGATAGCTTTGCCTGGTGATGAACTCACCAGACTGCATCTCCAGCATCTCCTTCAACAGCTGGCTGCCTGTCCTCAGGGAACTTTGCGCATTGGCCCAGCTGAGGTCTTTGTCACCTACGTATTCGAGTGCCATGCGAGCTGGCAGCTGCTCAGCTTCATCTGCCGTCTCGGCAAGGGCGATGACTGCCTCTGGCATCAGGCCTGCCAGCAGCTCCTCGGCTTGCTTGGCACTCAGGGTCTCAGCATCCGCCGGCTCCGGCAGCTTCTTAGCCGAATCTTCCGTGGGTGGCGGGGGTGGAGAAGGCGGAGCGGGCGATTTTCCCCGCGTGGCGGGCTTCGCCGCTGGCTTCGCCGGGGCCTTGCCTGCAACTTTGGAAGGTGCCTTTCCAACAGCTTTGGCAGCTTTCGGTGCCATGGCTTGACTTCAGCTGGCAACTAAGCAACTACATGCTGACTTGGGCTGGCTTGGACCTGCCGAGCATCACTGCCATATCCGAATCTTCATCCGTGCCTCTGCGATGGCAATCTTGCAAAGCTGATGCTCCCAAGCTGCGAGCTGATGGCTTCTCTCAAGAAGGCAGCCGGCATGACCGGCATGACAACTCCTTCTTTGCCAGTTGGGCCCCGAAATCTTGGCAACATCACACCTACTATTGTTTCAGCCAGTGGGTGGACTACCGTGCGCACTTGTTGTATGTCGTGCTCTGTCAGCGTGCTCGTGCGGCTCACCGGGAAACAGCTGGGAACCGCAAGGCGCATGCCGAGATGTGCAGGGCTGGCTCCCAGACAGTGGATTCCCTGCGGATTGTCCCAAGCAGCCGTTGCGAACAGCACACCCTATACTACTAAATATAACCTCTATTAGAGTACATGAACCATAAACCTTCTTTCTGGTGTCATGTTTGGTCTATGGAAGGGTGAGACACCCTAATGTTCGCTAACACAGACCACGGAGTTCTTGGATCCTTTCCAGCCCTCTACGCTGCGGCTGCTCTCTTCAATCAACATGTAGCTGACTCCATGGTCTCATTAGTGACTCATTAGTGTCAATAAGCTAGAAATAGATGAGCAGGAAGCTGCCCTGTGCAACCTGAGCAGGACTGGCGCAGCTCGGTAGATTTCCGACAGCAGGGCTTGGCTTCCCGCCATGGAAATGGTCAAAACGATTCCACTGCATCTCTCAGGACTTTCCACAACCTTAGGTGCAATTTGCACAAGCTTCCTGCATGATGCCCAGATGCCGAAGATGATATAGAAGATGGTGAAAACGAAGCACACACACGCACACACACCCGCATCTGGAGGCTTGAAGAGTTCTGGAATCGGCTGCGCAGCGCCCTTCGCCAGATGACATAGCTGACAGCTAACGACTCCGAGATGCCCTTCCTTGAACATGGGGTTGTGCTTGATCGTCATGTGATCCTTTGCGGGTCTCAAAACAATTCACAGAGGCTGTGACATCCTTTGTGGATACTTCTTTATCTTTGAGCCTGCAGCCTTTCCACCCCTTTGCCACATTTAGAATCAGTATCCAAGCGTAGTGTCGGAACTTGAGACCTTGCATGTCTGGTCGTGGCAAGAAAACGATATCCCCACATATCCCCCGAATCCCCGAGGCTATCCACAATCTCAAGGCATGTCTGTGCTGCCTACTGCAGGTACAGGCCATGCAGTATCTGCGACTGAGTTGCGCAATCTTTGCACTTTACGATGCTGCACCCTTTCGGATGCTCCGTCCAGTCCTATCCAGTTGTGAACAACGAGGCGCATTGGGAAGACTGCCATCCATGGGGAGTTGAAAAGGACTTAGCAGCCTTTCAGCCGGGCTTTCACGGGGATTTCACTGTGTTCGCCGACCGTCGATGCGATCGATTGTCATCCGGTCATCCCCAGTCGCTGCCCAGCCTTCCAGCCATCGTAGGTCCAAGCGGGGAAGTGGCCCGCGAAAGCCTTGCCATCCTTTTCGATTCGGTAGGCTCCTGCAGGCCCCCGTAGGATCCCGCGCTGGAATTCAGAGGCAGGAAAGCAAAACGAACCCTAGACCCTAAACCCTAAACCCTAAACCTTAAACCTTATAAACCCTAAACCCTAACGACAAATCTGAGGCCTGCTTCCATGTTTTTGTGCGTATTGGTCAGGTGCCTCGGCTGCTTTCCATTCCCTCCGAACCAACTCAGGTAAGCCTTTGCATGCCAGGGCACGGCTCGACCAGATCCTCCATCTTGACCCAGCTATCCCAGGATCCGTCTGCCGCAAATGCCTCATGTGGGCATCTCCCCCAAAGAGAGGGGGGGGGGGGTCCCCTTAGACCCCAAATAGAACAGAATCCCTTAACGTGTCCCAAAAAGGGTAAGCAGCCACCACACTGCAGGGATGCAAAAGGTCATGACTCACCCTACTCATATGAGGTCACCGCCTAGAGGACCTCACCGAGCTGATTTCGACTATGGAATGCCTCCTTAGGCTTTAGGGTTGTTTAGGGTTTGTTCCCGGTCTACTTGTGGGGCTGGCTTGCCCGGCCATGCTTTGACAACGTGGGCCCCTGTGCCTTGCACCCAAGGAGCCGTGAGCGGACACTTGAAGGTGTGATACCCCACCTTCCAACCACACTGTAGGGTTTAGGGTTTAGGGCCTAGGGTTTAGGGGGCTGCAGAGTCTCACCGGACTCAGGATTCAGGATTCGAAGCCGTACTACAGTTAACTACGGCACAACTCGACTGCAACCAGACTGCCTGCCATCGTTTGATGCCTTGCCCTGACCAATCTACACCCCCCGCCTCTATTGCATCCTGGTCCATGATTTGGTCCTGCATGTACCATAAGCTGGTGTGTGAAAGGCGGTCGCAATTATCTGATGACAATGCCCCCCCCCCCCCCCCATGCGGACAGGATTCAACCAAGCTCCTTCGCCCACATGTCTAGAGTCCGCTTTCCAATATCTCCAGCACTGTTGTAGAGCTTGAAGACTGTGGGGTTCCTTGCATTCTTCAATCCCCTGCAGTTACCTCCACCCCCCATCGTTTTCCATCACCCTAGGGTTTAGGGTTTAGGGTTTAGGGTTTAGGGTTTAGCTGCCAAACGATGGGGGGGTGACGTGCAGTTAGGAACTCCGTACTGTGCCACCGATACAAGCGGAAAGCTTTTCTTTGACTGGGGTGCTCAGCTCCAGGCCTACTTGTGAGGCTCGCGCGGTCTGTTGCTACGCATGGCCAGTAGTCCAGTCCAACAAAAGCAGCGCTAATCTCGCATAGATGCCATGGCAGACTGCACCTACCGTGTGCAAAAGATTATAGTCACTTCCGAGAGTTCATCAACAACTACCTGGCATAATCTTCCTGAAACTGGCCTGCGCGCGCCGAAGGTGGACTTGACTGCTCGACTGGAGTACGTAGTTAGCGTCACTTGCGCAACCAAATACTACCATCACTCCAGGTGATCGATGCCTGTGCCTCGAGAGACACCGTGCCGAAGTAGCCCTTGCCATTCACTTCAGTTTCAACCACATTGGCCAGCTCGTTTTGAAGGAGGGAGGGTTGAATACCGAATGCGAAGTTCCAATAGAGGTACTCATCAATAATTTCGCCCATGTGCCGGCCGTTCTTCTTGTTGTACCAATTGCCTGTCATCTTCTGTACAAGGTGGGAGTGCCTCTGAAGCACGACCACTTCAGCCTGATCGAACGTTATCTGCAGGCTGATTGATTGCGCATCTTCTTTGCAGGCTGGGCAGGCATCCGTTTCCGCACATTCTGCCGCACAGCGGCCTCCCATCTTTGGGCTGTTGCCCTGCCACCCTGGCCACGCGCCGGTCTTCAAGGATCTTCACATCAGCGCGGAGAGCTCCACAAAAATGCAAAATGCATGCATCTAGAATGTTGGGTGACAGTTTTCTGCCAATCAGCTAGCTCATGCTGCGATGCATATACTTCCGAACGACTTGTCACTATCCATACGGCATGGTGCTGCAATGAACCAAAAGGCTGTGGTCATGGCACATACTGAGTTGTTGATCACAAACCACTTTTCGCAGCTCCTATTCTTACGTGTCTTCAAGGAGGTCTGCTTCCCGCCATGTAGCAACGTTCAAGTGGGGGAGTTCCCGCAGATTTCACGCAGATACAAGCTTCGCCAAGCACTTCTGCTGAACTCATTTGCCAAGCAAGCCTTTTAGCACCGCATCCCAAGTTTAAACGTCTCAGGGACCGCCCCAATGAAATCAAAACAACAGGTCTGAGAAACATTGCTTGTTTACGCGTTCACTTGCTGTGACGACGACCTGGTTCCTTGTCCAGTGTCGAGGGTATTCCGCCGGTCCCCCACCCTCTACCCAACCCCACCTGCCAACCCCGCGAACCCCAAACAAGGTGCAGGGGTCCAGAGGGGATGGGGGGCGGCGGTTCATGCAACCATGACAGGGAAGGTTGATTAAGGGGGTTCAGCTGCGACATCGAGTGTCCAGTACTCGAAGAAGCTGACCGGATCGCTTCGCAGTCTCTCTGCACCAACTTCCTCAGCACACTTAAAAGCTTCCTGGCGGAGGACACGCCTTGTCTTCTTACCCGCTGCTGCAAGACCTCATTCAACTTTGCTGTCCAGCGTCCGTGAAGAGTGGATGTTGCGCGGCACCCCTGCGCTTGTCAGCTGCATAGGACTGAAGCTGGGCTGCCATAGGCTCACAACATGTCGACGCACTGAGGCCTGCCTTTCGAGCATGATCACTGCAACTGGTTCGACACCTCTGCACTCGTCGTCGGGAAGGGCTACATTTCAACCACAACGTGACTATGAGTCTGTTCTGACTGCTGTTCAACCTCCACCCAACCTTGAATGCCAAACATCTGCCCCCTATCTCTGTGAGAAGCACAGCAATCCCATGGTTGTTGGCCGTTTCTGGACTCTCGTGTCAGAGCGATAAGCTGACCGCACAGAGTTTCCTCCGCAACATCAAAGTACACGTGGTTCACGTGGTCCAGGGGTCGAGCCTAGCTCAGCTCGTGCTCGCTTCGCAATTTTGATGGCCATTAGCGCGCCTGACAGAGGCGCGAGAGTGCTTAGGGCACTTCTCTCTACTACTTACTGCTGCATGCGCTTGCCTAGCTGGACTTTTGTTCTGATTCTAGCAGCATCAAGTTGCATGCAAGACTTCGGACTTCGTTGCGTTGCTGATGCAAAAACTCTAGCAGCTGCTGGCAGTTCAGCAACCATCAGCAGCCATCCATGGGCCATCAGAGGTTTTTCATCTGCGGCATCCCAAAGCCCAGCCTATCGAGTGTCCCAGGAAGGCAAAAGCACCTCAAAGCAGTTGGACCATGCAGCATTGTTGGCAAAACATGAAGAAACCCATCCATGTTCCATCCTTCCATCAGATCTTGCCAATGCTGCCTGCCTGTTTCCATAGCATCCTTGAAAGCGTCAAAGCAATCGTCGCAGAGCTGATCCAAAGTCCTGGAAGTCTCGCAGTGTCGTTGCAGCAGAGCGCAATGGGGATGTTCAGGTAAGTGCTGTGCTTACAGTCTGCACCTTCTCCTCATGCAATGTGACATGGGACCCACTGCACACTTCGGGACCTGGTACTTTGTAAACTTAGGCCAAGCCCATAAAGTGACAAGCAGAAGGGCCGAAAGAGGGTTGCAATGACATTCGGGCGAAAAAGTTCGAAACCAGCTGCCAGACGCATTCGGATGCCGCAGTTCGGACCAGGCAGGAATTGGGAAACAAATCTACCAAGCACCGGCAGACATTCAGACAACAGCCTGAGACGGACCTAATACCGTAAGCCGAAAAACGTGAATTTAACAAGTCGAGAAGCCTAACACGCTGTCCCAACCCTCAACTCCAGAGAGACTGGCCAGGCGCCCACGCAAGTCTTTCCCTGCCGAATATGAGACTTGCCTACTTTCAACGACACTGGGAGCTGAGCAATGTTGAACAATGGCAAGACTATTGCATGCAAGGTGTCGCTGAGAGAGGCGAAGCTATTGAGTCTTCATGATATTGTGTTCACACCATGCAGCGTGCAGTGACGTCAGTGTGGCAAGTCCTACGTACAGTTGAGATGAAAAGGATCGCTGGTTTGGATGCTCAAGTCGGGGTTGGGAGGGAGAGGGGTGGGGAGGGTATGAAATGAGTTTGACTTACGTTGCCTTATGTCCACCAGCCGAAGCTCTGCCACCAAGCCACGAACAGAAAGGCTCGGCATCGCGATGCCCGTGTCCGGGAAACTCGTGCGTTGCTACCTCCACTTCTGGTGGCGCCTGCGGCCGTTCACCAAAAGACAACAGCAATCTCAGGCTTAAGCACCTGAAAATCAGGAAAGGCTCAGCGAAGCTCGTGCACAAGCCTCCTCCTCCAAGTTGCACCAGTCCTGGCCCAATGCTTCCAAAAACACTCTTAGATCCCCCCTGACATGGAAGTTGACATCACCTGATGCTAGAGACCGCGATGCGAAATATCTGCATGTCCATGCACATGGATATATGAGTGTATGAGTTTATGAAAGTATGAGTGTATGACTGCATGTATGCACGTCTGAAATTGCTTGCTGATCTATTTGTCGTAACCTTGGTCTGTATGATGCGATGCTGCCCATACAAGCAAAACACGAGTCATGAGCACTGTTTGTCATACCCAGTCCACGCTGTAAGCGTCTGCAGCACCGTGGATGCAAAGGAGTCGCAGTACAGGTGCCCTGCGGGTCAGTGGCACTTTCGTGACTTGCCCGCGGAGTTGTGGGAATAGCAGCATGGACAAAGGACTTTCGTGTCCATGTGCACTGGCATGTCGACGACCAGGGAAGCTCACAGCCCCGTGGCCTCTCGCTGACGGCCTTCCCATTGTAAGGAGGCAGTGTCTTCTTCACCCGTTCAGGCAAGCGCGAGAAGTCGGGTAGCTGATGCGTCCTCCAAAGATCTCAGCAGTTGGAAAACCAAATTATTCCCAAGGTTTAGGCGAGATGCAACACAGACCGGGACCTATCAAGTTCGGCTACCTTCATGTTGAAAACTGGCTAGTGCGATCCCGCAAAATGCCGTTAAAGATCCCCAAACCCTTGACTAAGAGAACTGCAACAAGTGCCATCATCACCCTCGACAGTAACCTTTTGCCACTAATAACTGTGCACTTGGACCCGAGGACCTAAGCCCCAGCACTGTCACGTCCAGCAAGTAATCCGCCGACCCCGCCTTTGGGGTCGAGCGCCCGGGAAGCCCCTTACACGGGAGGTAGTCCTGACGACCCCCCCCCCACCCTCCCCTTCCCACCCGACCAGGGAACCAGTGACCCCCCCTCCCGGCCCCCAAAAGCTCAAAAACACTTTTTTTGTCGTTTTCAGAACCGACGATCCGCGACCGCCAACCCACAAAAATGCTCTGCGTGCTTCTCCCCTTCCGCCCCCCCCTGACCAGGGATTTTGCTGACCCCTCACCCACCGACCTGACGACCCCACCCCCACCCTTTTCTTCACCCAAACCCGAAGTCCATCCCTTGCACCTTACCCTTACCCCCTAACACCCCCCTTCTCCCCAACCCCCCTGGTCCCCCCCGACCTGTCGACCCCCACCCCCACCCCCTCCCCTCTCCCTCCACCCCACCCTCCCCCCTTTCTCCGCGTCCCCCCTCCCATCCCTCCCAGCCCCCCCCCTCGAGCCAACCCACAAAAACGCTCCGTGCGTGCTTGCCCTGCCCCTACCGCCTACTCCTCCCAAGCCCGAAGCTCCCCCTGCATCCCCCCACCCTCCGCTGCTGCCCGACCAAGGACTTACGCTGTACTTCTTTCGCTGTGCTTACCCCCCCTATCTGACGACCCCACCCCCACCCCCTCCCCTTCCCTGCCCCTACCCCCTACTCCTCCCAAGCCATCACCCAACCCCCCTCTCCCCCCCCTTTCTACCCTGACGACCCCACCCCCACCCCCTCCCTTCCGATCAGGGATTTTGCTGACCCACCGACCTGACGACCCTCCCCTTCCGACCAGGGATCTGCTGACCCCTCACCCACCGACCTAACAACCCCACCCCCACCCTTTTTCTTCACCCGAAAGTCCATCCCTTGCACCTGACCCTTGCCCCCTACACCCCCCCCCAACCCCCCGACCAGGAGACCCCACCCGACCTGTCGACCCCCACCCCCTCCCCTTCCGCCCTGACCAGGGATTTTGCTGACCCCTCTCCCCAACCCCGCAACCAGGGGACCCGGACCCACCCCACCTGTCGACCCCTTCCCCCCCCCCGACCAGGGGGTCAGCAAAATCCTGGTTGGTGCGGAAGGGGGTGGGGTCGTCAAGGGGGGGGGGGGTCAGGGAGCGGGGGGATGATGGTAGGGGCAGGGCGGCTTGGGAGGAGGAGGGGGTAGGGGCAGGGAAGGGAAGGGGTGGGGGTGAGTTGTCAGGTTGGGGGGGTGAGGGGGCCCGAAGTCCATCCCCTTACCCCCTACACCCCCCTTCTCCCCAACCCCCCCACCAGGGGACCCGGACCCACCCGACCTGTCGACCCCCACCCCCACCCCCTCCCCTTCCTTCCCCCCCTCCCGACCCCAAAAACACTTCCTCCCGACCCCACCCCCACCCCATCCCCTTCCCTGCCCCTACCCCCTACTCCTCCCAAGCCCGAAGTCCATCACCCAACCCCCTTCCCCCCATCCCTTGCACCTGCCCTACACCCCCCTTCTCCCCAACCCCCCGACCAGGGACCCACCCGACCCCCACCCCCACCCCCACCCCCTGTTGCACCGCCTTCCTTTGCGCGGCAGTGCGCGCAGCCAAGCGCTGGGCATTCCGGACGCGGGACATTGCGAGAAGCGCCCTACTAGTCTGCGATGCTTCGTCAATGTCAAACATCGCGTCAATGTCGTCAACATTGAAGATAAAACAGCACTGATGCATACCACTGTCTCCAATCTGCTGCAAAGCTCAAGAAGGACGCGCTGCAGCCTGCTTTTGGTTCAGATACTGTTGAAGGGCCAGATAGAGAAACTCAAAGCGTAAAGGGTTTTAGAACTGGAGACGAAATGGGAGCCTGCCATGACCTGCATGGTCCAGCAACAGGGGCTGGTAATGGCCCCATGCCTACAGGAACCCGACCCAGCGAAGGACGTAGAACAGATTGAGGGGGCATGACGGAAGGGGGACGCCAAACAAGATTAGTTTGTGTCTGCTGGCGCGTCCTCCCTTACAATAGAAGCAATGTCGGAAGCATCGGAAACATCTGAGATACGAAATGGAATGTGAAAACCACCATGAGTAAACGCATGCGCCGACCCCACACGCGCACCGACCCCCCGGCTCCACGGGGGTCGGCGGCAGCGGCGTTAGCCCTTAAATCGGGCAGCGCGAGGTCCCCAAAGGACCGAGCAAATGCGGACCTTTTAGCCCGGGTCGTCCCGGGAATAGCCTTGCTGGCCTCTGGCCTTCTGCGAAGCAGAATTAGGCCGGACGCCAGTGCCGCCGACCCCCGCGTGCCGCCGGTGAACGGTTTTTTTTTCGTGGTTTTTTGCGTCGCCACGGAGGCCCCCAGAGGGCACGCATCATGAGCATCAGCGGGTCCAGCCCGGGACCCCCAGGCGCGCATCAGGAGCATCAGCGGCTCCCGGGCGGGACCCCGGGGCGCATGACGCCCCCCAAAGGGCGGGCATAAGCGATGTGTCTAAGGTCTGGGCCAGGAAAAAGGGAGTTTAGGGGCCTTATAAAGTGCTTAGAAACGTTAAGGGAGTCTAGGAGCCTCAAACGCTTAGAGATTTGAAGGGAGTTTAGGGGCCTGAAAATGCTTAGAAACTTAACGCTTAGAGATTTTAAGGGAGTTTAGGGGCATCAAAATGCTTAGAAACTGCTCGCCCCGCGCTTCTGCCTGCGCTGCCCGCCCATGGGCGCAGCCCCTTAAAATTCCAGCCCCCCAAACCATCAATGCCATGCTCCGGCTGACAAAGGCTCACAGAAGTACTCTCCTCTCTCGCACTGCCTCTCTGCTGCAGCTGCTGCTGCCGACATTTACTTGGAGAGCGGGCTTCACACTAACAATCGCAAGCTCCAAAACCCACTTCAGCCCACTGACATCCTCGCAGGCATCTTCTAACTGGCCTACTTGGACTCGACTGATGTCAGGCTCCCCGAAATGTACACCCGAAATGCTGGATGGCTGCAGTCCTTCGCATCTTGGGCAGAACCGTGCCCTTGATGGGCTGCCGATTCTCGATAACATGGCAGGCAACCGCCTGACCGTCCAGAGTCATTAAACCAATCCAAAACAGGTCTTCTATGGGGAGGTGATATGGATCACTGGAAATGTATGGACATCGACCTCCGGTGCTTCCCTTATGACTTTTGTTTATTGACCAATAAGGATCCCAAAACTCTCGGATCTCATGAAGACCCTAGGCCTGGAAACGCCAATGTCGGTACCTAACACCTGGGGCTCTAGCTCTGGTCCCAGGCATGTGCATGACGTGTCACCATTGCGGACCCGGCCAGGTGCTACTTACTTCGCATGATTGCTCCACGCTGGCCAAGGCTTTTGGCGGCCGCGTAGCGTCAAAATTGCCGCAAGTCAGCACATCCCAAGCCAATGACATGCATGTTTGGATTCTGTATGCAGCCTTTTCTGTCACTTTCTGGGCAGGGAGATGAAAGACACAAGGGTGCAGAAGTTCTTGGACGCGAAAAACAACACGTGGCAGCATCGTTGTGCGCCTCGCCCTCCTGCACCCTTTTGTTGATCTCCTCATCCAGGTCATCGAAATCCATGGCAGCGGCCAAAAAACGGATCGTCAGTTGGCTCGGAACAATTGTTCTTCACAAACCGGTTCGGTTCTGCATTTCCACCACACATGAAAAATGTTGGAAATGAAAAGTGTTGATCAAATAAAGTATGTAAAATGTAAGCATAGCTATACATATATGTATAAATATGACGTCTATATGTGTATGTATAGATGCATATGTATCTTATGTATGATGTGCTTCTTCAATTATTTCTTCTTTTGTTTGTTAGTTGTACGCGGTCTCTCGTCCACCCCCCCCCCCTCCCCCCGACGTCAACCCCAAAAAGTGGTGGGGCTGGATTTGCGAATCCACAGTTCATCTTCCTCCCTGCGGCTTTCCCCCTAAACCCAAAACTCAAAAACCCCACCACTAACTTTCCAGGTGTCCGCTTTCCAAGTTTCCTCCAGGTTCCAGAGTGCCAGCCTCGTAGCTTCTTGGCTTCCATTCTGGAAAGTTGGGGGGTGAACATCTGGAAGTTTGGAAAGTTGGAGGGTGGAAATCTGGAAATCTGGAACTGGAAAGCTGATAAGTGAGAGCGCAGAACTTGGAAGTGCATAAAAAAGTTTATTGAATGCAATCCGGTATGATGAGAAAGCTACGATGCCGACTATGTCTTCTGTTAAGGTTAGCCAGGTGATTTGTTTGCCAAATCAACCCAAAACGCCACATGGTTTCCTGATGCCAATTGAGCTGGTTAAACAAACATTGAGGTACTCCAGTCAAGACTGAGTTGGTTCATAGCGGTACCCCACACCCCATTGAATCGCAAACCCGCGCCCCGTGGTGAACTATTCATGTTCCCGCCTTAACCCACTATCCATTCAGCAGGCACCAGCATGCAAACTAGTGAGCCGGGGAGAAACAAAAGAATTTCGCTAAATTCAACAATCTCCACCAAAAAAACACAAATCACTATTGCTATGACACGGGATGTCCGGCCAGAGGCAGGATTCACGGAATATTTTTTAGTGATGTTGTAAATGTTTTTTAATTTTTCGAAAATCCTCGATTTATGATTTATTTATGGATATGACAACACATATGTTTTTTTAATATGTGGCATAATATGATTTTTTCTATGATTCAGTGCATGCTGTTTTGTGATGTTTGTTTGCTCTCTGCCTGCTCAGGACCACGCAAACCACACCACTCAGACAAAGCAAGACATCAAGTATGGCTGGTCTGGTGGGGGGTGGGTGAGGGGCCGGCGGGAGAGGGGGGGGGGGCGGTGCGGGGGCGGTGTGGGGGCGGCAGGGACCGTGGGGGGGCGGCGCGGGGGCGGTGCGGGTGGAGGGGTGCGGGGAGTGGAGAAGGTGAACAGCACCTGGCAACGTGAAATCCTGCAACACACAGTGTTTTTCATGATTTTTTATGATTTTTTATGGCCTGTTTGGCTCTCCACTCCCCACCTCCTCGGCCCCTCCCCCTCACCCCCCGGGCAGAGTAGGGCTTGGGTGAGGGGCGATATGGCTGGAGTCCTGAGTGGAAGCAGGCTAAGGAAGGCTCCAGAACAAGCTTTGTCAAAGCTAAATGAAGCCATCTCGCGGGTCATAAAACAAACATATTTAAATCATAAACACAAGAAACCTAGAAAATTGCCCGAATACCAAAAACATATACAAACTATTTAACATCAGGGCCCCTGTGGCTGGAATTGGTGTCATGTCATAACACGATTGGCCCATCAAACTGACCAATGCTTTGAATCACCTTTTGATTGAGTTATCGTCCCGCGAGTTTGCTTGACACAAGAATGTTCCAGACGGATGGATTGTTCCCCACCTTCGGTGTGGGGCTGTTAGATTCTAATCTCAACTCTTCTCCTCGCCCGGAACTCTTTTCCTCGCTCATCCCTGGAGTGCCCAACCCCAGAGTGTCCCTGGAGTGCCCAACCCCAAAGTGTTCCTGGAGTGCCCAAATGCAGGGTGTCCCTGGAGTGCCCAACCCCTAAGTGTCCCTGAATTGCCCAACCCAGAGTGTCCCTGGAGTCCCCAACCCCAGTTGCAAGCACATACTAAGAAAGCGTATTTGAATCAATGTGTCTTTCATCTTATTTGCGTTCTTTCTTTTTAACGAGGATCAAGGTGGGGATGTTCGAAAAGAATTCCACATGTGAGTCATGAAAGAACCGCGGGGGCCATGTTTCGTAAATACGAAAACGTTTGTTCATGAAACGGCTTCCGTCTAAACAAAGGGCGGCACAGTCCATCAAAAGAAAACTCAGAAACCGATGGCAAGTTGACATTTATGTTACAAGCTATTCTGTAAGATTTGTGTTCGGGTATACAAGAACGGCCTTGGAAGGTTTGGAAGTGAGAGATCAAAGATCTCTGTGCCAGTGCACGATGTACACGTAAGCAAGTGGACCGCAAGAAAGGAGCTGTACAGCGTAGACCGTGCGTTCAGCGGAAAATATGTACAAACTATTCTAAAAAATGGCCAAACGGGGTTTAACACGTGTAAGCGTATTGAGAATACCGCGAAAGTGTCGGTGTAAGACCATACGGACACGTAGAGGAAATATGTAGTCTGTATATATATATATATATTGCAAGAAATATTTCTGCTCTAGAAGAGTATTCCTATATGCAGTGCTTTCGATGTGTTGCTTTAGCTGCACAAGAGGAAGAGGGATAGTGCAATTGAGACACAAAGACCGTTGTGGATCTTCGGGGGGGCAGGGAGGAGGGGGAAGACTTGCACATATTATATAGATGTACATACATAATATGGTTCATGTGTGTGTGTACTACTGCAAACATTCTGAACATTCATGCGACGTCGCAATACTGAGGGCACTGGCAATGCATGGGTCTACTGCCTGACAGCTTAAGCCCAGGGTCAGAACACATTCTGTTCAAGTTTTCTTCGATTGACAGCCCCTCCACATCTTCAGACTCTCTCCATTGCTCGTGGCAGCTTGTCTCATCCACTGCTTGAGGTCCTGTGAAGGTTCCTACTGCGCATGCGAGATGGAGTGGGAACATGTTTATGACAGCTCGGCTCGGTGAGCGGCCCTTTCAGCAGTGCCGGTCTAGGGCAAGTTCAGCGGGTCGACGTAGGTGGTCATGGGCTTGTCGGCAACCATCAAGGCGGCTTCGTCGTAGGCTCGCGCAACCCAACGGCGAGCATTCAGCTTCTTCTTGGTTCGGTGAATGATCTTGTGCTCCTTTCCCTGCCTCAAGTAGTTGGCAAGGCGGTTGCTCATCAATCGCTTGGCCTTCTTGAGTCTGTTCAGTGTCTTGCGACCAGGAGCACGAGGCCGGTTTTGCACCGCATAGCGGTATTCACCCAGACGCCCGATCAGCGCATCCAAGCGGTAGACGTGACGAATCTTCAGCTCCTCACGTATCTTCATGTAGGCGTCCAGGTTCTTGGTTGCCAGCTTGTCCAGGAATTTTCGGCGACGGGACACCAGACTCGTCAGCTTGACTCGACAAACGTAGTCAGGCTTGAACTCCCTGGCATGAAGCACAATGTTGCGGATTCGCTCTGTCAGGATTGCGATCTGAACTTCAAGGCAGCCAATGTTCCTGCCGTCGGGGCCATCTCTTGTCCACATCTTCCTGGCATTCATTTTGGCCAAGTAGAGGATGTACTGCTTTGAGGGATAGAGATCATAGCGAGTCAAGCGGGCAAGCGACTCGTCCTGTGAAGCCTCGTAGTCCTTCATGTATTGCTCCAGGTCCCCCTCGTCGATATCCTTGTCAAAGTACTGTGACATTGCGTCGCCCTCCTGTCTCGACGGAACCCTTTGGCTTTCGGCCTGGCCCTCTTTCATCTGCTCCGCTTCCTCGTCCTGGTCCTGCTTCATGGCACCGAGCATCCCACCCATCAGGCTCTCGCCCTCAGCTCGCCTTGCTATGCAGCTCTTTTGTGCTGGTCGGGCTGCGCGACGGGCAAGTGCTGCCGAAACTAACGCACAAGCGAGGATGCTGTATGTCGACGCTCCTCGCGGCTCAGAGCCAGCCACGTGCTGGAAGCGCTGGGTTTCCAAAGAAGGCGTTGTCAGGAGGGCTTCTCGCGCTGGTGAGCGGATGCTGCTTCCGCCACTACTGATGAACGTCAGGCTGGCTGGCACCAGGACGACCGCCCCGAGGAAGAGGAGAATTGCGGCGGCTGCTCGGCAGCGCGGCATCGTTCGAGACAAAACTCCCATCCTGCAGCCCGAGTGAATCATGAGAAAAATCACTTCGGGGTGCGCATACCTTGCACAGGACCGACGACAACGAAGTTGCCGGAAGCATGTCACGCATATCAACCGAAATTCTATCGACCTGAACCATCATGGCACGTGCAGCAGAAGCAGCAGCAGCAGCTGCTGTGCACGACTGCAAATGAACAGAAGTTTGGATCCCGCTCCTTGAGAACCTTGATATGCGCTGCCGCCTGAGCGCGGGGGACCCGGACACTTAAAGGATGTAATTACTGTGCATCACATCACACTTGAAACGAGGTCAAGGTACTCTGGCTGCTGCACAGCCCCTGGATTTCACCCCTGGCTCCAGACCACATGCTGTGTAAGTGTAAGGCTCTGACTCAGCCGCGTGGGACAATGTGCAGAATGGTAGTCAAGCTGCCATCTGCTTTAGGGGAAGAGATATTCGAGCACCGGTGTGCATGGTTGTAGATGGATCGTCTTGTAAATCAAGGATGAGGGAGGTGCTCCGTTGTACATCCTACATGAGAACTTGACTCTAGCCTTGAGGCCGCAGGCAAGAGTGTCCAGGTTAAGTGCTGCAGCGTGCATGTACATGTAAATGCAATGTAACTCCAAAAGCCGAAAAAGGCAGAAGGCAATCTTCTTTGTACTCTGTTTGCGTGCCACAGCTCGCTCTCTCACAGGCTTGCTCGCCCCTTCAGCAGTGCCGGTCTAGGGCAAGTTCAGCGGGTCGACGTAGGTGGTCATGGGCTTGTCGGCAACCATCAAGGCGGCTTCGTCGTAGGCTCGCGCAACCCAACGGCGAGCATTCAGCTTCTTCTTGGTTCGGTGAATGATCTTGTGCTCCTTTCCCTGCCTCAAGTAGTTGGCAAGGCGGTTGCTCATCAATCGCTTGGCCTTCTTGAGTCTGTTCAGTGTCTTGCGACCAGGAGCACGAGGCCGGTTTTGCACCGCATAGCGGTATTCACCCAGACGCCCGATCAGCGCATCCAAGCGGTAGACGTGACGAATCTTCAGCTCCTCACGTATCTTCATGTAGGCGTCCAGGTTCTTGGTTGCCAGCTTGTCCAGGAATTTTCGGCGACGGGACACCAGACTCGTCAGCTTGACTCGACAAACGTAGTCAGGCTTGAACTCCCTGGCATGAAGCACAATGTTGCGGATTCGCTCTGTCAGGATTGCGATCTGAACTTCAAGGCAGCCAATGTTCCTGCCGTCGGGGCCATCTCTCGTCCACATCTTCCTGGCATTCATCTTGGCCAAGTAGAGGATGTACTGCTTTGAGGGATAGAGATCATAGCGAGTCAAGCGGGCAAGCGACTCGTCCTGTGAAGCCTCGTAGTCCTTCATGTATTGCTCCAGGTCCCCCTCGTCGATATCCTTGTCAAAGTACTGTGACATTGCGTCGCCCTCCTGTCTCGACGGAACCCTTTGGCTTTCGGCCTGGCCCTCTTTCATCTGCTCCGCTTCCTCGTCCTGGTCCTGCTTGATGGCACCGAGCATCCCACCCATCAGGCTCTCGCCCTCAGCTCGCCTTGCTATGCAGCTCTTTTGTGCTGGTCGGGCTGCGCGACGGGCAAGTGCTGCCGAAACTAACGCACAAGCGAGGATGCTGTATGTCGACGCTCCTCGCGGCTCAGAGCCAGCCACGTGCTGGAAGCGCTGGGTTTCCAAAGAAGGCGTTGTCAGGAGGGCTTCTCGCGCTGGTGAGCGGATGCTGCTTCCGCCACTACTGATGAATGTCAGGCTGGCTGGCACCAGGACGACCGCCCCGAGGAAGAGGAGAATTGCGGCGGCTGCCCGGCAGCGCGGCATCTTGCAGTTCTGCCAGACACGCCGCAGGCGTAGATTGGGCCTAGCTAAGAAGCCCTCGCATGGCTGGAGCCAAGAGCGGGCTCTTCTATCAACAAAGCCAGCAATCATACAAAACAAATAAGTCTGCGTCTGGTTCCTAGGCAGATGCAAAGCTTGTTTTGCACCACAGCTGCACTGGGCTTGTTCAAAAACTCAGGCTGCTTAGCAGGCGACATGAACTGGGGCCGTCAGCCCGAGGACAGTGCGTGCATGACGTGGCCGAAAGCTTGGTTGAATTCACCCATGTTCACTGATCTTGGATGCTATCATCACGTAAAGGACACATTGCATTGATCGTATCGTGGCGAGCTTTTGCATCCGGACTCCCGTGTATCGTGGCGACCTAGCATGGCGACCTTCCCCTCTGCCTTCGCGCTCAAGAATGCTCGTGGTGGACAGACCGATGCGTGTTGCTGGACGGCCTAGATTGCCTAGATGCCCTGGATTAAATGCTTTGGGCTACCTAGGCAGGCTGGGACGAGGGGGATGATCGTACGAGCTAGAAGCACTCATCTGATCGGCACAAACCCTGTGGCACCCCATGTAAACGACCACCCAATGAATCCAAACAAGCCTCTCAGCACCAGCTTCCCTGCATTCGCAGTTCTAGCAGATAGTGCTGCAGCGCGTTGTGCCAGCGCAGCATCGAATAGAGAATGGAATGGCATCAGCATCAAAGCCCACAGTAACTAGCTTTTGAACATGGCAGCCTGATGGCAGCTTTCAAAGGTGCTCGTGCCATTCTGCGCTTGCCCCGCGCAGCCGACCTCTACATCGGCGCAGGAGGCAAGAACGACACAACGGCATCCGCAACATCTCATAACGCAGCTTCCAACATCTGGAGCCAGGCTTTGACAAGGTGAGCTCCTCTTTGAGGTCCTCTGACTTGTCTGCTGCCCTGCACACTCTCCGCTGGGAGACTCGCATGAGTTATCTGCCCATGCTTCAGTAGGCTCCAGGTATCATTTGTGGCACAAGGCATGAAGAGAACCCCAGTTTCAAGCGCCATGACACCGGCGTGCCACGTTTAAAACAACCGAACTGGCACCCCTTGCAATCGCACGCCTCCTGACTAGTGACTAGTGGCTTCTAACCGAGGCTTGCTGTCTTTGTTTACCTTAAGTGCGACATGCCCTGAATGTGCCCCTTGCTCACGTGCCACTTGTAGGAGGAGCGCGATTTGCAAGCAAAGACCGAATTCAGTCTAAAAAACACTTTACCGGCATGTCAATAAAGCATGCATGCGTACATGGCTGCGGCCAGGCCCGGGCAACCGGTGCCGCTACTGTACTCTTGTCTGCTTTTGTTACAACTTTTGGTTCTTGTCGTCATGCCTGTATTCTCATCGGAAACTCTGCAAATTGCGGTGTTTTTTTGAAGGCATTCAACCACTCCACAACACTCCCACATGCTGCAAAATACATCATTCCGAGATATTTGACCCTTCGACAATTCGAAATACCGCATGCCCTTCTCTTTGTCAGGTCAGCCCCAATCATTGGAACTTGCAGAGCCAAGCGTTTAACCCCAAAAAATATTCTGTAACACTTGCTTTGTCACAGCAGAAAGGCAGGGAACATGAGTCTATTAAAGCCGGAAGTACACGAACAGAAGCAATGACACAAAACAACAAACAACTATTTGATTCGAGCAGACTTTTTCGGTGGGGTTGTATCTGCTTCCCAAAGGAATGGAGTCAACCGGTGGCGGAAAAAAGAACCACCAAAAGCATGGTCCCTGCGGTTCATGTGCCAAGATGGTGCCTAGCCCCATGATTGCCCCCAGGGCAGTTGGCCAAATGCAGCCTAACTTCTGGAAAAATCTGTACGAAGCGGTCATGGTCACGATCGTGCAACACTTCTGGCACGGCTCATCTTTGCAGCACCCAGTATCATCCGCGTCTCATCAGGAATTCGGCTGAACTACACATTCCGAAAACGATTTTGGATGAGCTTCTGCCGGCGAATGTCTGCCAGCTTGAAGGCCAGCGGCATGCACTGATGCACCATGCGCTTCCTGAAGTCCTTGCAAAACTGCATGCTCAAATTCTGCGAATTTTGAATTCAAGCCAAGCGCACGAGAGCACCGGCGATTTCAATGCCACCTGACGGTTGCTGAGGCACGGGGTGACAGGCACTGCGGCGCAGGAACATGCAAAAGGACCGCAAGGGTCTTCAGTCGTTGCATGCAGGCAGAACGGGCGTCAGCACGATACCCAGCCTTGTAATCACACCACAATCCCCGTTGGCACCAGTTGTGCGCAATCAGCTCGTGCGAGAGCCAGCCCACAACCTGCAGGCAAGGTAGCTGTTTGGGAGCTTCCAAGTGCTCAGAACGATCATGAAGGTTGCTGCTACAATTCGATGGATGCACCGGGGGCCAACTGAACCCACATGAGGTTGAAGCCTGCGTGAAATGCGAGCTCGGAGGCTTCTGACACCATAGTGGTGGTGGCACGAGAAATCCTTGGGGAACAAACAAGTGATCAGCCCACAATGTCTTCACACCTTTTTCATTTAAACACTGATGAGAGTGGTGCCTAGCAAATCCACAGATTCACTGATGATGCTGCTTCAGCCAGTGCAGCTAAAACGATACTGAATCTGCGCCAGAGGTCACACTGTGGACGTGGCAGATGGGCCTAGCAGCTCAAGGCACATGCTCGACAACTCACTTCCTGAAAAACCAGGTGTCGGCAAAGAGGCGGCTGCGATGCGATGGCCGTTGGAAGGTTGTCTTCATTGAAATCCACCTTCACATGTAACTGATCTGCAAGAGGGCCAATTGAAATTCTACTTTTAAATTCTGAACAGAAGCTTCAAGGCTTTTAGACAGGAACATACAAACTCATGCAGCGCCATGTTGTGCTAAGGTATCCATGGAGATCCTTCCAGCAGCATGTTGTGACATCCCTAGGCACTCCCAGCCGTCGATGAGCTGAATGCAGTTGCTTGTAAGTTGTTGCTTCGTGATTTCCATCTTGTGGTGTCTCTCAGATGTTGAGAACCGCAACCTCGATGCAGGTTGCCGAGTCATGCTTTCGGCGATTCGGTATAGTGCCAGAAATGATTGCGAGCCGCCTGCCTAACCCTGCCTGCCGGCTAAGGAAAGTCTTCTTCATAACTTCACAGAAGGCAACGCCCCGTGGATCAAGGCACCGCAATTCCCTAAGGCACCCTGGCAAGGTGTGTCAAACCGCAGCTCGGGAGAAGACCAACACAACCCAACTTTCATGTGACGCCTTCGATGTTTTCATGCACATGTTGAACAACGTTTAGCCCCTAAAGTTTCGCCACCCAATTTTTGTTGCGCTTCACAGCGCATCCCCACCCGAGACATGGCTGAGACCTGAGGCTCAAGAATGGGAGATCATGGGACATCAGTAGGGCGGAGACTTGGATGTGAAACCTGGAGTAGATGTCGGCGGGCCGCCAGCCTCTTCCTCTGAGAACTGGTCTGAGGGATGATGCTCCTGTTCTGCGAGTATTCGGCTCGCTGTCTCCAAACCCTAAACCCTCTAAACCCTACAAACCCTCTAAACCCTATAAACCCTAGACCCCGAGAACTACTCATGCCAATGCCCGGCGAGTCTCGTCCGCGTTGTGGAGGGCATCTGTACTTCTCAAAGGGATGCAAGGCCTCGCCAGGGGACTTTGCAAACTTCGCTTCTGTATGGAATAAGACTAGGCGACAGAATGTGCAGGTCCCCTGCCACCCTGCCAAAGTTCTGAAGCACGGCAGGCTCTATTCATGTAAAGCCGCAAAACGCCTTACTAGACAATGTATGTCAGAATAGATCGTGCACTTCACGCATTTCATGCCTTGAACAAGGCAAGCTCAAGGGAAGATACAGATGCTGGCATTTCTGCCATGCAGGGCTCTTCACCTAAACCCTAAACCCTAAACCCTAAACCCTAGACCCCCATTGCATGATGGGCAAGGACAGGCAGATGGTACCAAGTGGCAGCTTGTTTGCTTGCTCGGCTGCGAGCTGCTCAGCTGCATTGATGAGATGGTTTATCCCCTTCCTGAAGCAGCTTCGAAGACTCGGACCATCTTATATTACTCTTTGATAAGTCATATTTTTTGAAGAGTATAAATATAAATATATATATATATGTATACATGTACATATACATGACACAAATCTATTAAAACCTCTTTCTGGAAGTGCGCGCAAGCTCTGACACAAGGTGCAGCTGAGCATCGAAGCATTACAAGCCAATCCTGCATTGCGGATTCGTGCTGCATGCGCATAGGCCAGATTGCAAGGCTGAGACGCTCATAATTTTGCCACACCCTGACCAGCTGTTGCCAAGAGGCGGGGGAAGCGCGTCACCCATCCTGGTAAATTTCTTCCAACCAGGTGCATGCACACCACCTCTGCGAAGCCTCAGCTTGCCACATGACTGTAGAGCCCGTCAACCAATGCCCCACAAGCATGCACGAAAGTGCGACTTCAGTAACCCTGCAGCCTGCAAGAGAAAAAACAAGGTCACATTTGGACTAGTGTGTAGTTGTACAATATAGGAGTCTTTGGACATGCGCAATGTCGACACTTCAAGAAATTGCACTGAACAGCTCACCAGAACCCAAAAAGATCCGAAACTGCATGGTCGACGCCGTCGGATGTCAAACAAGCACTGAGAGCTCAAAACCAAAGCCGGCCGCTGATGCTTTGCGTGTTACATTGGTCTGAGGTACATCTTGTGCAGTGAACCCAAGGAGACTCATTATTATTATTGTGATTATTATGACTACTAAGATTATTTTCATTAGTATTAGTATTCTCACTATTCTTCATATTCTTATTATCATTAGTTGTGTTGTTCGAAGGCCCTGCTGCCCAATGTCTCTCCCAAAATGCTGCGCGGATCCACGTGACAAGCATAAGCTTGGGGAACTGAGAACTACACGGGCTGTGTGTCGGACGCAAGCGAACTGGCGACCGAGACCAGTTGTGGAAGGCCAAAGCAAACGATGTCGCAAACACCATGGTGACACTCAAATCTGTTTCATGCTTGGATCATGTCCAGGCTGTCCGCCCCCACCGATGCGGACCCTCCATTTGATGACGCCCAAATGCAGCACAAATGAAGGCCTTTCGTTCGATCATGGGCATGGCAGCTTGCATCCATTGCAGGTCGCATACAATGGCATACAAGGCCCCAAGGACGAACGTAAGAGTTAGATCGGTGCCGCAGGGTTCCATTGTGGGCCGATCGGTGTGTATTCACACAAAGCGATGTACCCCCCCCCCCCCCCGTATGTTGAAGGTGCGACAAGGACCCATCAGCAGTTGCTCCGTACAACCACTAGGGCTACATGCGCCATGCAGCTGCAGCAGTTGCGCTCAAGCATATCGTAGTCACCACCGTGCCACTGGCTTGCCATTACCAGGTCCATGAAGCGAACGACCTGAAACTAAAGATCCAACGCCACAGCAATGGAACAGCACATGAACCATGGAAAGCCTTACCTTCAGTGGGTGATGTTACTTATGTGTTACTTGGCAGGGGGGTTAAGTCGTGCGAAGTCGGCACTCCGCAGGGGCACGCCTCGATTCGCGTGAAGTCGACCCATCTGCAAAAAGTCGACTGAAAATCCCCAAGTACACGCTTGTTTGAAAGGCGCGCGGCTCGACGTGCAAATTCGGCATGCGGTGCGAAACTCTCCTTTAAAACTGCTTCGAAATAGCATGGAAGCAAGTGGAAATAGGGGCTTGCTCTCAAGCACGTCGTGCCGCTGGGAGCTAGAAGCTGGAAGGAAACCAACAAATACAGCACGCACCAGCAGTCCACAGAGGCAACAATGCAGGGAAATGCCGATTGGAAATGCTTCCACCCATGAATGCTTCCAGTGTCCACGGACAACCGCGACCGCAGCTGCACCTAGGGACCTAGCTCAGTGGGGCCGCAGCAGGCGTTGACTTCACATGCAGAAATAGAACAACACAAAAAACGAGTTCAACTTTGACGAGTTCGCGCTGCTCTGCAGCAGATTTTAGGAAGCCTGTCAGGAACCGTTGCTGCCATGACCAATGCGCGTGCTTTGAGACTCCTACTACTCCCAGGACCGGGCCAGCTCGATGTAGGAAGCTCCGGTATGGACTCTCTCACCGAGGCCCAGTAACAAACATCAGCAACCACCACCACCACCACAACGACTCTGGCCTCCGCTTCCGGCTGGCTGGTTCGGCCCATGGCGATGGACATGCGGTAGACGTGAACCTCCTGCAAGCTATCTGGTGCGTCGCCAAAATGCTTGTTTGCCAGGCGCAGTGCTTCTATAGCTTGAGATCAAGTTGAGGTTACCTTGATAGACCTCGCTGCCTTTGGCTGGGTTGCAAGCAAGACGCATGAGTGCGAGGCTCCTGTCAACAGCAAGAAGTAACATCACTTTGGCGTGGGCCTTTCTTTCGCGAAGTGCTCTGGCTCTTCCCGCCTGGCAGATGACCCCTTCCTGACCAAACGACCATTCCTGCAAGTTGACATCAAGCTGATGACATATGCCAGTCAGATGTCCACTACTGTTGGCAGCTGCAGCAGTCCTTCCCATGCACTTCTACTCCGGCATGAAAAGCCCCTGAGCAAAGTGAATTCACCATGATGCAGATTCGATGACCATTTTAGACTTGGGTATGCTTTTTGGGACAGAGTTTTCGATTCACTGACTTTTGCCAACTCAAAACTTCATCAACGCTGGGAGATGTGCTCCTTACATCTCTTGCGTGTCTTTTGCCGGACGACTGTTGAGGCTTCGGACCGGCAGACAACTCAGATAAAGATTAGACGCGATCGGTGCCAGTGGGCAGGTGGAGGATCGGCAGCCCTGTCTCGCACTGGAAAACATTAGAGGCGGAGATCAAAGCACAAAGAGCCCGCGGTTGGAACTGCTCTGGATGCATGGCGACGTTACGAATCTGATGGCTGTGCAGACGGTGGTCCACAAAGAAAGTGCAGGGATGTGTGGAAGCTCCCGATTGGGCATGTTGCTGACCCCGGGAATCAGTCACCTCTGGTGGAACCACCCATTAAGAAAAAAAACTTCTTGCAGGGCGAAACCCTGAAGGTGCGATGGTATACCTGGTGAAGCCAGGGATGCGCAGTTACAGAAGAGTATAGCATTCTTCACACGCGCCGGTGTTCTCATCACAGGTTTGCATGAGCTCGCCATAAGTCTAGATGCGGCCATTTTGTCAACGTGCATGCTAAGAAGCTTAGCATGTTGTTCTATAGCTACTGTTAGTGTACTACTGTACTATATTGTTCTGGTATTGTTATTTGATCCCCGCCACCAACCCTACATCTTCACCACACCACACTCAAGTGCCGACAGACGATGGCCACCCACCAATAATAAGTATGAGAGTGCCGAGGCACCTATGTGCCTATCATGATTGTTTGTCTCAGCCCTGCCCGAATGTCGACAATCACGACACATGATCACACTCCAATTGCAACTATATAAGAACTTGCCTCCGATGTTGAGAATGTCCGCAGATATCTGGTTGGACTGCAGCCACTCATCGTTCAGGTCATAGATCTGGTGCCAAATTCGGTTGGGTGCGGTCTAGTCTCCATAGGTCCCGAAGATTCGCAAAGTACAAGGCTTGTTGCAACCCAGGCTCGTTCAAATAAACCTTACTTCAATTCAGCCCGGATAAAGAAATCAAACGCAAGATCTAAGCAGTGTCAGCTTTCGGCATTGGTCGTGGGAACGTTGCAGCTGGAGCGCAGTGGCCTCCCCCAGGATGTCACCATCAACATCATTAGGATCATATTCTTCATCTTGCTCGCTGCAGCGGCACTGCGCGTTATTTCCTGAGCGAGGAGCCCATGCTCTGATGTGCTCTCCTGATTGCCAGGAAGGGCCATTCTGACAACCAGTCCTGTGCCTACATGATCCTACATGCTGCCAGAAAGCCCATCGTGCTCGACGCTGCGTCCACAGCGGGCCGATTGGCCGCAGGTCGTGGCACGGAGGGAAGCTGAAAACTGCTTAAAGCAATAAGTAATTTGTATCATTTTGTATCAGAAATTCTGCTCTCTCATGCTCACAAGCTTGCGTGCAGGGCCTATCATATGGTGACATGCTGCGCGCGCCAAGTGTAGCCTTCAGAGCCCTATGCAGCTGTACCAAGTGTGGCAGAAAGTCTGGTGAGATTTTTACGTGTCGAAGGATGCGGAAGGCTTAGCACATGCAGCTCAGTAGCTTGTGAGGACTTTTCGCGCATTTTGGTCCATCGAGCAAGCAGAGCTCGGAAACTTCATCCGGTAGAACGCCCGGAGCTTCTCACATATCCGACAGACACCGCAGCTGCTGTAGCTGAGCCGCTCACTGTGAGATCCCTAGGAAGTGCATGGAAGGTCCACCGCAACACATGGCCACGCTCTATCCGCTAGCCGCTAGCCTGCGGCATCATGCCTGCAAGTGCCGTTGGCGCGTCCCATGCCGTCGATCACCCTCTTCACCGTGCAGGGAGTCGCGCAAGACATCACATGGCACCATGGGATGTGGGTTCACTCGTCCAAGAGGATGCGTGACAGGAAGCTGACCAGCTTGTTGAACCCGGCAGCTGTCTGTGCCACCGGCAAAGGGCGACACAGCACAGCTCGACTTTGGTCCTGCGCACATCGAATGAAAGGGCTCAGCCTACATGCCCTCCTGCCTGGACATCTAAGTACGCTATGAATGCGCACTGTATGCTGCTGTCATTACCCTTGCCAAATTTCATGTGCTTCGGTGAGCCCTGCGAGATCGGCTCCTGCGGGGGGGCGGGGACCGTGGCATTCCCCGTGAAGATCATTTCGCAGTGACCGGTTTTGGCTGAGTGTGTGCAGCACGACGGAGCATCCGCGGCTTCGCTGATACACTTTGCCCGGCAGAGTCTGAAGGATGCCGTTGGCTTCCAGATCTTTTTCTTCATGTTTCCGGCAACCACACACCTGGAGTTCTCGCGTGCTGGAAGACAAACGTTTTGAAGACGGTCCTGGGCAAGGCTTCGCTATGCTTCGCTGGTGACAAGAAAGGCGCTACTACCGTGCTGTTCTCAGCTATCCTCTCCACTCTACACTCGACTCTGCACCTGCTTGCGCATGCTCGCTCAAGCTAATACCTTGGAATGTGCTTACCGTGCAGCTGCGCATGTAGTGCTCTTTCGACTTGTGGCAGCAGCCCGGACAATGCATGCGAGCGGCTGAGGCGAAAACCCATTGTGCAAGAGCCAAGAGCAGTTGCGACGCTGCCTCTGGCACGACACTCTGGTTGAAGGCACCTGTCCTGAGATGGTTCACGAAAACCCCAAAAACTTCGCTCACATCTTTGAGGTTGGCTCAAGCAGCATCCAGGTGCATCCAGGTCACTCCCAAAAGCTTTGCAGGGAGTCATGGAGGCTGCCGGCATCCTCAAGAGACCCAGCAAAATCCGGAAAGATCGAAGGACCGGAATCAAGCCGCACAACTGTGCTTGGCGTGCCAGACTTGCCCACCAGCCTTCTGCAAGACTGCAACCAGACGCCGGTAGGTGCGCACTACCCTGACAGGCTCAGAGCAAGCTTGAACAGAAAGACAAGCTTGGGAGGGGGAGAGGGTCACATGAAAGGTTGTGCTCGTGGTTGGTTGCACTCTTCCGTTTGTGTAGGGATTGCATGATCTTCGTGACATCTGAAGCTGATTGGCGGTAGGCCCAAAAATCGATAGTCTAGAGGTCCTGCACTGGCCAGGTTGTCACATGTAAGGCTCGCGTCTGCTTATTGTGTTTGCCATGTAGCAGTAGAACCCTGCAGCAAGCCTGAGCACAACCAACGTGCGGGCTGCAACACGTAACAATCGACGTCCAACCATCGCACTTCGTGGGTATGGTGTGTCGAGTGCCTCAGGCCAAGAAATGCGGCAAGCTTCTGGGGCTTGTCTCGCAAACGACAAGCTCAGACACACACCAGCTCGGCAGTGTGTTCGTGGCCGAAGCGACGAAGGCGGATGGGCATGGGTGAGATAGGTGAGCCAGGCTGCGCCTGGCCGAAATCAAAACAAAGCCAAGTGGGCTTCAAACACTTCCGGATAACTTTCTGGCATGCTGCCTGCCTGAATAGCATGAAGGACATCAGCAACAGAATGCACCGGCTCATCACTTCTGCCAACGGCTACGATCTCGTCCAACCTTCGGCAACGCTGCCCGGGCGAGCAACCAACCAGCCGCAATTCTGCTCGGCATGCGCTGATCGGTCCACTCACTGCCGTAGGAACCACCACCGCAACAAACAACTACTCTAAACATCGATGGAGAGCTTGCATCCAAGCATCCACCGCAAACCTGCGCGCCGTGCTGAGCGGGAGGGTAAACCCCAAAGCCTTCTACAGGGCCAGATGAATGTCACAGCACCAGTTCTTTCTTGTTCTTTGCAACTTTCGTTGTGCCTGACTCCGTCTGCTTTGATGCCCAGGTAAGCGTTGTGCCGCCAACGAGGTAAAACAAGTCGCGCCGGCCCCATGGAGGCCTCAATGCCTGACGATCAATCGCAACAGCTGACACGATTTCACAGTCTGACGCGAAGACTAACACAGTGTAGGACCACCTCAAGAGCATCCCAAGAGCCTCCAACAGCACCCCAAGGCGCGTGCCAAGAGCGCCCCAAAATGACCCTCTTAAGAGCATTCCAAGAGTGCGCCTTAAAAGCCGATAGAAGGCGAGAGTTCTGATTCGACCACTCCGGGGCATGGGAAACTTTACGAATCCTGGAAGTTGTACTGTTTTTAACCCAAGCTTTCCGTGCTAACACTGGGGGGCTCCAACGTTCAGAGTAAGCGGAGTATGTAAATGTCGCCGTCCTCGAAACAGTCCTCGCCTTCTTGCTTCTCGAAATGCGAAGCTCTCGCCACTTTTGGACTGCTGGGCTCACATGACCTCTCACTGTTTGGGGTCTATGCTGGCATAAGCTTCTGCCATAAAATCCTGGATGGTTACGACCACACGTGGCATTACCATGTCAACATTTCTTGCTCGTTCCAGAGCAACGTTACGGCCCCATGTGAGCTCTTTCGTTCGTACCGCGCAAGAACAGGGGTGACTTGCTGCGGTTTTGCACGTTCAGGGCGAGCTCATGTGGCTTGCGACGTTGTGTCATTGTTTTCATACGGCATGGCCGGCTATCAAGAAGGCTCCAACAAGAGTCGGGTGCGCGCGTGTAAGGCCACAATGCCGGTTTCGTCTTGGGCACCTGCGTGAGGGAGAGAGCAGCTGCCCTTGGAGATGAGCTGTGGCACCACCTTGCGGTCAGGACGGTAGGAGTCGGTTGGAGGGTATCAAAGAAGTCCACCCCCACCCCAACACCCATGCACAATCGAATCGCAAAGAGTATGCCGCCTGCCGCACCACCGACACACTGATGGCAGCAATCACCACAGGCTGTGAGCCCGAAAACTGCCATGTGATCACGCCACTGACATCCTCAATGATTGCTTGCTCAGGAGCGGTTTGCTCAGGGAATTGGGAGGCACGCCAGAAAAGCATATTGAGGGCGACTCGCGTCCCCGTGCGCGCGCACTCGCGCGAAAATGGCATGAGAAGGTGCTTGCTGGGCGGCTCCACGGGAATCCAGCAGCGGGCCGCCGCTGCTGCCATGCCCGGCAGCGACCGAGGCAAAGATGACGTCATCCACAGAGCAACGCTCCTGGAAGTCCTGCAGGGCCTCGGCAAAGCAAAGTATAGAAATATACTATTCTGTGGCATTGCTAGTCCGAAGCTGAGTAAAGCCGGTAAAGATGAACCAAGATGAGCCTACAGTGCTTGAAGCTCTAGACTACACTCTTCAACTTGCGAAGGTGTGAGGAGGCGCCATGCACCCTGTTTTTTTCACCTGAGCTCGGCCCCTCTGACTTCTCAGACTCGATGGCATCCTTGATGAACTGAACGAAGTCCTTCCAAGAGCCGTGGCAAACGATTGGCAGGGAGGCCTTGTTTGTTAGGGCACGCTTGTTTGACACTTCAGACTCTATCAACGTCCTTCAGGGCTTCGGCTGTCCACATCGGTGAGGGTAGGCCCGATGAGCTCATCTCAGCAAGACTCCTTGCTCTCTGGCAACTTATGGCAGCACATGACCACCTCATTCAGCACCTCTCTGTGTACGGGCTCCGAACGTACGCCATCTTTCTTAGGTCCAGGGTTAAACGTTAAACGGCTTAAACTGTCAAAAGTTTAAACGCACACATGTTTAAACATATGGTTCAACATAAACAAAGAGTGCAAAGAGTACTGGTTTGGGGGTGTTGGGTTGGGAGTTAGGCTCGCGCCCAACCTTGCGAACTGACACTGGACCTAAAGCTCAAACTCTGAAGCCTCTCCCTCAAAACCTCGCACTTGGCAACAACTTCTTAATATTAACATATGTTAACCATTTCCAAAAGCAATTATTGATCCTGCATCTGCTAAACCTAGAGGTGCAAAATGGACAGATGCCTCGTGGTGACACGGAAAATACAATGGATGTGTTTTATACCATCAGTGTTTGCTAGGATTGTGGATGAAAAGGATCATAGTCAAAAGGCCATTAAACGGATACTTTGAAGTGTACTTATGCGTATCCTAGGCAGTTATTTTGGATGATATGGTCATGGCGAATTATAGGCAATTGAGGCTACACCAAGAAAACACATGTAGGAAGATGATGAAATGGATTACAAAAAAGTCAAGTGAGGCAAAAACACAACGCATTTTTGGATCCAAGTTCGGTCAATTCAGGTTAAACGCCAAAACAAATTGGCCCGTCCCTGCTTGGGTCTGCTCTGTCACTCGTTTGCATGAAGCAGAGAAGGCTTCACACTCCAAGGATCAGGAGATGTGAGTGGACTCTGGAACTCGGACAGGCTGCCACTGCAAAACATGGCTTGCAAATACATGTGCACACGTTTCCATCACGAATTCGACATGATTCAACAAGTGACATCGCGGGTGTCGACGACGCAAAGCATCCCTGGAAAGGCAAGTCAAAAGCAAGGATTTTAACTATCAGAGGCTTCTCCCAAGCCTTGACCCCTGTAGTTCAAGATGCCACTGACACAATCTTGCTTGCTTGCTCGCCTGCCTCCTCCAACCCATGCCTGCTGTCAAAAAAAGTGCCTCCCCTCATGCGGCTATGTCCAAGTAGCTGCACACACACACACACACACACACACACACCTCTGAGTCAGCCCTGCTTACCAACTCGACATGAAGTCTGTCACTGACTGGTTAATTAAATCAGTCAATCAGCATTACGGCTTGGCACCTTGTCAGGATGTCGCCTTCTGGCGCGTCGGCCTCACACAGCCCAACCAACGCAAGCAAAGGTCGCTAGAACGATCGCTCCTCTTGCCACGCGCCTGGGCCAACAAGCGCACGACGCCACGAAGTGCCTCAAGCAACTCTGGCCTCCGGTGTAACACCTGGCAATGAAGCTTCGGGTTTAGGATTTTAGGGTTTAGGACAGCTTAGGCACAGCACAGGACGTAGCACTGGAATGCTGTTGGCCAGCCTCAGCCCACTCGGCTTCTGTCATGGCAGCGGTCACCGGGGACAGAAAACCTGAAACCGCTCCTGCTCATCGGGCTCAGGAATGGGCTGCAGTTACTGACGCAGACATGAGCTACTGCGCGATTCAGTTTAAAGCCAGTCATCGACCGTAACCAGCTCCAGCATACACCAGAACACCCGTAAAGAAGACATACACGATTCGACTGCCCAGCCTGCTCCCTAGCGAATTTGAGTTCTGCTGACCATTGAGCATAGGTTGGAACTTCACGCGAACTGTTGACAGGAACCAGTTTATGAACATCTCGTCTTGCATTGCTCTTTTCTTACCCGTCACAGACCTTCTATGGGCTTCGTGTTTGAATCCTTCCACCAAGACCCTTGGCTTGCTCCTGATAGCAAGCTCTGAGTACTGGAAACACCTCATTCGCTCAACGCCTTCGTAATTCTCCTGTGGGATTGTTTATCGGAACGCAATGCTACTATGCCTGCTGAGGCCCCGATGTTGCGCTGAAACTGCAGAACTTTCTCAGATCCCTGCTGTCCTGTGGAGCAGGTTTGCTGAAGACCCTCTGGCGGGTCGGAAGCAAACAAGGTCAAGTAGGAAAAAGCCACACGCAGGAGGATGTCCTGAAAATACCTTGCAGGATGGCAGGAACGACCGAACACCAGCTGAAACTGAAACATTCTGAGCTGCTCGCCTCTTGACACGAGCCTGGAGCTCGCCACCAAACAAAAGCTGCAGCCCCTGCCAGGCCAGCAAGACCTCCAAAGCATTTCCACCCTCACAGCTCTGCAAAAGGAGCTCCGCTGTCTCACGCAAGTAGGGCGCAACTAGCCACACTTCGCGGGCCATCAGTGGAAGCAGCCCGAACTCCAGGAACAGTGCAAATGCACGAGAATTGGGCTTGCAGTGCAGGCTTCCGAAGCCAAGCAAGTTCTTCAGCTGCGTGTTGCGATCTGACACGCTCGCGTCGGGCCCGAAAGCTTTCAGCAAGAATAGCACGCTTGAGGCGCAGTAAGGTGCAACAGCAAGGTATGCCACTTCCTCCTCCAGGAGCAGCGGGGAGCAAGTCTCCAGGACATGTTGCAAAGGTGGCCGAAAATTGTGCACCTCCACCGCCAGCGCGCGGTCCAGCATCAGGTGCAGCGCATCCCACCCGATGAATCGGACCACGGCGTCCGGGCAATGGTCCAGGACTTGAAGGAGCAAAGGCAATGCTAGGCCCAGTCCTTGGAGCAAACATGGAAGCAAATCCGAATGTCTAAGAGTCTAAGACTTGAGCTCACGCTGCGATAACGGGAGACACTGGCAGGTTCTTGAGCTTCTAGGGAGCGCAATGACGCGCGAAACTTGCTGCAAGTTCATTTTGTGAATTCAAAAAGGTCCTTAATCATACACAAGCTGTTCAATGGGCCCTTGATCAAGGGATTTTTATGTTAACCGCCGGTGCATTCTCAGGATTTAAAACAGGCGAAGGTTGAACAATTCTAAAACCGCAGAAGACGTAGCCGTTTTCACCGGAAGCCAATGACAATGTAGCCGCCGGACAGTTCACGACACCTACCCCTCTAAAGATGAGTCTTTCCTGGTGACCAAAACCTCCCGTACATCAAGGAAAAAGTACTAGTTTGATTACAACTTCTACGATGTCCGTGGCACGGTCTTTGAGAACCAGGTAATCGCACTGCTGCATTAACCAATGGAGGCTGCGCACGATGGCAATGGAGCAAGCTGTGGGCATGCTTGCACTGGCGTCCGAGGCATCCGAGCTTGGCTTCAGCGATGACAGTCGAGATCTGATAGCACTGAGAGCTTGAGGCAAAAGCTCATGCAACGCCCCAGCCACCAAACCTTCTTCTTGATCCTTCTGCGTGGGGTTTGCAGAAGGTGCAATCCCGGAAGTACCCAGCCAAGTCTCCACACACCGCTTGGCTACCTTCCGGCTTTCTTCAGAAGCCCAGGGTGCTGCCGCGATGACTGCAGAGTTTGCAGCATGTTGCCGTGACTCGGTGAGCGGGCTCGCTTGGATTATCGGCGCAGTAGAGCCCCTTCGGTCGCCAGACCCGCGAATGGCACTTGCATCACGGAGCTTAGCAGCAGCACGGGCCTTTGCCGAAACGGGAACGCAAGTGAACAGAGTGGCACCTGCCACCGACAGCAACCTTCCCAGAAGTTTGCGTGAAGCGCTCACACAAAGCAAGCGCTGCCAATGATCTTGACCGGAGCCGCCCTTTCCAGCAAAGACCACTGCCTCAAGATCGCCTAACAAGGCTTCAGCAGAGCCGGCATTCAAGTTCCCTTCCGGCGCAGGATGCGCCATGCATGCAACTCTTGGCACTGTAGATCTACAGCGTGCGCTTGGGCCAAAAGATTCCCGAACTCTTCAACAACATGCCTTTTGACGATCTGGTTCCATGTGTTTCGGCAGTTCTGGGGTGGGTCAAGGGAGGCAGCTGATAGGACCTGACAGTGGCAATCGCTCAATGCGCTGGCTGCTGTATTGCAGAAAAATGGAACGTCATGACGTGTGATGTTACAGTACCAAACTATCCTGTGCCAAGCCTTCAAGCCCCTTCCAAGCCTTAATTGCCGCCAGTTTGCTAGCTCTTCCTAGCCGCCTAGCTGACCCAGGCACCACATCGGCCAAATATTGACCAAGTGGCTCGGAAGTGTTGTACGGCGCGGGAGCTTCGCCGGCCGACCCCAGTGACGTGGCCCACGCCGAGAAGCCTGGACGACCAGCCGAAAACAAAGTCACATCATGTTCCATTGACATGATGTTACCAGTTGCATGGTCTACGTGTGGTCTGCCTGCCCTTCGACAGACCGAATGATCACCAAATGACACCCCCTCTGCCGGTAGCGGCGTGTTGCAACAGGCGCTGTCGCGCGCCACACCAAGCTTTGCGGCACCCTCACCGATCGCATGAATAGGTAATTAATGAATGACCAAGACACACTGCAGTTTGGGGCGACCGGTAAAATGCACGATCCAAGTGAGTGCAGGGTGTTTCTTGTCTCCATGAACGGCCCACATGCACGCACCGTGTCGCTGCAAGAGACAGACGCACTGCAGCAGCGCAGCCCTAAAACCTCAAACCCTGAACTCGGCAAGGCACCCGTAAGCCCCATCCCAGGGCCGCACAAGCTTGGCTAGACTTGCGGCAACAACAAACGCCCACGACCTTCAAGACTTAGACCAAAGTCGCGTGCATAATATATGCGCATGTGTATATGTACATACATACAGAGAGGCAGGCAGACAGACAGACATACATACATACACACATGCATACACACATGCATATATATATATATATACACATACATACATACATACATACATACATACATACATACATACATACATACATACATACATACATACATACATACATACATACATACATATATATTCATGTATGTATGCCTGTATGTACGTATGTATACATACATACACATACAGCCTCTGAGAAGGTGCGCTCGGAAAAAAGTACTTTTTCGTGAACACGGACAGAGATGGTGATTTTTCTTGACGTTGTGGGGGGGGGGGGGGGAGGGGGTTCAGATTAAGGCTCTGGAATTGCATGCATGTCATTAAACCCTCACCCAACCCCAGGCCGTGATGTGCAAAGCCAAGCAGCCAGGCCCAATGTTCTGGGTGACCCACTGCTGCCACTGTCTCGCCCAGTTCTGGGGCTTGCCGTGCGAGTCTCAACCTCCCAACTCTGCTGAGACTTGGGGAGAACATCAACTGCCGATCTTCTTGAAGAGGACTGTATTAAATGACGAATTGGAAGGCAACAAGCTGAGGCTTTTGCGGCTGTGGAAGATGTGTTTTGGAACCAGTGAAGGAGCAACCTCGCAGAAGCAACAGCTGCTGTTGTTGGCTGTCGACAGGGACTTCTTCAGCAGAGCAAAGATCAAGGTTGCTGTCAAGTCGCTGTCGAGCAAGACCTGGAGCACGGCCAAGTCACATGGTTCACAGCTCGCCTTCAGCCACGAGCAGCGCATGGATCGTGAACATGAAACTGGGGACGATAACGCAGGCTGCCAGCTTCTTCCAAGCTACAAGTAGCCTTTAAACTGCAACTTTCTTTGGCCAGAACGGGAGTCTTTTGGCGGTGCATAGACAAAACAACAAGAACGAGCGGAGTACCTTGCGATGCCCTGTGTATCTTTGTCGCATCACCTGGTGTTCGTGGAACAGCACGGAATACGATTTCGTGTTGCAGCGTCACCAGTCATGCCTCACATGCCATCCAGCATGATTGGCTGCCAAGAGCGCTGTCTGTGTCCAGGCGCACAGGCGCAGGCGACTGCTCACGCCAGTCTCTGTGACTGTCATGCAGGTTGAGCCACTGAGCTTGTTGCCAAGGCTAATTTACCAAGCCCCTCCATTACGAGGACTATGTGGCTTTCGCATGGCAAACGCTACAGATTGAACAACAGAAGCATGGGGACGGCATGTGCGAAACGCACCTCGCCTTGGCTTCGGCTCTGCACTGCACCCCATCTGCAAACTGCACGGAGATGAAGGTGGCACGCTGGACGACGTGGTGGTTTGTCACCTCCGGACTGGTATGATGCTACGGGAGGGCAGCAGCAAGTCCAATGAGTCCAAGCTGCGATGTGGCCACTGGTGTCCCAGACGAAGCCGGAGCCATGGGATCGGGACCAGGGCCGGAATGCATCGAAGGCGCGTACGCGCACCACCGACTGAACCCAAGCTGTCCTTGGTGGCTGCTAAGAGTCTGTCAAGCAGTTTCTCCCAGCTACTGTACCAAACTGCTTCTAAGCTGAGTGGGTGTCCCTCTTCTGGCTCGGAATGGGTGTAGCCATTCGTGCGTTGCCTGCTGTCCATACGTGGTCCAGCTGTCGGGGTGCTCAGCGTTTGAAATCCGCGCGTTGCCTGCGCAATCCAAAGTGTCCAGGAAAAAGCTGTCTGAGATCCTAAACGGTTCTAAGCTGCTCTAGGCAGGCGTTCGGCTGGGCCTTTGCCGTGGAGCCAAAGAAAGCCAAGAGCCTGAGCAAGCTGCTGCTAGTGTTCCAAAGGTTCTCAGGTGCTCTACCTGAATTACCGTAGACAGAAAGGGCCTGATACACACCTGACTTAGCGAGGCAGCATGTAAGACACACGGGTTGGTGTTCTCGAGCTCCCAATGTCAGCAACATGCCGGATCCCTTCACGACAAGGAGCCGCCACGGAAATTGAAAGCACTAGAAAGCGGGCCGAGCTTTCATTGCGCAGCCAGGCTCTCATAAGTAGCTGGCGCGTTATGGACGCTGAAGGCGGCAATCTCACTTGAATCTTTATGCAAGCGCATAGTGAGATGTGGAATCCGCTGAGTTGTGTCCGTGCACTCTCTAGCCTGTAGGATCTGTAGGATCTCTGAGCCAAAACAGCCCACACTAACACAGCCTGACCGTCCTCGCCATCTGCGACACATGATGAGCCCGTCAACCAAAGCACCACGGCTCATTGCTAAACAAATTGGGCCATTTTTGCAATTCATGCCAATGTCAACTCTTCATGTCTAAAACTCATGTGTATCTGCTTCTGCTGAGTTCGACTTCTATATCTTCCATACTGATTCACAGGTATTGGTCCCCAAAACAATCCATTCGCCTGGCTTTCGTCGGGGTTTTTCTACACAGTGCGGCGCGCAGCCCGGCGCACGCAAAGAAAACCAAGGTCAAGCCCACCTTATGCCTGGAACTGTGTTTGGTGAGTATTTCCCGATCAAGCGGCGTGTATGAATCCCCGGGGGTCAACTTCAAAGAACCGGGTCCATGCTGGAAATGCTCATTGTGTTCTCCGTTGCTAACAGAGAAGACACCAAACCTCACCTGAAAACCTGGACCTAAAGCCCAACTAAAGCGAAAGAAGAACGAGATGTAGCCAAACCAAGAAACCAGGACGCAAAACCTGGAGGCCAAAATTATTGATAGGGCAGAGTGAAGAACTTACACCCAGTCATTGGCTCTCACATTCCAGGCCCAACCCTTTGCTTTCCCACGCGCGATGTTTTTTTTCTCTTCCACTCGCGGGCCAAGCATCTGATGCACCTGGGCTGGAAGCCTTGGCAGCTGCAGTGCTGCAAAAACTTTGCAGGGAAGTCAGAGGGATGTTCCCTCTTATGCTAACAGTCCTGAATGGGGACTATTGTAGCCCCTCTTAGAATCCCTACTAAGGACTGTTCGTATCAGGGGGGACATCCCAACCAACCACTTTCAACTCTCGCACCTGGGGCCCAAACTTTCGAAACTCGCCGTGACAACTTGTCATAGCGCTTTAGCCTGTGGCACTGCGGCAAGAATTGGGCTCAGGGCTTGGGGTTTAGGATGCCTGAACAAGCAAGAATCTTGCGCAACAGACATCCCAGACTGGATAATCACGAAGGTTGTTCAACTTTGCAACTTTTCAGGCGCAGCTTTCGCGACCCTGTCTTGCAAGCACAGCAGAAGAGGTGCTAGGTAGCTTGCAATTTTGTGTAGGCCATGAGGCCCTCCTCCTGGCAAGTGCACAGCTACTATGCGCTGATGTGAGACAGCGGCGGCACAGGCGAACAGCAGGATGCACATCCAGCCGGAATGCAGCCCTCACGCACAAGCTGTGGTCCTGCGACCCGTACGAAAAATGCACCACCAAGGCAGCACCGACAGCGCAGGAGTGTCGGTCCTTGCACATCCACAAATTAGGTGTAGTCACTATCTTCGTAGCAAGCACATGCACATAGGAGACACGCGCTCGCACACACACACACACACACACACACACACACACACACACACACACACACACACACACACACACACACACACACACACACACACACACACACACACACACACACACACACACACACACACACACACACACACACACACACACACACACACACACACACACACACACACACACACACACACACACACACACACACACCCGCACACACCACACCCACGCACGCACGCACGCACGCACGCACGCACGCACTCACGCACGCACGCACGCACGCACGCACGCACACAGACACAGGACACACACAGACACACACACACACACACACACACACACACAGACACAGACACAGACACAGACACAGACACACACACACACACACACACACACAGAGACACACACACACACACACACCCACACGCACACGCACACAGACACAAAAACAAATAAAAAGAGAAAGACTAAGAAACGTTCTCTCACACACGTAGCTCCGGTGCGACTTGCAAAGCTTGTTGCACGTCTGTGTTGTCTGCACACGAACGTCTGGTACTTTGTTGGAATGCAACTGGCGCAAGCCGGAAACTAGATTTTTGCAGACAGCGCTGTCGTCACCCGTGAAAGGCAGGCATGAGGCTTTAGGGTTGAGGGCTTTTAGGGTGGTAGCGTAGGGTGGCAGAATTTTCGTGTTCGGTTTTATTTGCACTTCTTGTGAAAATTCGGTTCATTGTCTGTCGAGACCCCCTCCCCCGGACAGTGACGCATCCTGATCATTCAGGCAAAAGCGGGGGTAGGGGCCGGCCTCCGTCTGACCTTAAATCCCTGAAATATAAGGCCAAAGGTTCCCAAGTCCTGTTTGGCCCAAAACAAGCCGGTTGTAAACAAAAACTCCCGCAAGCTGAAAGACCTGTGTCGACCGGCGTTGTTGTAGCAGAAAAATCGTGTGGGTGACTTTGCCCCCTGCTTCTTACAACTTTTGGTCACAAAGATGCACACACTTTTACACATACCCACTTTGAAGGACTCATGTCGCGCATGCGTGAGGTTTCTGCAGATTGCGGAAGACATGCATTACAAAGCACACCAAGTTGTTTTCGAATCTTGCTGCCTTCAAGGCCATAAGGGGTACCAGCTGCAGGTGCACAGCGTCCCCCATGCAAATAAGCCCAGAACCAAGCATGTGGAGGTGAGCGTAAGCTCAGCTCATGAGCACGTACAATGTGAAAGCATGGATTGCTTGCATGAACGCCTCCTTGCCATGAGCTCGGGCAGTACACAGGCATTATTCCGGCAGATTCATCTGGCTGCCCTGTCTTATTGCCTTGAAGAGCCACGAAGGCTTGGCACCATGTGCCCTTCTGCACTCTTACGATGCAAGCCCGCACGCACACACGCGCCAGCAAAAACTGTTCAAAGCGCTCAGGTTGCTGATTTGCAACCCAGCAACTCTTCTTTCAGAATGCGGGCCAGTAAACTCCTCCTCATCATCCCCCTTGCCATGCCTACACCAGTTGCCCATGCCACATGCCACATGCCACTGCTGCCAGGGCCATCGGAACCCCGGTCAAGGCAACATCACGACACTTCGCTCTTTTCCATGGTCCCGAATGGCTTCTGCTGCCCTACTGCCACTACGCCCCAAAGTGTCCCAGGAGGCATGGCAAACACGTGGCCAAGGTGCACGTTGCTCCAGTTCACGCCATCCAGGTCTTCCACTTTGAATGCGAAGAAGTTCGTGCTCCACCTTGCCCCCTGCGTCCAGTATTCCTTGTTGATGCTAGGAGACCGGTGAATGTACCTGACTTCTGGACAAAAGCCTCACAGATGCTTCCTCAACCCTTCTCAAGCAACTAGGAAGCTATCAAGAAGACTGGTCCGTCCGCTAGACTCATGGCAAGGCACCGGTGTTCTCTGTAGCCCACACGATTAAAGTCATGCCATCCGAAGTTGAACACGCACCTAGTTCCATCAGGAGTTGGCTTGTGATTTGCGACGCCGCCCGCGATTTGTGACAGTTTGATCTCTTGCTGCTATGACATCAAAGTGATTGTCACAATGATTGAGAAGCGGGGCCAGAGAAAAATAGATCGGGGGGACACAGGGGGGATGGGGCACAGGGCAGCTTGGGCTTGGCACGCCAGTCTAGATGCGGGACCCGCCAAGTCAAAACCATTGTGAAACGCTCTAGACCTGCGATGTCCTGCGATGCTCTAGACCCATGCTCTCAACGAAGCTTTCGTGACATGCTAGACACATATGTATGTATATGTATATGTATTTGTATATGTATATGTATACGTATACGTATATGTATATGTATACGTATATACATATACATATATATATATATATATGGTCAGCCCCCCCCCCCCCCCATATATATATATATATATGTCCTACATATGGACACATTATAGAATTGTATAGATATACATTTTGAGAGAGAGGTGCACGTTGTATGCATTCTGCTCAATGCATCCCTTAGGCTATCCCCAAGATGCATTCAAGCGGCAGGGTGTTGTCTGCTGCGCGGTCCAGGAAGCCTCAGACTCTACTGTGACAGGTACCCCACCTCTAATCCCCTCCCCACACCACATGACCACTTTGCGCGCCCCTCATTGGCCACTTTTTTGGCTGAAATGAGTACCCCCCCGGACAGCTGACCGTGACGACCAGAGGAAATTTGGTCGGCCCCCTGCCCCCCTCCCCCGCCTCCCCGAGCACCCGATGTTTAGGGGGCTGCGCAGGGCCAGGCCGAGGCGGGTCGCGCAGCGCTAAAATTAAATGATACAATATGGCGTTCTTACATTATTGCATTATTGTAGAAGTATGTTTTGTACTAATTACACTATGTTACTATATTGCTATGTTGTTATTTGCATGCAGCACGGGCCCGAGTCGATTGACCCTGACATCACTTCGACCCCTGCCCCTGCCATGCCTGCATCGGGCGGTCAAGCGGCTCTCGTGCACAAGAGCGGCGCAGTCCCAACGCTCCACCACGCAGCGTGAGGCAGGAAAACCTGGGACCACTCTTCCACTTACATTCAGGGCCTCATGCCATGACAGAAAGCTGCACATGCTTGAGAGCGTTTTGTGCATAGAGTTTTCTGAAGTCAGTCCAGAAAGCGCTCAATCCGGAAATCTGGCGAGGTGTTGATATCCTGCCGGCACCACCAGCGGCACGAGCACTTCCGTTGTCGGAAGTATGCCGAAGTTCTACTCGTCATGCATTTTTACATCCACCCTCACCAAAACACATTGGTGAATGCAATTAAAGCGAAACTATACTCAAGCTGTATGTTTTGTTAATGACATTACTTATTTATGGCACCTCCGCCCCCCCGCCCCCCGCCCGAAGACCTACCGATATTTTAAATGGTTTTGAAATGGTCAATGCAAAACTGGGTAGTGAAGATTGAAGATTCCTGAGGGCTCCTTCCAAGAACTTTTCAATTTTCAACGCCAGGTTTGAGCCGAAATCTTCAAGACCTTTCAGTCTTCAGTTCAAACCTGGGCTTGCAGAATTGACGATTCCTGCAAAAAAGAGTCGCCAGGAATTTCGTTATGCGATGTTCGCCACGCCTCAAAAAAGAAAGCAACTATAAATAGCTTCGTTGTTTAAATTGTACTCATCATACCGGCTATGTCAAGCATGTCTAAACTTCCTTTTTCATCTTAAGTTCGACGCCAAAGGCCGTCTTTGCCTGACGCTTCCATAGCAATGTCCAAAACGCAAAGTATCAACTCCTGATTGAGCTGCATGCCTATTCGAACTATTGAGACACACCCTTCGCCGCACCCCTGTTGTGCAGCTGTCGGTTCTGCTCTCTTGACGTTACATGCCCAATCTTTCTTTCAGAATCCAGCCTCTCGCTTTGCCCACGGCAGGCGCAAAGCGGGATTTCTCTGCTGCTCCTGGCCAAGTGCTGTTAAAGGAATAATGCTGAAAATTTGGTCATTGCGATTGGGGAGTCATGCTCAGTACTCCAACCAATTTGCAAAGAAGAACCCTTTTTTGAAGCTGGACTTGCTGACCGAAAGAAGAACCTAAACCCTAAACCCTAAACCCAGCAGTCACAAAAGCCCATGGAAGCCCGCCTCTGTTGGCCAAAAGCCCCGGTGAGCGCCTCGGTCTTGGTGCAAAGCCTCAGGTGCACTTGGCAGGTGCAGAGCACTTCCTGAGCTAAGAGTCTCGCTCAGCACATCTAAGGGGGCGGCTGACATGATAGCATGGTTCACGACCTAGACAACGTGGCAAAAGCTGCTGAGCAGCCTTCAATCAATGTCACAATGTACTGCAACATGCATTCTGAGGCTCGTGCGTTGGCCGAAACAAAAAGGCAGCGCTGTCGCAACCTTTCCCTAACCAATTCGGCAATGGCGTGCTCGGCAATGTAGACCACATCATCATCCACCTTCCTCTTTTCAGGCTTCTCTTCTTTTATCCAGCACAGAAAACCTTTGCCTGCACCGCCTTCACAGAGAGGCTTTAAGCTACGGCTTCTTGGCATTTCCACAAGAAGGTGGAAGCAAGCCAACAAACAATTCCTGTGATTCGCCCAGGGTCACATACACTGTTTCGGTCTCGTTCATGCTCTGGTAGAGCTGGACCATGCGTTTTGAGGTCGGGTCGGCATCCATGCGAGTGCGACCCCAGCGCTGCTCAGAGAAGTCCTGGATCTCGAAAGTTCCTTGTTCTGCAGCATCAAAAAAGCTAGCTGCTATCTGACCCTGCACCTTTCACCGCGCAGTGGATGCAAGGCCAGCATCTTCAGTGGCTAGACGGCTAGAGGTCTGCTCAATGAGGCCCCAAGTGTGCGCCAAGAATCCTTGGGCCCCATCAGCTGAACTCATCAGCTCTTTGGCGTACGCCAGGTCCTGCCGCGGAAGGCCACCGGAATGACAAAATGCGTGGGCGACATTTTCCACAACCTTACAAGACCTGACAGTTAGAAGGGGGAAGAGAGCGGACCGACCCACAGAGGTGTGTGTGTGTGTGGCGTGGGGGTTTGCAGCAACTGTACACGTCTGCTTTCGTGCTCCCGCCAAAAAGCCAACTTGCCTCATGGCGACCAACTTACATGGAGCAATAGTAGACTGAGTAGCCGACTAGCCTCAGTGTCCTATGCCATGTCAAAAGATAGCAGTAAAAGCAGGAGTAACGCCCGCAACTACCATAGGCACATGCCTCATGGGCGCAAGATATGCCTTGGTGTCCCACCTACCACCCCAAATTCACCGTGCGATACGCGCAGGCGGGCACAACATTCCAGCGCTGAGGGCCATGCACGAGGCAACAATGTAACATGAGAATCCCAACGTCGACAACCATCTGTGGCAAGCTTCTTGCACGTCACCTGCATGCCGTCCCGATGTATGGTGCAGTGTCGCGTGTCAGTACCATTCCCCCCTCCATGGAATCCCCCCCCCCCCCTTGCATAGATGGCGGCGCAAGTTGGGAGCAAGCAAAAACGACGTTGCGGCATCAGCCCTGCCCATCCCAAGAGCAGTCTAAATTCCCTGTGTCCTTTGCGGTGTATTGCCACAGGGCGAACACGATCTTGTCAACCACGCCGCCGTGCTTGCGAAGATCGCGACGGAGATAGCGCATCAGGATGCGCATGCGATCGCGTCTTCCAGTGAAAACGACCGCAACCACCCTCACAGCCTTGAGGTCCTTGTATGAGTCCTGCATGTGCATGACAAGCATGCTAGCTACAGCTTTGCCGGTTTCTGGCCACACTTCACCCAACACAACTCCAACCAGGCCTTCCGCACAAGGCAGGCAGGATTGAGCGGATCTGCCGGGCTTTCGTGCTCGTCATCTCTGTTGGTTCCCGGGTCGCCCGACGCAGGGACTGTGGAAGTTGCAACCTCCTGTCCGGCACATTTGCGCAGCAAATCGTGGCAACGAGTGCTGGGCCAAGAAGCAGCTACCACATGTCATTGAAGCTGCACAGGGCATACAGTGTCGAGCACTCTTGAATCAGCATTGCAAAGCCGGATCTAAAATGCTGTGACTCAAGGGGCCCCGAGCCAGGGTTCTGGAGCCACCTCCCGATTCCCATCACTAAGCGAACGCGACGCCTCCTCAACCGCCAGGTCGGTATTGCACACGGCACTGCCAGACGCACTGTGAGATGTGTCCTGTGCAGAAATGTTTGAGACCTAAGATCCCAAAACCAGCTTGGCAAGCTTGTGTCAATGCGCCTCGATTGTTGGCATTACTTTCCGAACTGGGTTTCTATCGGGCTATTCCCGGCCTCCTTCGAATCCCAAGAACCAGCTGCAGCTTGATGCGAAGAGAGGAGCTCTTGATAGGCAGTCCTGGAAAGCTGCGGTGTGCACGGCGCAGATGAGTGTGTGTAAGTAATCTGTAAGTGGGTGAAATTTACATTCGGCAATAGGCAAGCGACACAACCTGCAAACTTAGCACAAGCCAAACGGCACGACGTCACATGGGGTGTGTTGAGGTGTGGCAGGGTTGGGGTGTCGTAACAGGGTGTTGGTGGGAATGGTGCACAGGGAGTGGTGTCCCCGGAAAATAACCCACCTCCTCCCACCCAGCACCATGTACGAGAGCCGGATTCGATACTTGCAAGCACGGAAAGAACGAAAGACTGTCGCCAGCTTTAGCCGCTCAGGCTTCTGAGGTCCTTGGGATCGAGGAGCCTTCAGCAGAGTTTGCAGCTGGCTCACTGCCTGCAGGTGGCTCGCGATTTGCCATCGAATGCCGGTCTCGGTCATGCTGATTGGTCTGGTCACCTGAAACAAAAACCATCAATGTCAATACCTGTCTGCCGAGGGCACTTAACCATGTTACTTGACCCGAAAGGCAAGCCAAGCCAAGAGCCATCTTTCGCCCAGACATCCTCCAATGGGCAGCGCAGGCGTTGGACACACAACTCCTCAAGGACGTTATGCAACGCCAGCTTCCTGTGCTTGCTCCCTTTCCTGGGCAAGCAAGCATCTCTGCAAGTCGTGATTGCCTGCTTTCCTCCAAAAAACACAGCCTGGGTGTAGAGCCGCATGCGCACCGCATGCAACCAAGCATCCAAAGTCGCGCGAGGATATGCCAGTCAGCAGCCAGAAATCGTTGGCACTTCTCTAGGACGTTCTGCTCAGCGGGGACATCCTGAGGGTTGACTGTCCAAAAAATATCCAACCTACCTGCGTAGTCTTCGACCATCTTCCGTTAGCCTTTTATCCGACTCCATCCCTGTTAAGCTTTAACCGGGAGCGCGCGGAAGATGCAATGAATATATATATATATATGTATTACATATTTGATATAAATGAAATTATATATACATAATCATATACTTATATTTATAATTAATTAATATCGTTTTCAGACCCTGCCTGCACCCTGGAGAGTCGCCGCCGTGCCTCCGCGGAGAGTGCCTCGGCGCCTGCGAAGGCAGAATGTAACAAACCCTTCGGCTCAGCTGTGAGACTTTGTCAATATCTCTCATGGTGGGTTTAGGGTTTATGGTCTAGGGTTTAGGGCAAAGTTTAGGGCTTTTTTTCCCACCAAATTTAGGGTTTAGGGTTCAGGGTGGGAGCCACAGCCAAGGACGCCCTGATGACTTGCGCAGCACGCCATACTACATCCGAACATTCCTGCAGGATCCTGCTGGGCTTTGTAGGGCTGTCTCAGAGTTCATGCACATGACGCCTCATGTGCTTTATATTTCCGAGAATGAACTCGAATCACCATGCATCACTCATGGGCATGGAAGAAGTTTTTGGCAACCATTTGCCAGGAAACCGTCACTGCAAGCTCTGACTCTGGGAATTGCTGCTGGCAGCCAAACTTCCGCCATGTTCTGCCAAAGGGCTGGCAGAACCGGGGAGAAGTTCCTGCACGACTGCAGCATAGTGCTGGCAGGACTCGCAAACCTCAGAGCAGGAGTAGCAGGTGAAAAAGTTCGCTTTCTTACCGAGGGCTGCAGACTTGAGTTTTTCGAACCAAACCTTGTGCTTGTGGATAGGGCTCACCTAACCTGTAAGCCTGCAAGGTCTGTACGCTGCAAGCTAATCAATCTTTGCCAAGAGGTCGCCAAGTTCGCGCCGAAAGCGACGTCGAGCAACACATTCGCCTGGAGGCTGAGCGAAAGCGAGCAAGAGCAGTTCAGGAGGAGGCTAACTGGGGATTGTCCGATCAGTATGATCGGATCATCCTTCGGGTTGTTATGGTCTCACAAGAGCGGACGACAGTAAGAAGCCACTGAAGAGTACTAAGTGCGGAATCCAGGGCGCATAAATGTACCAGAGCATGCCGAACAGCTGCATTGTAGCCGCATGGACATGGCAGGTGAGTAGGGGCAAGGCTGTGGTAGTCTTTCGCATGACGTTCGCCCTAGCAGCCTGGCTCCGGTACGAAATCCAATGCAAGCTTGCCTGCTGGCTTGCCTGTGTTGCCTGTCAGGGTCCGAAAACAAAGTGCAGCAAGAAGGCCTTTGAGAACCTTTAAGGCTCACGTTACGACGACAGGTGAGCCTCTGCGATCTACAGCGATGCTCCGCGCAGAGTGCTCCGATCCCCGATTTTGGGGTCGTTTAGTCCAGGGTTCAGCACAGCACAGAGAGCCGCTCACTCGTGCTTTTTGTTTTTGCTGTTCGGCAAATTTGCGCACAGTAGCCCTACAGATGAAGGCTTGGACACTCTGGGACAGCTCTCGTTTCCGATCAGACCACATCAGGTGGTGAGGTTGCTTTGGATTTCCATGTGTGCCACTGTATGAAGTCGTTGTGGTCAGCTCGGCTTGTAAAGCCTTTGAGGGCTGTTCTCGGATATGTAGCTACAGGCTATCCTCAACACGGTGGCCAAGGGTGAGGGAGGCCCCTGCCGGTTCTGCGAAGACATGTGAAAACTCAACAGGTCTCCCATGGTATCCCGCAGGTGGCTCCTTCTCACCCTGAGGCTCTGGGGTTGAGTCACTGCGTACTCGCTAGTACGCCGTAGTGTCACAGCATGACCGGCATGTAATTGGCACAGCTGTTAGAAGCTGTGCCGTATAGACTCGACCGGTAAAGCATGTCCTGTTTCATCTAATCTCAAGGTGGCTCTTGCCAGTCACACGACTCAAACACATGAGGGCACGATTCAGCACCAGCTTTCTTTCGCAAACGGGGAAACGTCATCCTGCTCGTGCACCTGCACCGCTTTGCCCATTAAGGCTCAGTGTGCACCGGCTGCCTGCTTGCAATCACAACATATCGCAATTCATCAGCAGTTCCTCTGTTCTCAGAAACTGCAGCATCACTGTCCCAAAGCTGTTTGGTGAAAAACGCGGAAAAAACATTGCTGGTGCTGAGCCCGGGACTGAAGGAGATTGGCTACAAGCCAGGCGGGCCCTGCCATCGTCGATCTCCGCATGTGCGAACTTGCTTGAAGGCCCTTCACTTTGTGCAGCTGAGGCACCCAATCTGCTTTGCTGGCCTGCCACTCATCCGCCTTGGGCTGCCAGTCCTCAAGACGACTGCAACTGGTTTCGCATCACTTCCAGCTGGACTCTCTTCCATGACTCTCCAGTCCTTTCCTTCGTCGTGCCGTAAAATACGTGTGAACATAGACAGCACGCACAAACAAAACATCAAAACATAGCAGCTCTTTACTTCCCCCCCTCTTTGAATTATTTGGCGGTCCTGTGGGATACGGTGTTGGGATATCTGGGCGAGGACACTCTTGAGCGCAGGATTTCTTTGGGGTGTGCACTCCCGGGATGCGGCACTTTGTCTTGCCAAGGTTTTCTGGGGGTTGGCACTCCAGGATACTCTGCCGGCTGGCCCGTCAGCTGCAACAGGGTCTACGCTAGTGTTACATTTTAGACCCAATTTTTGGGTCATATTTCCACGGCCCTAGGGTGCACAAAGCAATGAAATCAGATCCATGACAACCTGAGCAGACCATCTCTGCAGTGCTCAACTCTCCCAATCCCCCGGCCCCCCGCTTCACAAGAACAAAAACAACAACAAGAACAAAAACAACAACAAGAACAACAAGCAGCGGCGGCGGCGGCAGCAGCAGCAGCAGCAGCAGCACAACAAACACATCATCTATACCTTTTTTGTGCCCAGGTCGTGGCAGCGACATACCTCACGTCTGAGAGCACGAACCATGCGAGCCAGTCCTCGTGCTTGGGCTGCCATTCAGATCTGCCAGGCCCATCCTGCCACATGAATTAAGGCACGACACAATTCTGCGGTGTACATCGCTTCACACGCGACCTCGCAAAGTGCACCGGCAGAAGAGTTGCTTCAGATAACTTATTAAAGCAAGCCCACCGATCTGGCAGAACTTGGCCGGGCCAACTTTGCTCCAGTGCGGAGACTTTCCTTTGCCGCCTTTGCCTCCTTTCTTTCCCTTGCTTTTACCTGAGAATTGAGGCCGAGGCGGTTTCCGGTAACGAATTCCTGCTCACTGATGACATCAACCTCTGAGCTGGAGGCCGTAGCCGTAGCCCTTTCCATTTTTTCCGCCTTGAACCCCCCAAAGCCCTTGAACGAAGCTGCTAACATGCTTGGATTTCCTGGAATCGGACTTTGAACAGGGGCCCTGGCTGTAGTCGCCCTTACCGTTGGCCCGGCTACCTGGAAGCAACGGTTCTTCACACTAGAGCACCACACATAGACAATAGCCCATAACTCCCACGACTCCCTGGTCCGGCTGCCTTGGCCTCCGTCTGGGCGCTCCCAGCCATCACCTGTTGTTTTCTGCGCATCCGGTTCTGGAGTCCAGGGAAGGCTGAACGCAAAGGAAGCGCTGTGATGCCCTGCCTCCGCCGGAGTTCTGCTCGATCTCCTTGGCAATCCTTTCGGCTTCCGCCTCCAAAAGCGGGGCAAATGCCGAATTGAAACTCTTGTTGTGGTAGTAGCCATGCAGTGCCAACACCCAAAGAAGCTTGGCAGCAGGCACGCTTGTCTGCCGGAATGCTGGAAATATCCAACTGCCTCGCTGGCATGAGTCAGCATGCTACGTCGCTCTGCAGCATGAGCACCGACGCAGCTTTGCCCTATGATAAGGAACGCAAGTGCAGGCTGTGCAGGTACATGCACTCAAACCTCTGAGCCGAGGGACGTGGAGTACATGTTGGCCCAGTCTGCTTTTGGCGCTTCATCTTCTGGCAAGACTTGTCGGGGGTGCTGTGGGGTGGGGGTCTTGCGGGATGATTGAGTCTTGCTGGGGCAGCGCTTTTCACAAATTGTCCCTGTTCACTTGTTTAGCAGCTTTCTGACACCCTCTTTGACACCTCCAAAAAGTGAAGTGGCCAATTACGCAACAAACCGGCGACAACGCAGAGCGGGCCAACCCTGACCTGGAAGCTCTGGTCGAGGCTTCTCCTGCGGCACCTCCTGATGGCAGACATGGAATGTGACTTACTCTTCTTTGCTTCGGGGATGGTCTGCGTCTCCTATCTTCCCATTTTTCCATCCCGACAACTTGCGACAACTCAAGACAGACTCAAGAGGAACTCACAGGGTCCTTGTTCCAAGAGCCGCGCTGCCGCCAATCTTCATGCTTCCAGTCGTGATGCCTCGCATGAAGTCAAGGTAAGTTCTAAAGACAGGTATGTGCAGGCTCCTGGCACTATGCAAAACCCTCGCACCTGGACTGCTGGTGGCCATACTGCTGATTGCCATAGTGCTGGCTGCCGTACTGCTGCCCGTATTGGTCATAGCTGCCGTACTGCTGCTGGCTGTACGGTCGCTGGTATGCCTGGCCCGTCATGTTCGCTCTACAACGAAATCGAGAGCTTTGCTGCGCAACTCGGGTAAGGCCTGCTGCTCTGACCTCGGCTCAGAGTGGTCAAACATGCTGGACTCGAGTGCTCAAACATCACTCTTATCACTCTTGCACGCGAACCAACATGCAAAGTAGTGCACCGGTAGCTGTGGCGATAGTCTTCTCCGTTCGTCTGCTGCCTGGAGGCAGAAACCACTTTCATTGCATCGAACTACACTCACTACGCGTCCTGAGATGCTGTGCCTAGCTGCTTGAGGGCATGTCACTGGTCGCTAGACCCAGGCGTGCAGAGAAATGCTTGGCAATCCGGCAGCCCCTGCTTTTGGATGAGTGAGGCAATGGCTAAATTTGCTAGATTCCGTCTGTTCTCTGAAAGAACTGGGGCAACGGCGGGCCACGTGTGTAGGAGCCTGCCAGGCGTGAAAAACGCAACAAGCAACCCAATATACAATAGTTAGCATATCTGTATATATATATATAGAGAGAGAGAGAGTACAGTATATAGTATACATGGCCCACCCCCCGCCAACCCCACCCCGCCCCCCCACCCCTGAACCAAACCCGAAAGGTGTTCCGCCCGCCGGGGTGCAACCATGTCTAGTATGTATATAGTGTATATATATATATGCATATATTTGTTTTTGTCTATTTCTACTTTCATATTTATCTTTATATTTATAGAGCATAGTGTATGTAATAACTAGGGGTGGGCACTCCAGGATACTCCAAGGATTCTCTGAACGATTTGTTTCTTCAGTGGTCACTTTGCATGTGTTTATCTTCTCTGCAGGATTCAGGGTAGGCACTCCAGGGGTGCTCTGCAGCTGAATTCTCTCAAGGTGGACTCCAGTGATGCTTGCTTTGCTGGAAGTTTTCGGGGAAGGCACTCCAGGGATAATCTGCGCGATTCTTTGGCTGGATGCCCGGGCAGAAATCTAATGGTCCACACCGAGGGCTTGTATTCCAAATACACATGCTTGTTCAAACTGCTCGGGCAGAACAGCTTGGCGAGAGTAGCTGCAGTTAGCCCTGGCCCTGCCTCCACCAAGGTGGCTGGCCTAGGAGCTACCAACAGAAAGGGAATGAACATACCAGAGTCTCAATACTCTAACCGTGCCAACCCCACCCGCCATGGTAGTGCGCTACTTTGTGCCGCAGTGCTGCTTATTCGGCCCCGAAATCGAGCACTGACTACTCGAGTGCCGAGTGCTGGACTGTCTGCTCCGACTGCGTGAACATCCCTTTGCTTTCCTGCAGAAGGTTCGGCAGAATCCCCGGAATGCCGATTCATCCCTGAATCTCGGCGCACAGCTCCATGGCAAGCTTTATGCTGAAAGTCGAATGGACCCCCCTTTCAATCCTTTCTTATCCTTATACATGTGGTCTAGAGGCGGCGCCTGAGGTTTGTGCAGCATGTTCAGGAGCTCGTTCCGCATGTGCTGGCGAGACATGGTAGGACAGGGAGAAATTATCGATGAGCCTACTCCCTTGCGCAGGTATTGCTAGGACATGCGCGACCCTTGGACCACCCAAACCAACAATCTCCCACATCGAAGAACTCCATCTTCACAGATCTTTACACTGTGCAAGATGCTGGCCTGATGCGGATCATGTGAAGCCTGTGGTGAGAGCGGCCCGTCAAGATTGCAGCTGCGGCTCTAGTTGCAAGAAAAGCAAAGCGGATCTGCAGCCTCGGGCATTGCTGCTGGCTGAGAAATCTCGGACTCCCCGGACACTAACCACGACCTCATTGATTTAAAGCGCTACCGGCCATTCTTCCTTACAAAGCCGGTGGTGTGATGTGGTGTGCACGTTACACAGCCGAAGAAGCAACATTCAGGCTTCCCAAGTGGGGTCAGTGCTTGTTGCCGACATGCTCAGATCGCCGGACCGAGCTTGCTATCCGAGGATGCTGCGGATGCCGCAGTGGTTCCGGCAGAACTCGGGCCGCAGCCTTGCATGGAAAGTAAAGCCCCCTGCAGAGGACATTAAAAGGGGGTAACCGGGGTAACGGTACAGGCAAAGGCGAAGTAGGATCTTCCCACGTAGAGGGCAACGAGACTGGCCTGCCGTGCGTAGGCATCCTCCATCGGCCACCCAGATGTCAAAAAGATAATGAAAACTCCAACGGCTGAAAAGGATGATACATATGTACAGTATTATACATGCATCAGTAGATGCATCGCATATATACCCATATATAGATATGGTAATGTATATATATATATATATGTATATATATATATATGTACATCTATATATATATATATATATATGTACTCTCAAAAGGTCTCTCAGAGTGCTCCAGGAGCTCCTGCTGCCGCCGCCGCTCCGCTTCCGCCTCGCGCTCCAACTCCTCACAGATGGCGGCGTTCTATTCATTTTGGAGCATGGCACTGCTCAAGAAGAAATGGTCTATTAAGGCTATTCCCTCCTCTCTGCGTGCCCTCTAGTCGGGCACTTACTTGAAAGAACGCTAAGGCCTAAACTCTGATCGCTCAGAGTTAATATGCTGGCAAAGGGACGATGAATTTGCAGCCCAACTTGCAGAAGTGCATTGTAGGTCCTCCTGTTTTCTGAGCTGCTCTTCCTGGTATCTCCGCTCCTAGCACAAGACCCGAAGCCTCTTGCACTTCCTCTGCTCTGTGGAGTGTGGCGGAGTGCCCTTCCCCAGATGTGCCTCCTCCTCTTGAAGGATTTTTTGCTCTGCTGCCCGGAGTTCTGCTTCGGTCTGCAGTGCGGGATGCTCAGGGCTCTGCAGGGCTGTCATAGGGAATCATGACCCGCCTCCCTCTTCTTGTCAAGCTTCGGCAGCTGCAAGGGATCGACCTGATTTGATCAGCTGGGCAACTGGTGGCGCCATCAACCCCTGCAGTATACAACTAGGATATGCGCGGCACCAAGTGCAAGTTGGAGAAATTTCGAGAACAGAGGCTCTGAGCATCACACCTTCTCGCCTCTTGCAACCTTGTCCTGTCAGCCAATCAACTTGCGGCTCCATTACTTTGGAGGTGCCACTGACACGTAGCTCCTCGATGCGCTCTATTTCTCGGAGCTTCTTTCTTAGCTTGGCTGCCTGCCATCCAGGGTCATGCTTTCTGCAACGCAGGTCTCATTGTATTCTCAGTCGTTGCCTCTTTCTCTGCGGCAGTCTTTGGCCTGCCACAGGCTCGTGAGCGGAGGCGACGAGCAAGTTATAGCGAGTTTGAAAATGTTGAGAGAGAAAAAACAACTGCGCGATCTGCCTATCTTCTCTGGGCTCGTTGACGGCCTCCTAGACACATCAGGCGCATGAATCGACAGCAAGACAAGTCGCCACCAGCTAGCAGCTAGTAGTTCATGTCAGCCCGTGGCATCCGCGTACTGCTTGTCGTCTTGCGCAGCAGCCCTAAGACGGCTAGCTGTCATGTTCCCATTTTGTCCACGGACGCAGAGGTGTAGCATGAAAGAGTAAGTTGAGGCCATTGCTCGAAGGTGGCCTCTGTTCTTTCAGCCTGCATACAAGCAGCTTCAAATGGTCATAAGCAGTCCAAGATGGGGTTTCTTGGCCAGCAGTCCATCCAAAAATTCGAGAAGCAGCACCCGACGAGCAAATCACGGTCCAGCCGACACCAGCCCCGCCCACCCTGCGCGCACCCCTCAGTTCATGATCGTCTTCATGTCACCTTCCCTAAACCCTATATAAACCCTAAACCCTTTTGCATCCAGGTCTGACGCTGGGCATTACCAAATTTACTGAAGAGGCGAAACTCGTGTTCCTAAACCCTAAAGCCTAAACCCTTTTTACTAAACCCCCCAGCCCCCAGCCTCGGGCTGTGCTCGGGCCTGGAAGTTGCAAGGACAAGGGCTCTCAAGTTCCGCAAGCAAAAGAGAAATCGGCGGCACAGAACGCGGCATCAACCAGCTGCCCCACGATACATTATTCTTGATGGATCAGGCCTCTCGATTTTTGTGCTTTTCTTTCTTCTTTGACTGCTTTGAAGTGGGCTGCTGACCTCGCCATAGGTGGGCAGAAGCCGGTGCTACAGTGACGGCATCGACGTGCGTCAGGCCGCCAATGCACGACACCAGTGCAGCGAACCGCAGATAATCGCAACATGACATTCTGATCAACCGATGCAACAACACGTAGTGCCAGGTGCTGGACTCATGAGCAGCTCCACTGTTTGGCTTATGTCCTGCAAGCCCCACGCAGACTGCTTGAGCTTTGAGCACATTGGCTTTGTGAATCAAATCTGTGTAAAGGTCCTCGTTGCATTGCACGAGGGCATCGCACACCTGGTCGTCGCTGAACTGTGGCAAGATATCTTTCACCTGCATCGCCAGGTCGCTGACGCTTCTGCATTGGTAGTTGCAGGTTGTTGTGAGCAGGGGGCCTGGTGCACAAGGTCTAGAGATGTCTTGAGTCTCAAAGATGTAGTATATACAGCAATATACGTGTTGCACACCATTGTGTTTGGTGATGACCTGGGGGGAGGGAGGCAACGAGAAGATGAGTACAAGTGGTTGCACTAAGTCGAGACCACACATTGAAATTCGACCCAGAATCCTGTGCACCAAGGTTCACCCATAATTTTAGCCTGATTTATGATATAGTTTGTGGATGTACTGTTTTGGTTGTTTTTGGTTGCTTGTCGCGGTGTGCGCAAGTGCACACCGGTTCCCACCATGTGTCACAAATTTTGTGTCATGCTTTGATGCATCGTTCCTAGTCATTATACCTGCCATCTTTGCATCATGATTCGAGCAGGCGACTTTCCACTCGGGTTAGGTCCGCTAGGTTTCCTTTGCCCTCATTTCGTGTTCGGCCAGTGGGTCATTGCTCAGCTGGCGTGACATTATTGCATGACTCCATCAAACGCGAACCCCCGTGCAAGGCTCCGCCAGGCTCGTGCCATGCCGCTCTTCATCTCATCTCAAGCACTCTACTCTTTCAAAACATTCAAAACCCAGTATATAAAAGCCTACAGGAGCCGCAGGCCATTTCCGGCCCCATTGCTACTGCTGTAAACGCAGCATGTAGCAGTTTGCTTGCACCTCTTCGCGGATTTCTTCCGCACCGGTCGTTTCGGACCTATTTCCCCCCCCACCCCTCCGCCCACCCCCCCCCCCCCCCCCCCCCCCCCCCCCCCCAACCCCCCCCCACTCCCCCCCGCCACCCCCCCGCCCCCCCCCCCCCCCCCCCGCCCCCCCCCCCCCGCCCCCCCCCCCCCCCCCCCCGCCCGCCCCCCCCCGGGCCCCCCCCCCCCCCCCCCGCAGCGAAAACCTATGCAACCCACAGCACTTACGCATTGAGAAACCCTAACCATTTATCCGAGTCTTGGCATCTATTTCCTCCTCCTGCCACCATGCCATCTATGCGTGTGCACATATAGTGTATGTGAAAATGCTTCTCATGGCTTGCAGTGCCTGGCGGACCAAGGCAGTGTAGTCTCTTGCCCTGAGCACACTCGGCTTCGAGACAGGAGTTGCTGAGTCGAGGAACTGATGAGGGCAGCTGTGAGGCTGAGCGCTTCGCTGCGAGCCAATGATATCTTTCTGCGCCGACGACAGGAGTGCCGACGGCATCCTGGCCAACCGCTGCATGGAGCGGTTCTCGGGGCTCTGGCTGATATGGCTGACATTTTCTTTAAACTTTAAGCCAGACTATCACAACCATTGGTCTGCGGTAGCTAGCTTCTCCAACTTGAAGCCTGGAATGATTAGAAGCTATCAGCGGACAATGATGTGAACAACACTGCCGGCTTGCCTTCGAGGCCAGCAGAGGCGCCTATACGCCGGGACCCGGAGATTCCAGCTCCAAGCCCAGAAAGATCCAGGTTTCGGGACAAGCAAATCAATAACTTCAACTAAACCAGGCAAGACAAAACTGAAAGCCTCGAAGCATGGCAGTGCTCTTATCGGCCAGCTCTTGTTTGCACAGCGCTGGAAGGGGCAGGTCCTGTCATCCGGGAGGCTGCCTTGGGCAGATGCACCGGACACATGGGCGACCGTCCCTGGCTGTGACGCTGCCATGCGGCGCCATTAGATAACTGCGACAGACCAGCCAAAAGAAGGCATCTCGACCGTGATGGTCAAGGGTCTGCCATTGGCACTCATTGGGCTCCTTGCGCAGGGGCCTGCGCCACGCGTGCCGCCGATTCAAGTTCGCGCTGTAGCTTATATATATATATATAGATACATATATATATATACATATACATGCATACATATATGCATATACATATATACATACACATATATATATGTATATATATGGTCCAATGCTCCCCGCCCCTCCCCCCCCCCCCACCCATGGTCTGGAACCCCCCCCCCCCTCCCTGTGGTGTGGTTGGGGTTGTTTATGGTTCCCCAAACAGTGCTTGCACAATGCGGTTCTTACGTTCAGGGTAAAGGAATTGGCTGCTGACCGCAACGGCGCGCGCGGCGGTGGGACGGGGCCTTGGTTTCGCCGCTCCCGCTGTGGTTTCGCGCGAATTCCGTTGCGTTTCGATGCTCCCGCTGTGGTTTCGCGCGAATTCCGTTGCATTTCGATGCTCCCCCTGTGGTTTCGCGCGAATTCCGGCCTCTCGTGGCCTCTTCAGGCCTCTTCTGGGGGGCCACTTAGGTTGCCAACGGCGCGCGCGGTGAGATGGGGCCTTGGTTTCGACGCTCCCGCTGTGGTTTCGCGCGAATTCCGTTGCGTTTCGATGCTGCCGCTGTGGTTTCGCGCGAATTCCGTTGCATTTCGATGCTCACGCAATGGTTTCGCGCGAATTCCGGCCTCTCGTGGCCTCTTCAGGCCTCTTCTGGGGGGCCACTTAGGTTGCCAACGGCGTGCGCGGTGAGATGGGGCCTTGGTTTCGACGCTCCTGCTGTGGTTTCGCGCGAATTCCGTTGCGTTTCGATGCTGCCGCTGTGGTTTCGCGCGAATTCCGTTGCATTTCGATGCTCACGCAGTGGTTTCGCGCGAATTCCGGCCTCTCGTGGCCTTTTCAGGCCCCTTCTGGAAGGGCCAGGCCCGGCTCCGAGCAGTCGGCCCCGCCCGTCTATAAATGCGTTCAGCTCCTGGACCAGCCTGGCCCTCTTGCATCCACTGCTCGGAGTAGTCCGAGTCGCTCTCTCCGAGGACTCGGAAGTCTCGGGCTCCTGTGTGAGCGGGGAGCGGCGCTCGACCTGGACTGGGGACTCAGGCGCAGGAGCGCGAGCACCAGCACACGAAGCCTGCTCGTCCGCGGGCTCAGGCGCAGGGAGCGGGAGCACCAGAAAGAGGGAGGCCTGCTCGACCGCGGCTCAAGCGCCGCATCCGCATTGAGGCGCTGCTTGTCTGAGTCTGCGTCTCCCTCTGCTATGCCGCACCTGGCGAGCAACCGCTCAAGATCTGGCCCCTCGAGGGACAGCAGGTTTGCGACGGTCTCGGCCGTGGATTGGCTAATGCTGGCATCAGCAGGCATCTGCCCCTGGTGACGTTTGCACCGCATTATCCAGAAGGTAGTGACGCCGTCCGGGCTCTGCGTTTTGGCAGATGCTTTGTCCGCGCGTCGCCAGATCTGGAAATAATTGCGCAGACCCGTCAGCTTCTTTGCGCGCTGGTCCCAGAAGTTGGCCGCAGGTGACCGCCCCGCAGTGCGCAGCATGCTGCTGTTTAATAGATCCAGTGCGGGACGGTCCGGCCACGTCAGGAAGCTTCGAGCCTCCTCCCAGCTGAATTTCTTGCACCAGTCGGTCTCGTACAAGTCTTCCATTGCCTGGAATATGTCGGTCGGAGCTGTCCTCACCCTGGACGAGACCTGCGCCTGCCAGCACGAGTGGAAGCTTTCCAAAGATTGCGTCCCGGACCCGCTTCCTGGGTATGTGCCAGTTACGCCTGCCCAAAAGCCGGCGAACCAGCAACTGGCCTCCTCGGACTTCCAAACTGGTTGCCCTACGTGCATCTGCTTGCGAAGGCTCGAGGCTGGCACCTTGTGAAAGTACGTCTGCTTCAAGTAGGTCGTGGCTTTCTTGCTCACAGTCTCCAACCACGAAAAGGTCAGCTGCCACACCGCATCAAAGAGAATAACAGTCGGCAAGAAGCGACTGAGCTTTATCGCTTTCTCCAGCAGCTGGAGAGACCGGGCCCCGGCTCGCTTTGTCTGCCTGCAGAGGACGCGGTCTCGCAACATGAACCTGACCTCTACACCTCTATGCCACTCGCACGCAAACGCAAGGCAGGGGAAGGCCTTATCCAACCTATCTTCAGGAGCAGACGCACTTTTTTTTCGACCCCTCTACGCCGCTCGCACGCGCAGGCAAAGCATGGCGAGGCTTCATCCGACCTGCCTGGGACTGCCGTCGTCCTCCGCTGCAACGTCCTTCGGCCTTAGCGCAACGGCGCAACAGCAAGACCTCCCCCCAACAATTACCTGCGCACTCACAGCCCGACACCTTGTGAACTATGCGTCGCACGCTCCTGGGGCTTCGACGGAAGGTGAGACGAGAGCATGCTGGCGAGCACGCTATGCGACGCTCGCCGCATATGAGGGTAGTCATCACAAGGTCGAGCGCAAGGGAACACTTTGAGGCGGGAGGCCTCGATGCCCTTGGCATAGTCTTTGTGGACTTGCCAGACATTGTGGACCAGGTCAAGGCCGCAGAATCTGTCTGTCACATTGACCACTGTGTGCAGGAGCTGCGAGATGTTGGGTTCCGCCTCCGTGTTCATCAGCGCTTGTGCTAGCGGTTCCTGGGTCAGCGTGTGCGCGCTCGGGCGGCTGTTTGCCCGGGCGCCACTTTCTCTGGTCTGCCGCACCTGCTCGCTGCAGACCAGAAAACTAACAGTCACGACGGTGCACCCATTGTTCAGGATGCTCTGCTTTCCGTCGATTGCCAGCTTGATCACCTTGCCTTGCGCAGCACGAGCCCGCCGAAGCATGCCTGGGCAAGTCCACACGACGCAGACCCGTTCCTCTGCGAACGTGGGCGGTGGATCCTGCAAGACGAAGAGCTTGTGCAGGGGCAGAGTTTCCCAGACTCCGATATCTTCCAGCAGGAGCCTCTTCAGGCCTCTTCTGGGGGGGCTACTTAGGTTGCCGACATTAACTAAACGATGTTTATCCTGCGCCATCCACTGCCATCCTGCTTTCGGAACTTCACATCTAAAAAAAGGGCCAGGCCCATTGAAAATTGTGGAAAAATGAACTATCCCTGGCGCACCTGGCCACGACCACTAGCCTGCACAGGTCTGCTTTGGATTGGATGCCGAGACAACACGTCGCTCCGCAACCCGCCTCCACCGTCTTGCTCCAAAGCCTTGACGGGTACTTCTCTTTGACGAAGCGGCGGTCGCGCCACACGTCGCGAGAACGACCCGCAGGCTCCAGAAGGAGCTTGCCGCCATAATTTAGGGTGAAAGGGTTTTAGGGTTACCCCCCCCCCACCCCCCTGTGGTGTGGTTGTGGTTGGGGGTTGGTCTTAGGGTTTAGGGCTTCGGGTTGGTTTAGGGTTCAGGGTTCAGGGTTTAGAGTGTAGGGTTTGAAAGGGTTTAGGGTTTAGGGATAACCCCGCCCCCCCCTGTGGTGTGCTTGGGGGTTGGTTGTAGGGTTTAGGGTTTAGGGTTTGAAAGGGTTTAGGGTTAGAGACCGCCGTAGACCTGGAAGGGGGGGGGGGGGGGGGGGGGGGGGGGGGGGGTGGGGGATAAACGCCTCACACACATGGGTTTTCCCAGGGCGGAATCCCTCCATCCCGAAGGCGCAACACTCCCAACACACGGGCTTTGCCGAGGGTGTGCACACAGTCGGCCCCCCCCGCCCTACCTGACCATACCATGGTGGGGGGGGGGGGGGGGGGGGCCGGACACGCCAGACGCCGGACCATATATATATATATATATATATATCTCTGTTGTGATGGTCAGAAGGAGAGGGTAGCAGTCTCAATTGTCCACTGCGCATGCGACCGGCGCCCTCAAAGCCTTAGGCCTTGGGGAAGGATCGAATTCACATGCAGCCATTCCCGTGCTGAACATGTGCTCAGCAGCAGGTCAACAAACATGGCAAGCCCGTTGGCAAGGCATGCCCCCTTTCCTATACTGAACTTGGAACCCTAGCAAAGATTAGTTTTTGCTGTTTCTCAGGAATTATAGTACCCAAAAATTAAAACCTATTTCCAAGTACCCCTGAGTTTCATCACAAATAAGCAGGTCTTGCCGAGCCTTCTAGCTTGCCTCGCGCATCAAATTCTGTCTACGACTTTGGATATTCTTCGAAGCAACAAAGCCTTGCAGGTCCCGGGCGTGAAGGACTTTTTCGCATGAATGGCTTCCACTCGTCATACGCATGCAAATGCCCAGAACCGGATTCTCATCGGATTAGCGGAACAATCCAGAACCATTCCTTTTCTTGAATTCTCGATTCGCTTTGACGCCCTGCAAACCCGACGTAGGTGAAATGGCTACGACACTTATGAGTTGACACCCTGGGACCTGACCGTGCGATTCGCAATTGGCCCTGGAAAGTGGAAAGCGTCCGGCGCTTGGCGGACACCGAAACTGCAGGACTGCGCATCCAATGGAAGACATGTCACTAAGAATTGAAGTTCCAGTAGGTTGTTCGTGGAACACGTCAAGGTAGCAGTGGCATGTCGTTTTTCACGACTTCATCGTTAAGGAGGCAGCCTCCAGACGAGCCACAAGGCATTAGCTCTCTTGGCCACAGGCCACATGCCAACTCAGATAGCGCACCCGGAGTCACCCAAAGTAGTTTTCTGCTCAAAGAACCTCGGCGAAAGAAACTGCATGGCTCACCCAAGAGAAAGAGTATGTCGATGATCTTCGGCTCTAGGGTACATTCTGTCACCGAAAGCCGGTGCTCCAGTGTCGAGGTTGCTGCGATGTTTCACCCGTGGTGGCTGGTCGGTTCCTCGACGCCTCGTTGTCTGACATGCCAAACTCGCGTGCACAAGCTTGCTAGAGCTTTGGTAGAAAACCAAAGCCCTTTAGACTTTAGACAGGCTCAGAACAAGTCGTCTTCCCTCTGAACAGGACACGAAAAGCGAGAACGGAAGGTCACAAAACCTGGACCTACTGTAACCTGATCTTGGGTAGTGGCGAGCTTGAGTGGTGACTCCGGCAGAATGCCATCGGGCATGCCCTCTGCAACCTCGGCTTCATGTTCCTTTATGGCGGGTTAGAGCAATCAGGCCCATGTCACAACTGCACGCACGCCCATGCAGAAGGCCAGGGAACAACTCCCCAGATTCACAATTAGTAAGGCCCTGCTCTAATGTCTTTGGCGATTCCGCCACTAGCTGCAGTACGTTGTAAGGCAATCTTTCAGGTTCGTGCCCTAATGGCAGGGGGCTTGCAACGTTGCAGGTTCTGCCCTCATATTGGTCTCTGCTGGCAAAGCGGCAAAGGAGGAGGCTGCCAACACTCTCCTTAACCAGTTCACACCATGAGCTTCTAATGCCGTAAACATCAGGGTTGCTTACTCCTTGCTCCACAGTACAAACCAATAGGCTCAGGAGGCGGCGAGGTCATCACAGAGTCGGAATCCAAGATCCAGGCAATGAACCTCGAAGGCAAACGTCAGAAAAGGCGCGGCAGCTTGTGCCCACGCTTGTCTACTCGGACAAAGGCTCAGCATAGTGAATGTAGCCATCGCAGTCCGCATCGGCCTTCGGGAAGCTGGTATGCTGCCACATCTTAAGATGCTTGTGTGACATGCACAACTTACCTAAGATTTACCTGACCGACATCTTCCGACTTCCCGGACGTACGACCACATGGCCTTGGCAGCGAGATGCCGGACTTTCTCCTGCGTGAAGAATGCCTCAGCAAAAACGACACGTGGATGGGATCAGAAAGCGGGGTTTGCGGGCCCATTCGTATCTCAAGACCTCGCTATCTCACCCAGCCGCCCTGCTGAATCGTCCTAATGCAGAGATATTGCAACTGAGCATTGGAACCGGGTCAAGGCTTCGCAAGATGTAGGTGCATTCATCGATGTCGATGACACCATCACCTCTCTACGTTCGGTGCAAGCCATCATGACAAACGCAATGAGACAACGTTTGTACTGGTACAGTACGGAGCTTTGCAGATGTCTGTAAGAGAAGAGGTGTCATTCATGTGTCTCGTGCCTCACGCCTGAAGCAGTGCACAGTGCACGATCTAAACTGGCGGCACTGGCGCAGCACTATCGAAATGCAAGTTGAGCTGTGGCAGAGCTGGGGGTCGGGGCCATTGGAGTCAAAGTATGCGAAGGCCTTGTGTCGCAGTTGCCGCTCCAGCTCATGCCAACAAATTCAACTGCTGGGCTTGGTCGAGCACTTTGCGCGGCAACTTTTTGAATCAACACCGCACGCCAGGCCAAACTAAGGGCTTGCCAGGCTTGCCTGCATACAAACAGATCGAGTTAGTAGGGATGGCCGCTGTTTCAGCACTCATGTTGGTACCTCAAAGGTCGGCCACCCCGCCTGCATGTGATGGTTCATGCTCGGCAGCGGCACAGGAAAAAAGCACGGCACTTTCTCCTGGTATTCCTTGTATGTGGCCCTCTTCTTGGCGCTGAAGTGTTCGGCAGGGCCGGCACCAGTCCAGTGCACCAAACAATCATAAAGTAAGCGCGGGATCATGACCAGAGCAACTACGTAGATGCGAAAGACAAAAGAGCCCTGCTGTGGAACGACTTCCGTATTCAGGAGAGATGGAATCGCAGCCAGTGTCAGACCGACCCATGCGCACCACTCACCGAAGTAGTTGGGATGCCGGCACCACGACCACAAAAAGTACTTGTCGAAAGGTGCAAGACCCAGGGTAGCATCCCTCTTGTTCAGCTGTTTACACTCATTTAAGAAGAGAATCTTCTGGCCATCTGCAAGACTCTCGAACATCCAAGCTGCGACCCAAACGGCCAAGCCTAGCCACTCAACCACGTGCATCTGCAAATCCTGGTTGCTGGCTGCTAGGAAGGCAGGCACACAAAGAAGCGCCGTGTTCGAGACTCCCTGTGACATGGTCTCCTGTTGCATTTTTAGCCACCAGGTGGCCTGCGGCATACCATCAACGCTAACCCACTTGTGTTTCGCATATTGATACCTAGGAAGATCTTCTTGAAATCGATAGGTGAACTTGGAAGACTGGCCAAACATCACCAGCGCGCCCAAAGCCATGCGACCCCCATGGAGCAGGAAGCAAAGGGAGATCAAGCATTTGCGAGCCCAAAACCCCGTGCCCAACAGATACGAAGTTACTCCAATTGCAACAAGCCCACATGGCCAGCCAATGTCAACATACATCATGTGCCCTGTCAGCAGGACTGGAAGCTGCACAAAAGGCAGGAAGATGGAGAGCTGCACCAGAGCGTTCGTCCAGAAGAGGCTCCGCAGCGCCGGTGGGGCCAGCAGAACCCCAAAGCCGAGGGAATAGACCAACAGACTTTCAACAAGATGGAGATTGCCTCCCACAGCAAAATAATGAAGCCAACTTCCTTTCTCCAATGCCATTGCTCATTCGGGCATCTATTTACTTGAGCCTGGCAAGGCTGATGGTTTGGTGTATTAGAATTAACTGCAAGCTCACTCCATCCGGACTTCCATACTGTACTCAGCCAGAGATTCCTTGGCGATCATCATGCTCATGTTGTCACGGGCAGCCGTTGGCGAGCCCATCCTTGGCAACTAGTTGAGTTGGACAGTTTGGGAATGGGTTCGTGACGCGCAACATGCCTCTCAACATGACGAGCAGCTCTCTGCCAGTATCCGCGAGTACGACTGACTAGTTTGATGCGACCCCAGAGAACTGGCAGTCCAACTGCTTGCATCAAGATACATGTAGGCTGACATCCCTTGCATTAACAAACCCTGTGTGAGTTTTCGCCGGTGGATGCTGGCAGCAAGCTGGACCGAGATACACACATGGGATAGCGCTGCGTCTTGTGCAGCATGTTGGCCTCTCCAACCTGTCGGTGGCAGACGCGCCATCTTTGTCTGCATGAACAATGGCACTGCAGGCGTGCCTCCTTTTGCATGGCAGCAACCTGACAGTAGTGTTAAGGACATGGCCGACTGCTTGCCGGATGCCAAAGATGCAAGTATTCCAAGACATGCTGTCCTTACATCTCCACAAGTCTCCATTGCTCTGGGCCCAGTACCCGGTCGTCCAGCGAGCTTCGGTTGCGCGGAACTGGCTCCGGCCGGCTACCCTGATGGATAACTTGTTCAACTCTGACATCCAGTGTCTTGGCATCCAGGCCTGCAGCCTCTCAAACTTGTCTGTCCGGGAGAAGTGAACCAAGTACACGTCCTTTGCGTTCCACATGTCAGCCGTTCTAGCTAAGCAAGAATGGAGATTAAGGCCTCTGAAGCTGCACAGCTGCTGGAAAGAACCGCATCTTCCAAGGCACTGGCTAAAGGAGCTGATTTGTATGCTTCCAAGACCTGAGCCCGGTGGCGTTGTTGAGTACAGCACTTAACAGCACTCAACAGGATGCGACATCCACGTGCTGAACAGGTTGAAGTTGAAAATCTGCTGTTTCAGAAACTGCGCGAAACCGAGGCTGAGCCTCTGACTCTGTCAAGAGCCTGGTAGATCCAGCTAGGCCTATTGCCTGAGGATCATGACCACACTGACCAAGCTCTTTTGATGCTTCCCTTAGAGTTGTGACCGAAGGCGTCTCGGAACAATCCGAACACTCTGCACACATCAACTATTTAAGTTGATACACGGCCCTGGCTTCCTCAAAGTACGTTCCCGGGCCTAGAGCTCCAGCTCCAATTGCGGTGAGAAACACCTTCACGCGCTGCCGCCGCCTTGAGTGCTCCGACAATCCCGATATTCAACTTTAATCCACCGAGGCCTCGGGCCATGTGTCTGGGCAGCATAAAGCACCCACCCCTAATGCCTGGAATTCCCCTGGCCGACAGGTAGTCGAACCCCCCCCCACCCCCTACCCGCCTTCTGCGCTGCCGTCTCCCACTTCCCTTCTACTGTTCCGGACGCACGTGCCCCCGCCGCCGCCTTTCCCCCAACGACTTGAGTGCACGTGAGTGCCTCTCTCCATAGCCTTTTACTTTGAGTGTTTGTACCTATAGGTACTCCCCCTCGATACCCACGATTTAGGGTTTGGGGCTTCGAGTTTTGGTTTCTTTGATGTGCCTGGCCTCGCGGGTGCAGTGGCGACAATCCGGCCGAGGCCAGTCGCGTAGCGATAAAATCAGACAGTACAGTGATCAGCAGAGTCGTCGCACTTCTGATTGTGAGCTAATTGTGAGGCTTCAAGTCTTCAAGTGATCAAGTTTCCCGCCTCGCAGCAAGTGTCGCACCCACTGCCAGCGTGGCATCCTCAAACTTCGCACATGGATTGAAAGAGCTGGTGATTCAGATGGGTGAAGGCATCTGACTGTGAGCAAAAAGCCTTGCAGCACCGACACCCCATGTCCCAACACCCTCACTCCCTGTCCTCACTCCCTACACCTCCACACCTGTACACCTTCTACACACCCACTCCTGCGCCTGCGCCCACACCATCACACCCCCATGCCCCTACATCTCCACACGCCGAAACGGACCCCAAACGAACCGCGAGATTCCTTTGCATGTGGCATCGAGCCTGAACTCAAGTATGTACGTCCGCCAGCTTTTGATCTAGCGCAATCTCAAGTGCTGAGGCAAGGACATACGCGCCTCAGGGACAAATCACTTAAGATGAAGCTGAACGCTGGGAAAGTGACACCACGAGATGTCACGAGACTCTTCTTTGTACGACTCTACACTTGAAAGGTTGTTCCACGTTGCTCCGTTCTGGTCATGTTCTCTATGTCCACGTCAAAACCAAGGCGCCGGTTAGCAAGCTAACGGCAAATGGCGCCCAGTGCTGTGCCTGCCGGGGGAGGTGCTTTCCAATTGTGTCCGGACCGGCCCTACCAAGAAGATCCAAGAAGCTATACCAAGCGCAACATCTTGCAAGCCCCTGTGGGTCGTGAGTAGTCTAGCAGTATGCTACAATGTGACAATGTGCCAGAAGTCGTAAGTCTCTGCATTGAGTGCGCACCTTGCGCATTCAGAGACCTATGCACCCTCGACACACCCGCACATTCGTCAGGGGCCTTCACAATCTTTGAAAGTGCAACAGCCGGCGCAGAGCAGCACACCTGCACAGTTCTGTCATTCACATCTTGCAGCTCCGTTAATGACAGGGAAGGCACGTGCAAGATACTGTGAATAGGAGTGCTTTGCAATTTTAATGCCTCGCACCGGTTGTTCTGCTCTTCACTCCTCCGAAGCATTCGGTACCGAACAAGGCCTGACAAACGTTGTGCGAGATGTCGTCCAGAAGAACCTGCGTGTCCCAGTGCACCTGCAATCTTCGGAATGCTCCAATGAAGCATCCCTGTCTTCCAGGCCACTCTTGTAAGACCCTGGCCCCTACTCGGACTCGACTGGCCACGTCATCCGCGAGAATTTGATCAGCTGCAAGCCCTGGAGAGTGAATCCGCAGAGTTGCTACAGCAGCTTTGGGCAGCTGCTTCTGCAAAAGTATCTTGGCGCAGAATACGACACATGAATAACAGCAGATGCCGCCCGAAGTGACAGATTTGTTAGCCTGCTCGTCTGCTTTGGCAGGGTGTGCGACTAGAGTGCATGCAGGTGTAAGTGTAGGAGCTTTCCGAGATCTGCTCCACTCGAGGCATGGGCTCTCGCCGAGGTCAATCAGCTTTCCCCCAGGCCTGGTGGGCTTCCCAGCTCGGTCATAAACGACACAACGAAATCTAGCTGTGCCTGGGCATCATGAAGCCATTCCTCAGAACCCAGTAGCCTGCGAAGGCAAGGAAGCCAAGTGGAAACACAGCAGTGCAAGCTAGCGGAATTTGCGGAGGACGTTTGCATTCTCGTTCACAGCGTGCAGTTCGGCCTAAGCTGAAAGCTGACAAAGCAGGCCTTCTTTTCGATTCCCAACAAGATCGCCAATGTGCGTGAGCGTGTCCAACTGACGGGTTTCCATGCGGACTGAACATTCGCACGTGCTGCTTTTGGGGTTGTCGCGGCCGGTCTAATGGAACTCACAAGGTACTCACTGGACCTGCTACGCCGCTGAACACATCTGTGCCGTGGGTCGCCCCCTGCCTGCTGCCCGCGACCCTGCCCAACGCCATTCAGGAAGTAATTCCGGAAAACGGTGGCAGCCTGGCGTGTCTGACCCCACATTGGTGCCCTGTGTACTGTAGCAGAGCAGTCCCCATGGAGCTAGCACGACAGCCCGTTGCAACAATTTGGACAAAGCTGACTGTTGCGCCAGCTGACAACGGTTGACGATCCCGCTTCGGGGGCTGCCAAGCAGCGGCAGACATCTAAAATGTGTGGCTTCGGGTCAACGCCTCCATACCAAGAGCTGTTATCGTGCTGCGCAACTGAAGCTTCGCTGAGTTCGGCCCTCCACACTCAAAATAGAAGCCAGGCAAGGTTATGCCGGTTGTGTGCTCCAACCTTTCTTGACTCAAAGCCCTTCATTTTGACGGGGTGCTTCCTATATGAGCCCTCCCGGGTCAGATCTGAAGTTCAACATATTTCGGTTTGGATTCAAGCGTGCCGCAGCGACAGGGCAGGCTATCGCGCAAACCTCATCGAACTTTAAGGTCACAGGACTTCACGTTCTGACATCTATACCCACATGATACTGGCAACTCCGGACAGATGTGGTGCTATAGATTTCCGAGCCGAGATGCTGAACCCTGCGTTGTGGTCTCAGCGTAGCCTACATGGTGGGTGGACATGGACGGCTATGCGGCTATAACTGTCAAATTCGTGGGGCACGCTGCATCGGCTTAACTTTCGTCGTGCCACGAAATCGCTGTGTCAAGAAGTCTCATTCACTTCATAAGGCCGCGACAAGTTACACCATCCTCCGGGGAGTCACCAGGTTCCTGAGCAAGGCCGCCGAACACTTCAGCACTCCAGGTGTGCTCCGCCCTTTCCCACCCCTGCTCCCCGCAGCGGACCCCTCCCTGCCTGCATCTGCAAGCAGTTGTACAGAGAGGCGACCTCTTGAAGCAATCTGAAGCACATGTGCGGACGTGAACGCAGGTGGATGCCACCGGCATGTGCCAGCCTGGAACACGGACCCAGAGTTCTGCACATCAGCAATCCTCAGAGTGTCTGACCAGCTGCTGGAGCCCCGTGGAAAATGTCGCGAAAACTCCTCCTCGAACCCGTGCCGCAGTATTTCTACTCGTTTCTACTGCGTACATCATGGGGCTCGGACTCCCACAAGCCAACATGCGATGCTAGTCTCTAGAAGACGGCGTGCCATTTGCCAGAAAAAGGATGACCAGTTCAGAGCCTTCAAAGATCAAGAGAGAACCACAAAGCTGAGTCACAGGCAGGTCAAGAGTGCGATCCTTAATTTCCACAAGCGGAAACGATACAGTCTGAGACGGTGCATCCGCATGCGGTGGACCCATTCGCTTTCCATTTCACTCGCTAAGGAAAACCGCCATAGCCTATACATGGCACGGACAATCATAGACATGCACAGACCATCCTTGCAGCACATTTTTATCTGCTTCGTCAGCGAGAGGATGAGTTGCGCTGATGTGCCCGTCACAGTTCACAAAGGCCCCAAGCGGCAGCTCCCTTGGCCCAGCTGCGGACCTCATCCACTGTTCGCATGTATGGGAGGCCTGCATGCAATCGCCGGCTGCAGCTGAAGGGCAGAAATGTAAACTGAGCGAGAATCCTCCAGCCAGCAAGCTTCAGCCAGCTGAGAATGTCATTGTGGATGCGCCGCGAGTGTGTGGATATATGAAGACGGCGCACGCGGCCCGCAAGCCAGGAAGCCATGCCCTCCAGCATCGCATGCCTGAGTCAATGCCTATAGTACCGGCTTCGACGGGCGTGGCAAGCAATAAGAGCCAACCCCTACCATTCGCCGGACGACTCTGCACCCTGAGCATCAATGTCGACGAGGTCAAAAGGGTCACCAGGCTCCAGAATGGCCTCAGGAGCCAGAGGGCTGTCCGTGCAGCAGGTATGTCAGGCCTTCAAAAGCACAATGCATCAAATGCCGCCTCGAGCTGCTTGCCGGAGTTGATGGGAGCTGTCTCGACCACCAACTTGCACCGGCCCTCCTGACTGGACAATCGTACAACTATGCATAACTATGCGACTGCCGGCCTTTTGGGCCAAGACATGCCCGCACCAAGAGTCTGCGCGCTCTGAATGTGGCCCAGCAGCCGGCAAGTTGCGAGCAACGTGCTGACTAAGTTGTGAGCCATCTCCTGGAAGCCAGACACAAGCACACCCAAAAGGCTGGGCACGCAGAGCATCAGGAGCCTGCAATGTTCCATGCTGCCAAGATCGAAATCCGAGTGCAGTCCTAAGTCGAAGGGCTCCACCAACAGCAGCTCGCAGCCTGCTTCGGGCCCTGCATGACGCAGAAAAGCCTTGGCCGCACCTGGTATTTGTCGGACACTGCGTGTGAAGACTACAATACATGGCTCACAACTCCAAAGGATCTAAGGCTGCAGTTCAGATCTACAAGCCAAGCTCTCGCAGGGCTGCTCCATAGGAAACCGCACTGTCTAGCGGCAATACTGTAGCACATCAACCACGGCCAGTCAACAGAAGTACTGGAATCATCTGCAAGACACATCAGAGACTGTGCAGGGGGGAAACCCCTTCCAAAAATCAACATCGACTTTTCTGGCCTCAAGGTGTGATGAAGCTCACGCTTAGAGGACCCATACGCGGTGCAAGCATCGACGCCGGCGGCCGTGCCTTCTTTATCTTTAAGATTGGGATCAACACAATTCGTCGTCAATAACTTTGCAGTTTCAGATTCATCTACATCTTTAATTCTTACGAACGATGTACAGTATCAACTCATGCAACAACGTTTGTCGAAATCGGGCATTTACATCTTTTTGACTATATTATTGACTCAACCCATTCAACAATTTACCAGGCATCCCCCGAGAGGGTGTAGCCGTGTAGCCGCACCATGCATGTGTGCCGGTTCTTGTGAGCAATGCTAACGTGTAAAGGTACGAATAATGTAATCTTTAACTATAGTCCTGGAGTCCTTTCCCCGTTCTCCAATGCCTGACGTATTTGGCCCTGGCCAAATAATCAGAACTTTTTCAGCAGGCGAGGCTTGTTAGGGGCAGCACCGCAACCCAAACTCCCCGAACTCTTTTCGGGAATCCGGCTGGTAACAATCATTGGAGACGACCTCGTCCGAATAACGAATCACACGCTTTTGAACCCAGACTCTGAACGTCAGCTGGCACGATGACAATGGCATCGACTTACTTCCCAGAACCGAAAATGCGACATCCAAGACCGTCAAGCGATCTCAACCTCAAGACCTACGAATCACACTAACATGGTGACAATAGCGGCTGGAAGTTTCTAGCGCGGCACAACCTTGGAGTTGCTGAGTTGAAGTTCCCTGCCAGCTGTTCCACTCGCCAGCCCCGTTTAACAAGACATTTTCGCGACTTTGTGAGTGTGTTCGCAAGAAGTTTCGCGCAACAGTGCGCCCTGCACCTGCCACATCCATGACAGGCTTTCTGCACACAGGTCTGGCGAGGCGCGAGTTGCCCAGATTGCGTGCGGCCCAGACCCAACCTCCTAAGTTTCTGCACACAACCATCCCAGAGACTATAACAGCCACACGACGTCCTAACAGTGTCACAATGTGTCACATGCGCAAACATTAACTTAACAACTACTGAAGTGCACGAGGCTCGGCCATGCGGAGGCTACGGCCCTCCCGGGCTGCACGAAGTGCCGTCTCCAAGATGTCCTTCCACTCCTTTGCACGACAGGAACGCCACTTGGGCAAATTCAGTCCAGCTCTATGGCATACTGGCGGGCCACGGAAGTATGCATGTGTAAGTAAGTGTGGAATTTCACTGGTGTAGGGTGGCCGTTCTTGTATGTAGGGATTGTCAGTGCAGCTCGAAGTTCAAAGTATTCTTCATCAAGGAATGGCCAGAACCGGGTGCTCGGCAGCGCCATTCGGCGATAAATGCAGTCCAAAGTCCTGGTGCACCAGGCCCTACTTTCTGCAACTAGGCAAGGCCAGCATGACCCTTGCAAACATGCCCTTGGGCCATGGGTCCTCGTGGGTGCCAGCAGTGCTGGCATCTGATCGTCACATACCGCGGCGATGTTAGTGGCAATGCCTGCATGGCTGCTTACGTACGCTGCGCCCAAGAAAGGGCAGCATGGACAGCTACACATGTGTCTTCTCATCGGAGAGTAGGACCGGAAGACCTGACCGCAGCACATACAAATTGTCGTTGCGGCTGGCCTAGGAAATCCAGTGCATGATCCTTTGGTTCAGGCCCAGCAATGGGGGGAAACAAGTGGAACACTTCCAGGTGGTCGGCGGTGCAACTTCGTTGGAAGATGTTGGGCAAACAGACGTTTCCGGTCTGTAGCAGCAGCTCTCGCAGATCACCCGCATTGATGCGCGCAAGAATTAGGGCATCAGCGACCAAACCTTCAAGTGTGCGAATATCATAGTCAGTGCTGTCCTCCACTAAAGCCAACAGCGAGGTCGACAAAGACCAGGCATCTCGTAAGAAGTGTCCGAAGATGCTCTTGAACTGTTTGGAAGCAACTCGCGCCTCGTCATATCTGGCTGGACTTCCGAAGATCAGGGGCGAAGCAAGCTGCGCAGAAAGGTTTCTCAGTGTCCCCTCCTCCACAAGCAGCTTGGTTTTGACACGAGCCGACTCTTGAACGAGTGCGCGTTGGACCAGCGCAAACTTCGCGAAGCATCTGCAGCAAAGGTCGGCTACGGCTGTGGCAGGCTTTGCTGTGATGTTGTGCAACTTGAGACTTCTGGGGCTCGGGTGCTCGCACATGTACCACAGAGCTGTGATGGGGCTGCTCGGCTGCACCCACCGGAAGCAGCCCAGGGCTCTCAGAACTTCCACCGGTGTGCATGGCCTGGCTTCTGCAGCCTCTGCCCAGTCGAGGGACAGAAGCCCCGCACTTTGACGCGCAGCCAAGGCGAACCCAAGCAAAGGCACCCAGACCGCACTCAGACGATGACCGCACATTGGGCAGACACCTGAAGCCACAGAGAGCCATCAGCGGAACATGCTGGGAAGACCCCTTTACTGGGCCAAACATCTACACAGGCAGATGACTAAGCTCTGCTTTGGGCAACTACAAACTACAAACCACCACACAGCATCCAAGCCTGTTGACAAGAAGAACGACTTCAGAGAATTAGTAAGGCAGACTGCTGACTTGAAAGGCGGGCTTTTGCAGGTGCAGTTCTCCCAAGCGGGCTTCTTGAGCAGCTTGAAAAACAACTTTTTTATCCCAGACTGCAAGCTTGCTGGGACTCCTGCAAAGTCAACCCCCGACATCAGGGAAGACCTGAACAGCCAGCAGCCCTTGAGAACACCCCAAGCCCCAAACCCCAAACCCCAAAAACCCCAGCTTGAAACAGCAAGGGCCAGGCAACAGCTTCGGGAAACATCTGCAACAGCAAGTCACGAATCTCCGGACTACCGGAACTTGGAATTCTTCATCCCCTCCCTTCACACTCTAAGCCCGTCCAGGTTGAGGGTCAGTTGTTGCAGAATTTGCAGAATGTGGGGTGGCTCGGTTTCTGTGCTCCGGGGAGGACTAGACTGAGACGAGCTGGAGGCGACACTGAGGCACTTCAAGGTGCTCTCTGGGCTTTCGCAATGGTTTCGCCAGATGGGGGTGGGGGGGGGGGGGGGGATTGGGGGTAACTTGGGGTAACTCCGGACAAACCGGTGAGTTTTTGTGGTGAAGCTCTTCGGGTGGTCCTTTTTGATGCGATCCGGATGCGCTGTGGCAGTTAAGCCCACTGCCAAAAGCGCGGGATTGCACTGATATGGCCATCACAGTTCAGGAATCGCCCCATTCCATTGTCTTGGAGGCCAACCAATGACCTCAATGTCTCTAAGCTTCGATGTTGTGTAGCAAGGCTGCCATACAAAGGAAGCACGCGCTCTCAAACCTCTACGCGCGACAGCTCACGGACAAGAACGAGAAGCCACTCAGAGTTATGCATGCTGCGAGTGTTGCACGATGTGATGCAACTTGGCAGCAGTGTGGGATAGTGGGCCTGGACTTCCCAGCCCTCTCTTTCCAGCGACTTCATGAAACTCCAATGGATGTCCCGAGAATGGGTTGAGAGGTGCAGGCGCCGAACCCTGGTCAAGAGCCAGCCAAACAAGCCAGTCAGCATGGTTCTCCTTAGGAGGAGCTGCCACACGTCATCATCATACTGCTCAGCATTTGCTCTCATGCATAATATTGCATAATGCATACCCTCCATGAACAGGATCATTCGCGGATAACCTGTACACCGATACATCGGTTCGGCTTGCACTGGCTGAGGCACTCGGCACCATCTACATCAACATCCAGGAGATCCCAAACATCACCAGAGCCCAGTAGAGCCTCAACGCCGTGACGGGAGCTTGTCTGGCAGCGACTTGCGCACCCGCACTAGGAATCATTGGTTTCTACGAGTACCCAGCTGCGTCGTGTAGGATGATGTGCTCTGAAGGGCCTATCTCTCATGAGGCGGGCTCCTGAATCTCTTGTTGCCTCCTAAGGGCTTTTAAAGGGCTTAAAGGGCCTATAAGGAACTGAAACTTCTGAAGAGGCCTTGACTTGGTCATTCGTGGTGACGGGCTCGGTGTGCACAACAAACCTTCGGGGATCTGCGACAGGGAAGCATGGAATTCTGGGGAATTCTGGGGTTTTGATCCCATATGATCCCATGCTTGCCTGCACCGCCCCGGCGGCAAGTTCATGGCAGTGTGGTCCCGAAGGAGGGACCCGTCCCCTTGCAAGAAATGCATCCTCTAACTGTCCGAGGCTCTCGGGCCGAGGAGTCTGGGGAGCTTTCTGAGGTGGTGCCCACATGGTGCCCACATGCCTATGGCACCTGCAATCTCGCACCCTAAATCACTGGCAGGTGTTTGGTGTGGGTCGAGGTCGCCAGGTCGGCAGGGTTGTACTGGCGGGAGGCATACATGAGGACCCTCGTGGCGGGCAGACTACATTGTGGGAGAATGCATTGACGATATTGAACGATACCTTCCTTCAACAACAACAACAGGATTCAATAAGCACAGGGTGCAAGTGTACCCGTCCGCAGTAGATTCTTACCTTCTGTGGCCAAAGCTCCCATGGCGAAGGGCTCTGCGAGCAGCAGCTCACAGGGCAGGTCAGGTGCTGCATACTTGGCAAACGCCTTTGCCGCACCTAAGGGTCACGAACTGGGATCACAGCATGCCGACTCGGATTCTGGCCATGTGATACAGTATCCTTGGTCCTGCAGATCGTCAAAGCTGGGTTGCACCAGTTGCCGATCTGCCTGAACCCTAAACCCTCAACCCTTTTATTCCGGCTAGGACTGACCCTAAACCCTCTTTAACACTGCACTGAGGCCAGCGCGGCAGTCCTAAACCCTAAACCCGAAACCCTAAACCCTTTTTGCACAGGCTTGTCTCAGCGCGCCTTGTCGAGCTCGTCGCTCTCGTACCCTAAACCCTAAACCCTAAACCCTAAACCCTAAACCCTTAACCCTAAACCCCCCAACGAGTGCTTGCCCGGGCACGCATGGCCCAGATTCCGTAGGGTCCGCTGCCCAGCTCGGCCATGCGGAAAGGCCGGCCGGCCCGTGCTGCTTGCACGGCGGCAGTGAGGCCATCCGCCCACTCCTAACGAATGAGGCGGTTTAGGGTGGTCTAGGGTTTAGGGTTTTTTTGCCACCCGTCTAGCCATGCTCCACGGGGCAACTGAAGAGGGAATGCTGTGTACAGTTAACTTCAGAGCCCAAATATCCGACCCATTCAGAATCGGGAGACTGCCCAACTAAGGAAATTGCGCCCTTCAAGCCGGGTTTAGGGTTTAGTCGCTCACTCTCGCACAAGGCAGGTTAGGGTTTAGTCGCTCACTCTCGCACAAGGCAGGCAAGGTCCGTTGGTCTGTGTAGGACAAATAATGAACCCAAGCCAAGCAGTCGTATGGTTTAGGGTTTAGGGTTTAGGGGAGCTTCCCATCAAGGGAGGAAGATGCGGCAGTTGCTCGCCGAGGGTCTAGATACTCTTCGTCCAACATTGGCCAACCCCGAGGAAGTGTCAGTCCTCTCCTGAGTTCGACACAGGGCACTTCGACCATGCTTAGCACAAGACATAGAACCTCGCACGAACAGAACACGCAGGGGATTAGGGGCCAACGCGGGGTGGAAATCAAGGATGCTGAACACCTTTTTCCAAAGTTCAGCGCAGGGGCATGACTCAGACCAATCCGCAATTTGAGTTGTCAACAAATCACAACTAAATATGCACCTCTTCTACAAAGGGTCCAGCCCTCCTTGCGAAGTAATACATGCCCAGTGTCGAGTAGTATTGGCACATCATCGTTCGGCCCGGCGCCAGTAAGGCGAACTGCTTGCGGGTACAGTCAGCATCAATGGGCATCGACACACCTTTTGGAATTGAAGGAGGCCATGCGTTGGTAGGACAGCCGAAAATCCCGCAGCACTGAGCACCCGCAAAGCAAGCTGCAGTTAGTCTGCCGCAAGCCCAGAAATCACAAATGCTGCCAAGAGTCCGAGGAAGTCTAGCATATATCCCTCCTCTGCAGGCCCTTGTACAGATGGAAAATGTTCGTAAATGGGAAGGTTCTTCTGGCTACATGTGCCAGCGAAGACATCCAGCAAGCAGGTGTTGTGGTTTTCCACCAGCATATTGTAAGTCTGCTCGATGTTGTGCTGCTTCCAATACGAGAGCAGCTCGCTCCTTGGTATGCATGACTTCGCTACCACAGGGTATGTGCTCTTGGCATCCATTGCTGAGGCCGGCTCATCAGAGAGGCCGTCCGATCGCCTGGAAAACCCAAACTCTGCTCATCCGCCATGCTCACGGCCGAATTGGCAGTGAACCACAGAGCTCCTTAAAAATCGCTCTCGCACATGTGTTCTTCATGTGTCATGTCTTCGAAGTTTGTCCAGCTTGCAATCACCCCTTGAAGCCTCGAAGTAACGACAAAAACCCGAAAATGTTCCGTGCTGAGGGGTCCAGGCTTCCTTGTGCCAGCGCGAACCTTGGGCATGTGACTTCAAAGGCATCTGCGTTTTTGGGGCATGACAGAGACCCCCATCATACCCGCAACTGATGGCAAGCTCGAGCAGCTTTCGCCACAAGGCCGCCTGGGCCTGCGCGAGGCCTCGGCCACGACGCCTTGGCAACTTCTCAAGGCATCTCTGCCTAACGGATCGGAATGTGCATGTCCGTGTAGTGCCCCACTTCCAATTTAGGTCAGGAAGCAACGGCACGCGGTATGACTTCATGGCTGTTGTCAAATTCTTCAGTCTGTCCAGGTCAACTCGGCGATGGACCTTCGGAAGCAAGGGCACGTCAAATGGCAAGGCGGGTGGGTGGGCTTGCTGGTTGTCCATGGCAGCCGTTCGCCCATCAAAGGGGATCAGCAAATCGAACGCTGAGTAGTAGTAGTAGTAGTAGTAGTAGTAGTAGTAGTAGTAGTAGTAGTAGTAGTAGTAGTAGTAGTAGTAGTAGTAGTAGTAGTAGTAGTAGTAGTGGTAGTAGTAGCAGTAGCAGTAGCAGTAGCAGTAGTAGTAGTAGTAGTAGTAGTAGTAGTAGTAGCAGCAGTAGTAGTAGTAGTAGCAGCAGCAGGAGGAGGAGTAGTAGTAGTTGTTGTTGTGATTGTTGTTGTTGCTGCGGCAAAACCCTAAGCCCGAAGCCCTAAGCCCTAAACCCTAAACCCTAAACCCTCGGGAGGCCTTCAGAAAGCTCAGCTCGCGATGAAGTTCACGCGACAGGGTCAGGAGCCCCCAGAAGCAGCCGCAGTAAACCTCCACAGAGCCTGGGCCCAACGCATTATTATCAATATTAATATTATTAGTATTAGTATGACTATTTTTATTAGTAGTATTAGTACTAGTACTAGTACTAGTCCTAGTACTAGTATTAGTATTAGTATTCGTATTAGTATTAGTATTTCTATGGCTCCGACAGAACGTCTCGAAGTCTTCGGACCCAACATCCAGCAACTTGACTCGCTCCAAGGCCTCACACGCAGTCACGACCCCAGTTAGCTGCTAGGACGCTACGATATCAGTGTTCCAGCCTGAAGGGTCTGGTTCGGCGTGCAAGGCTCGTAGAATTCGGCAGATGCTGCGGCCAGAAGTAGCGCCAGGAAGGAGAGCGTTGCAGGCATCTCATGGACTCTATGGCAGACGCAAGAAGGCGGCGTCTGCGAAGTCACTGTGTTCTCTCAAGCTTCAGCATCTAACAAGCTGCAATTCTTCATGCTTCCAGATCTTCCAGCACATGTAGGCGAGCTTAGTCAGGCTTCCTTTGTCGAGTCGGCTAAGTCTGGGGCTCAAGGGGATTGGAGCGCGCATGCAGGAACTTTCTCGGGCCAGGGACGCTCTCTGACTACGCAGCATGGACGCCACATGCACATTCCACGACATAGTATGAGACTGTTGTCCGACGGGATTGAGATGCTGGCCACCACGTTCTTGAAGGTGAGGCCTGGCAATTGATATAAAGAGCCTGTATGCAGCGAGGCCTCGCGCCATAAGTCCGCAGGTCATGAGACACGATTTGGCCATGTGCCAAAAATCCCGGTTCTCACGGCCAGTACCACGGAACCGCCCTTCTCATGGAGACCCTGTAACGCCTATGTTGTTGCTACAGAGCTCTGCAACGTGTAGACAAGAGACGACCCAGACAGCAGCAAGCACGTCTCTCGCAACATTCGGGCAATGATACATACCCTCTGTACCGTGGTACACAACTCATGTGGGCTGCTCACATGTTACAAGCATTTACAAGCCTAAAGTGTAAATTGGCATGCAGCGATCCGTCATTATCCTAAATTGCAACAATGTTTGCATGCATACTGGTAAGACATGCATCGTCATTTCGAAGGTGTTGGCTTGACAAAGCAATATGCCTAACCCTAAGCCCTAAACCCGAAACCCTAAACCCAAACTTTAAACCGGAGGCTGGCCTCCGAGCTCGTCAGCTTCACACGTTCGCACGTCGCCGATGGTGAAAGGGCCTTGGGCTATCAACCAAGGATGAAGAAATCATTTGGCGGTGGCCGAAAACTCCCCTGCCCCCTCTTACAAAGCCTTGCCGCCAACTTGTTTCCAACCCTTGTCGCACGGCTTTTGAAAAAAACTTGTGACCGTCTTCTGGCGCAGAACCGACTCCTCTGTTGCAAGCCTTTGTTGCACCTGCCCCCCCCCCCCCCCCGGGCCTGAACTTGCTTCTTTGTCTTCTTGCTCTTGTTCTTGTTGCTGTTGGCAGTTGGCTGTTGGTTGTTGGTTGTTGGCGTTGTTGGCTTTGATTGTGTTGTGCTTGTTGCCGTGTTTTGTTGTGTTGTGGTGTGCTCTGTGTGTGTGTGTGTTGTTTGCTGTTGTGTTTTGATTGTTGCTTTGTTGCGTGGCGATGCTTTGTTGCGTTTGTTGTTTCTGTGCTGTTGCTGCTGTTGTTGATGTTCCCAAGTGGCCCGTGCAAGGGTCGTCAAATTCTGGCCTGCGACGATCAAATGCGAGCCTTCAAAACATCGCTATTTGCGAATGTTTCTTCAACAACACGGCGTTTTCAACGATGTCTTGTCTGCCCCAACGTGAGTGTCGAGGGGGGGGGGGGTCATGACGGTGGTGCTGGTGGTTGCTGCCGTTTCTCTTGTTGCTGTTGCCGTTCTGGTCTTTGTTGGTCTTTGCTGGTTGGTGTTGCTTGGTGTTGCTTGGTGTTGGTTGTTATTGGTTGTTGTTGGTTGTTGTTGGGTTGTTGTTGGTTGTTGGCGGTGGTGTTGGTTGATGCTTCTCCTGCTGCTCCTGCTGCTCCTGCTGCTGCTGCTGCTGCTGCTGCTGCTGCTGCTGCTGCTGCTGCTGCTGCTGCTAGCACATATCGTCTTCACTTTGGCTATGGGAACCTCTGCAGACCTGGCCATCCTGGAATCTGACACGATTTCCAGTGGTCTATCTGCATCACCTTGCGCGTCTGTCCGCACTGAGTTCAGGCGCTGCGTCGTGACCGCTTCCCCTCAGGCAAAGCCTCATTTCGCACGATGAGAAGTCAGACGGCAACCGAGTCTCAATTGCAGCAAAGGTCAGAGGCCCGCCTCATGTAGTCTCTCGTGCAGCTCTCCGCCTGAAACTACCTGAGAAAGATCCAGGAACGTTGCGCTGGCCTTGCAGATGCAGACTGGTTCGGCCTCGAAGGGGCCCACGTAAAACCTGCCAGCACTGACACGCTGAGGTACAGCAAGGAATGCCCATACAACTCAACAACCTTCTGCTGAGAGCAGCACTTCTGTCCCGTTGCCTAGCTTCAATTGGCATGGCTGATCACGAGCATGCTCGCCCAACTTAGTTGACTTTGCTTGCGCCACTTTGCTATACTGTCTATACTCTGCTTCACTTGGAAGGGCCACCTTGACCTGCAAGACGCCTGAGGAGTGGTTGAAGAGCTCGCGTGTGCCCTGACAAAGCAGCCCCCACTTCAGTACAGCTACAGGGCTCACACAAAGTCAGCGGACTTGCTGAACATGCACAGAAGTTCGTGGATCGCAAGAAAATCTCTTGCACAGATCAGGACTACGTACTCATGCCTATTTTCTGAGAGGCGAAACGCACTGGAGCTCAGGAGCTCAGGCTGCAATGCTACACGCTGCAGATTGAAACCTGTCTGTCAGTGTCTGCACCACGTTAAAATTTAAGCATGCAGCTGAAATGCTAGCACGCAGCTTCGAGGATCTGAGGAGATCTGGTTCCAAACTTGACAAAAAACCGGCCTGCAGTCAATAGAATCACTAGAGGTATTTCTTGCTGAGGAATGCTGAGGACCCAGTCTCGTGATACCCTGAAGCTACGCATGCGCAAGCTCGCAGCTAGCAACCAACGGATGTCCTGTACAGCTTGCATCGTGCACAAAACGCCCCTGACGCCTGGCATGCCTTTGCAATCGATTGCACCTATCTGACTATATCCGACAGCTACCTCCTGATGCGCTTAGAGATGCACGATGGCAATGCACAGCTGGCATATCCTTGTCTGCCAAAGTGCACAAAATAGATCCACGAAGTTTCACAGCCAGCATGGACTGTGAAAACTGAATTGCCGAGAGAACGTCGGGATGTCACTACACGGTTTGTCACAGTAGGGGCGAAGCCATTGGCTGCCACAGTACTCAGCACCACCGCAAAGGGTGTCCCGCCGATCAGCTACCAAAAGACAACATGCAAAGTTATGGCCGAAAACAAGCCCCGGCCAACTAACGTTGCATGTACTGCTGCACACATCAAGCAAAGGCCGGACAGGCTGCTTGAACCTGAGCACACTCACTCAGAACTCATGAATCTCACTTACTCATCGATCTCACTATGGCGCAGTCGGTCTTCTCCTCTTTCTTATGCTTCGTCTCATGAAAGGTGAATGCATGCCAGGGTACAGGTCCAACAAATCAAGGTCAGCGCCATACATCTACACTACAGAACCCAGCAGCAGCTACGACAGTGACTCGTGGAGCTTGCAGCCACCATCCCCACTGTGCAATCCCGGTACTGAGCAGCAAGGCAAAAACGTCGTCAAAAGTCCCAGCACACTGGCTGACCAGACCAGCTGGTGGGCTCCACTGGCATTTTCGCATGCGGCTTCAAGGCCCCACGCTCAACCATCCCCATATACTCGCAAAGATGTATATTATGGAGAGGACAGAACGACATTTGGCAAGATCCCAGGACCATGATGCAGCCATTGGCAGGCCAGCAAGTTTGCCAAGGAACGGCACTCGGAGGAAATAATTGCAAGAGCAAGGTTGGCAGGATTGCACAGTGACCAGCATTCCTGCAGCCACCTGCGGGCAGATGCCACCACACGGAGGCATGGGACTACCAACCTGCCGAGGCCCGAACCATGAAGGGGCCGCTCACAAGCAATGGGCGGACAAGACAAATCCAGCATGGGCTTCGTGGCCACGAGGCCCAACCAACAAAGGCCGGGAACCACAAAGACCCCGAACCCGCACAAGTCTTTGCCCCTGCCAAGCTAAACTCATGTCCACTTCGCAGGGATTAGGCAGTTAGTCAGGCAGAGCTCACACAACATGAGCTGAGGTGACGCGAATGGATCTGGAAGAGGAGGACGATGGCGAGCAACCAGCAGAACAGAGTCCCGTACGCATGGGAGCTTGAAGCGCAGTTGCAATCTGCATGGCAACGGCTGCTGCGCTTGGCCCCCACCTCAACCTCTTCTTCACACTCGACTCTACCTGTAATCCTCAAGCAAGCTCCTTCTCATCATGCCTTGCCCACCCTGGCTACAAAGCTCTGCCGTGCTCCAAGAAGCCAGCTCGGGGATTCTTACCGCGCATGGCTGCGGACAGGAATGCTTTCCATATCGCCTTAGCTGCTTCAGCCAGGAAGCAGTGCCAAAGTCAAACTCAAGCAGATAATAGCTCCCACAAGTGCCAGCTTGGGCCGTGTTTTCGTGATTGCATGATTAACATTTATATGCCACAACCCTAACGAGGCAACATGACCACGTCTCGTTTGGGTTGGGACATTCAATGCATTCGGGAGCTGCGGAACATAATCATGCTCAGGTGCTGAAGAACGCTCTGAAGCTCTGAAAATCCTGCCCACATCGAGACCCCACTGAAAGGAGCCGTCAGGGGCTCGCGTATCTTCTGCATCCGATCCGAGATGGCCCTTCAGTGCAAGGCTGGTTATACATGCATGCATTAACAAGCTGGGGGCTTGGGCAGTGTTCCGGCAGTGTCTCCTGACCGACCGACCGACAGGTTCGTGGACCGACCGACAGACTGACGTGGTCAGCTGGCCTACGGACAAACCGTGACAAACCAACATCACAACCCAAAAAAAGGAACCCCCCCCCCCCAAACCCCGTCGCACGTTTAAGAACCACATTGTGGCTTCAAAGATGGACATTTCCTTCCAAACCTGCATGAAACCTTTCCAAACCTGTCATACCAAATGGGGTGGGTGGGGGGGGGGGGGGGGGGGGGAAGGGGGCAAGGTGAAAAGCCTTGCAAACTTGTTTGCTCGAGAAAGCGCTCTAGTAAAATAATTGAAGGTATCAATGCCCACGAAAAGTCAACCGGCAAATCCAAATGCAAGACAGAAAAACGAATACCAAATAACAAGTAAGGAGGATAACAACTCTAGTCAACTTCTCAACTTTCGAGTTCAGGGTTTAGGGTGCTGGGGGGGGGGGGGGGGGGCAGGGCGTAGAAACGAATCATACAGAACCCCTACCCACCCACCCACCCACCAAAAACCAAATGAGCAAAGAAAAAAAAAGGGGCGCAAGACAAACGCGGCAGCGCCTGCCGCAAGTCGACTCTTGGGTCGCATCCTGAAGTGATGCTTAGTTGTCCAGTAACTTCGGGGGGAGTTAAAGGTTAATTTTTTGGGATTATAAGGGGATGATACTACCCCAAAAAAGATAAAGTTCGGATAAAGGTTACCTACTAGGGATGCTGCTGCACTGCATGCTGCTGGACAACTGCATGAATGGTGGGGGAAGGGGGTGAAGTTTGAAGACACCTCTTCCTGAGCCTCTGAAGTTCCGTCGTCTCTAAGCTTCTTCTAAGCCTCTCTAAGCTTCTTCTAAGCCTCTCTAAGCTTCTTCTAAGCCTCTAAGCCTGAAAGGGTCGGCCCAGTCAAACTGCAGCTCTGGACATCTCTGCATGCTGCAATCATTTTCAGGCACTTTAAGGTGCTTTTGCAAATCAGTGCTATGCACCTGTAAGCCCCTTAAAGCCCCATAAGATCCTTCAGCACTGCAGTTGCCAGCTAAGAAGCCTCACAATGATCGCATGGAGCTGGGCACAGGCTTGGTGATCTGCCATGGAGGAAGGCTTGCAGCTCCTTTCAGACAGCTGAACCGATAAGATGCCTATGCTTCTTGTTGCCCACATAACTATGCTTCGACACAGACTCGGCACAGCTTCCTACAGCCTACAATAGCCTTCAGTGTCGAGCGGGCGCCTTTGAGCTCGACGTCGGAGAGAGCCCAGGGAAGTCGCGCGGGTTGGTGGAGAGATTTCGCTCCAGATTGTGAATCTCTCTCGCACATGGCTCAGGAAAAGTCGCATCATGACACACCTTGAAGGGCATGTTCACGTAAGCTTCCGTCACACCTTTCCGTGCTTGGCATGGGGGTGGACACTTCCCGCTTTCGTGCAGAAATTCTTGCACCTCCGCATAGCTGGATGCAGGGCTCAGGCCAGGGTACCAGTCTGCGTGTAAGTTCGTGCCCTCGCTCAATATCCATCTCACAGCAAGGTCACAGTCGCCGCCGTCCTGTGGAGGAAGACACTCGCCTCCGGACTGCGGCACGTGGTCGCGGACAAAGGCATAAAGCCGATAAGCATGACCTTCTTCCAACCTGGCCGTTGGAACCAGAGCGGTTAGCTTGTCACGGGGGCTGGTTCCCTGACAGACTTGGACAGCTCCAGGGATTGTGGCCGCTGCTTGTGATGGCGATGCGGGGTTGTCACCCGTCAGTACCCACACCACATCGTTGTTCTCCCAGGCTTTCGCGTCATTGTTGGGCATATCGACAGCACTCCTTAGATCTCACATCGCAAGCGTGGCTTGCTCCAGGCCTTCGTTGCTGAACTTTGCCAGCATGGCAACCCTTTTTTTATGCACTTTCGTGAGTCATGTCGAGGTATGAAGGTATGTTGAAGTAGGGTGCACATCCACTCGGAGAACAGCTCCGCGCTGCACCGTCACGCCCAGCGGTGCGGGCGTGGGACCCTCCAGTCCCCAGACCTGCAGCCGTGCTTTCCACATCTTTCCACTTCGCGCCGAGGTGTCAGAACTTGCACAGTTTGCACGCTTCTCTCTTTCTCTCTTGCTGGGAGCTGCACAGCGGGGAACTTCAAAACACAGCGCAAACAGAAATCAACTGTCAGCTGCGGTGCCTTTATTGCAGTGATCTTGGGTGCCGGGTGTCTGGGAGCTTTACCAGTCCAGACCTCCTTCAAGACAGGAGAAGGCATCCAGAAATGCTTCACCGCACCCGGGAGACGCCCAACAAAGGCTCACCACATCTCACAACAGTTTCGCCGCGATTCGCCGCGCCAGCACAAGCGAGCCAATCAGTGTCCTGCATGGACTGAACCACATCCGAGGCTGGTTCGTCAAAGCCGGTGGCACGCCACTCCTTGGAACATTCAACGGCAAGGCGCACAAGCCACACACAAGCCCGGCAAGCTTCAATCAACCGGCAATGACTGGCAATGAGCCCAGGCTCGTTGAAGGTGCTGAACCACGTGGGCGTGTGCTCCCACTTCCAGCCCCACATGAAAGCAAACGTGCCTAAACAGCTCTCTTGCGCCAAGCATTCTTGGTGAATCTGACGGAGGCCCATGGCCTTCCTGGGGGGCGCCGAACAGCAACATGCCGTCTCACTGCCCTCAAGAAAGGTTTCTACAGGGCGGAGAATTATTTTCGTACCTTTTTTTTTTGTACTTTTTCTTTTTTTGGGGGGGGGGGGGGTGGGAGGAGGGGGGGGGGGCGGGGTGGGGGGGCGGGGTGGGGGGTCGGTAGGTTTTGGGGGGTGGGGGGGGTGGGGGGGGGTGGGGGGGGGGTGGGGGGGGGGGGTGGGGGGGGGGGGGTGGGGGGGGGCTGGGGGGGGGTGGGGGGGGTGGTGGGTGCACGGCTCAAAACAAGCCTCCATTTGCAAACACGATTCGCGCATGTTGGGTTTGGGTGGTTTTTTTTTGGGTCCTTTTTTTTGGGGGGGGGGCTTTTTTTTTCTTGGTCGATTTTCTTGGTTCTCTCTAGGAAAAACCCTACTTTCCTTACATTTGGGACGGGTTTTCTGTCATTTCCCTTAGGTTTTCGCTGGTTTTTTTATAGGGAAAAACCTATTTTTTTTTACATTTTGGACGGATTTCCTGTAATTTCCCTTAGGTTTTCCTTGGTTTTTCCTAGGGGGAAAACCCTATTTTCCTTACATTTTGGACAGATATCCTGTCATTTCCTTCGTTTCTTGGGCTTTGAAGCACGCTTGGTACGGCTTAAAAGAAGCGGGGGGGGTTGGGGGGGGGGGCGCAGCCCCCCCACTTGCAAACACCTCTTGGGCTTTGAAGCACGCTCTGCGCGGCTTCCAAAAAAAAAGAGCGGGGGGGTTGGGGGGGGTCTCACACGATGCTTTTCAACTAGTTTCTTGGGCTTTGAAGCAAGCTTGGTACGACTTAAAAGAAGCGGGGGGGGTTGGGGGAAAACACAGCCCCGCTCCCCCATTTGCAAACACCCTGCTCACATGACGGGTGTCAACAAGTTTCTTGGGCTTTGAAGCACGCTCGGCACGGTTTGAAAAAAAACGAGGTTTTCGTTGGTTTTTCCTAAGGAAACCCTCTTCTGATTACATTTTGGACGGATTTCGTCAAACGTCAAAGCGTACGTTGCTTTTCCTTAGTTTGTCCTAGGGAAAACCCTATTTGGTTCGTTTTCTTGGTTTCTATCATTCCCTCTATATTTTCATCGGATTCATACTTTTTTTTCAACTAGTTTCTCGGGCTTTGAAGCACGCTTGGTACGGCTTAAAAGAAGCGGGGGGTGTTGGGGGGGGACGCAGCCCCCCCCCCATTTGCAAACACCCTGCTCACATGATGGGTGTCAACAAGTTTCTTGGGCTTTGAAGCACGCTCTGCACTGCTTAAAAAAAGCAGGGGGGTTGGGGGGGGCGCAGCCCCCCCCCATTTGCAAACACAATGCACACACGATGTTTTTTCAACTAGTTTCTTGGGCTTTGAAGCACGCTTGGTACAGCTTAAAAGAAGCGGGGGGGGTTGGGGGGGCTGTGCCCCCCATTTGCAAACACCCTGCTCACATGATGGGTTTCAACTACTTTCTTGCGCTTTGGCTGAAAAAAAGCGGGGGGGTTGGGGGGGGCGCAGCCCCCCCCCATTTGCAAACACACACGATGTTTTT